TTAGGCCAAAAAAAATATATATTCGGTCTCTGGTCAGACCAAAGTTCCGGAATTGACGCGGGGACGCGGCTTTTTTTTTTTTTTTTTTTTTTTTGCTTTTTTTTTCTTTCTTCAAGCTTGGATTGTACAGACAAGGTGGGGTACTATTTTGCTTTTTTGGTGTCCTCATGTACATTGGTGTCCTCCATAATTTGCCTTGGTGCTCTCGATCATTTGCCTTGGTGCTCTCGATCATTTGCCTTGGTGCAATTTCCCATTCCTTGGTGCTCTTTGGTAAAAAAAAAATTGAGGAGGTGCGGCAAAAGAGGGCGCTGTTGGAGCTACCGCGGAACATTTTTGGAAGAAAAAAAAGATTGACGCGCATGATTAAAATCGACGCGCGCGCTGACCAGAGACCGACTTATTTTTTTTTTTGGCCTTATCTAGAATGCAAGTTTCAAGTTAATAGCAAACAAATAAATTTTAAAGCGCTTTCCAATTGTGTCAACAATCTCAAAGCGCTTTACAATTATTCCCCCGTTCATCAGGCCACGAGACCACGCGGCAGCCGATGTCAGTGCAGCTTTACCCTCACAGACACCCATTCATACTCCTGGGTGGAGAGAGGCAATTCAGATTCTTGCCCAAGGGCACAAACACCATGTTCCTGGCAGGGTTCGAACCCATTTACCATCGCACATGAGTCAAACACCATAACCACTGGACCATGGCATTCTACAGATGTAAACGTCAGATCTACGATAATCGTCAGATCACAAGATTATGTCAGCGATGGGCAAATATCACATGTAAGATATTGCCATATACATGTAGGCTATCAGGCTCAAACCAGCAAGCAGACCTGTGAAAAGTTGAGAAGCAGTAAGAAAATTGGAAAAATAAGACTTGACAGGGGCGGATCTACCTTTGAGGAAACGGGGGTTGATATGAAATGGGAAGGTTCAGTGAAGACTAGGGGGTCCGGTGACTTGCCCCCGGGAATATTTTGAAATGACAATGCCTTTTTCAAATTCTCCTGCATTTTAAGGCAACTTGGGAATAAATTTTATAGGAACTTTAGCATTCCATTTATTATTTTGGCCCAATTTTAAGAATCATAACATTGGTCAGTGGCTGAGGGGGGGGGGGGGGGTTAAGCCCCGCAATCCCTCCTCTAGATCCGCTTCTGCTTGACCAAGTTGTTTCACTGTTCAATCTTGAACTTCTACATGTACTTTTACACGGATAATTGACAGGGCGTCCAAAAGGGTATCTCGTCAATTTGCTTGGCGTGTAGATGTGTGGACCAGTGTACATGTAGGTCTAATCCTCCATGGTTTAAAGTATTAAGATGTAAGAGAGGTACAATGAAGGTGCAGAAAATTTACACTATGTGGAGTCTTAATGTCACACCTTTAACTTAAAGGGGCCACTCATAATTTACCCACATCTCGTCCAGTAGTACTACATGTACATGTACATTGTAGTACACGCTGAAAGTGTGAGTTGAGGGAGGTAGAGAAAGCCTGAAAAGACTTGCCCCTTTAAAGGTGATGGGGTCACAGAAACACCTCTGTCTTCATATTTTTCATGGTCTTCTGGCAAAAGGATTCAGGGGATTATGTACTTTCGACTTGCACAAGTCTTCTGAGTGTTTTCAGTACATGTAACCCCTCCACATGACAGGTCTGGTATCTGCTGAGTTCAGGCTAATTGAAATTTTCTGAGGGATTCATTAAGGTTGTTTGTGTGCAAGAAGGGATCTCTTCAATCATGGAGAAAGGAAAACGGGAGCACAAGCTGCACAGTCATGCATGCACAGATTAAACAGTGTATTTTCCCCCTGAAGCATGAGCATATTTTATGGGCCAGTGAAGTGTTTGGAATGTGACATGGATGGTAACCCAACCCTTGATTTACATGTACTTCCTGGTGGGCAGATCAGGGGGGCTGTTGTTTTTCTGTTGAGAAAAAAAAGGGGTAAACAATTTTTTTTTTAAATCCTCAAACTTGTTTGGGATGCAAAATTGTAAAATGGGGTTACATACATCATGAAGGAAAGAACACATGTAAACATACAGGAACATTCCTACCTCCATGATCATTCCTTCACACATATTTTTTTTATATCCTTGCATATTTTTGTTTATGTTTGAATGCAGTGCACTAATAATTGTACACAAAGTTAAGCACATTATACACACTGTTAAGTCTTCAAACACATTTTGGAATTCAGAGTGCATGCCAGTAGTGCATTCATTCATTGCAAGAATCTCCTATTTTTATCAAATCAAGGTTTTTAAATATATTTGGAGACTGTGTGTTCAAGTGATATTACTGAATGCTTTTTGCATTGATTTGATCAGGCATTCAACTTTTTTTCCTCGGATCAGCTGATTTCCTCTTTTTTAACTTCCAATGCGTGCCATTGAAAATAAAAAAAACACTGTACAAAGTCTTGGAAAGAATTGAATTTCCTCTTTTTTTGTGACTTCCCAGTTGCATGCCTGTTTAATGCAGTGAACAACTACATTGTAAGAAGACAAAACGTAACAGTTCATGTAGGCCCCTACACCTAAAATCCAAGGGAAATGTATGAATTTTTTTTTTTATCAAAATTTAAACCTACTCATGTACCGTAAAATTAAGGTATTAAAAAGGTCAAGCAACATCTATTGTTTTGAAATAAAATCATTTTGCGCAAACAACAAAGGTGTACAAAGTTGTACATCGTTGCATTTAGACACACACAAATGTCACAATAAATTCCATTCACATACAATGTAATTAATAAGAGCTGAGCTGAATGCTTGACTGAGTCCGTGCATTGATTTTGAAGTGAGCCCTCTTCTGTTCAGCTTGGCAGATCGATGTTTTTACGTCAATGCTTCAGAACAGCTATTGTATTGTAGTTTATCAATGCAGATACATTGTACATGTACATGTATACAGTAACAGATCAGGGACAGAATTTACATGTAGTTTTGTCATCCCAGGTTTTTTTTTCTTAGGGAGGGGGGAGCTAGAGGGGGTGCTTAATTGACAGTTTGGAAGATTGTATTTTTTAAACCAAACTATTGTCTATACTTTGGATGTTATTATTTGTTGTCTCTGGTTTTGTGATTTTTGTTATTATTTGTTGTCTCTGGTTTTGTGATTTTCAGTCAGTGTGTAATATAATATCAGTTCCAAGTCATGCATGTTGTCAATTGTCATTGTTTCAAGCTTCTCTTTTTTTAAAGTAGGGATTTTTGCTGGTGGTTTTATACTTATTAACTCTTCATAAACTGAAGTTTTCGACTTATGTAAATTTTTAAGTGTCTAAATATATGTACCGGTATATTGTTTTTACATGTATGTGCACATTGGGAAGAAGAATTTCACTTTTAAAGTCTTTTAATTGTGATGAAATAAAATACTGTATTGTATTGTATTGTTTCAGGATTTTGGGGTGTTATGTTTTACATAACGAAAAGATGTGTTTTAAGTGAAACAGTCCTGTGTAATTTTTTTTAAAACTTTATTTCGAGAGCCCTAAATTTGCACTACACAGGCACCGCAGCATTCTGCGCCACATCGCGTAGTACACACCACGCATGCACCAATCTCCATATAAGGAGACGTTTACAACTACTCGTGAGAGGCACATACCATAACATAGCTAAAAGGGGTGTTTCAAAAATGTTCAAGTAAATTGTTTTAAAACTGTTGGTAATTTATAATTTTTGACTTGTTTTGACTTTTTGACTCAAAGGTACATGTATTTATGGCTCGGGCCATTATTCGTGTTCAGCTCCTAGCCGGTTCTAAACATAGGCCCTGCTTGTTTAAAACCCGCCAAACACATACATTTTATTTATTCCCTTATTAATTAGCATGGACATTAACTCAACGCATGCTGTACATGTATACGTGTACCTCAGTACTGCTCTGTTCAGTACTTTTATACACAACATGTACATGTACATGTGCATGTACACAGCGTATTAATTAATTAAACATTAACCGCATTACTCGCTGCGATTAAAGTCCTATTACTCTATTCCCGTTCCTCCTCCATCGTTTCTATGGCTTCCTTAATTTACTTGACCTTTCCCCGCCAATTATCACACATTGTCCCCATCAGCGACAAACACATTCCTTCCGAGCCTATTTGTTACTATGGAGGAAACTGCCCTTCAAGCCCAACTGCTTATTTTGTGTAATTATAACACAATGATTAATAACACAACCTTGAAATTTTCTGTAGTAAATTTAAGACTGAAATAGTAGGCCTACATTGTAAATTATATTTTACATGTACATGTATACATGTATGATCAAGTACATGTATGTACCTATATTGTACATTGTACATCATGGTGTATGTACAATGATACATGTTTGAATTTGTGAACGGCATTTACAGAAGAGTAATAAATTACATTTTGTGCAGCATTTGTGGACGAATAACAATAAATTATACACATTTTGTACAAGTTTCTATGAACATTACATGTACTGGTGAGGTCTGTATATCAACATGTTTATTTCAGCGACTAGTGTACAATGTTTACTAGTACAGTGTACTGTCAAAAATCTTGCATAATTTCCTATGTACATGTCGGTTAAACACAATCCAACCTTATTGCTAATGCCAAGGACATCGGATCTTCAATCAAACTGCTTTTGCTGTCCCCAATAAGCAACGTACAGACCTACATGTATTGCACCTCGTAAGGTTACACAATGAGCACCGTATATATTGCGTGCAGGGCGATATATTATTAGAGCATCCTTATGCAGTATTCACGGGGCACTGAATCCCGTCTCATAATAATTGCTCGGTCCCCGTAACGATGACCTAAGACCGTAACCAAGGAAGGCATCAATGGTTGCATCCTGAATTTCATTTCTCCAATTATTGCTACAACATTACATGTCCCGGACACACATGTGTGAGCATTGTGCCACGCGTTTTTTTTTCTCGGCAGGAATAATGTTATTATTTTTTTTCTACTCTGGCTTGATGAGAGACTCCTGAGCCTGCTTAATAGTCCACAACTCCTACGGATGTTCGGAGAAGGAGCCGGTGGACGCGCCAGCTGGCCGCTCAAATTAAAGAGGATGTCCCAATCGTCGGGAAGTAAATTGCACAGGACGTCGGCTATTACCAGTCGGAGTTAACCGATGACGATTGGAACCCCAGCATTTGTTATTCATGTATGTATAGACGAGTGGACGCAGTGCACGTGAATGAAACAATTGTCTGCGACGGCGTTGAAATCAACTTGAAGATTTCGTTCTCTAGTCCGGCCCGGCCACGTGAGAGGACGAATCCTACAGCGAGCTGTGCCAGGTGTGCGTGTACTTGCACTGGCACAACGGTGTGTACTACGACCACGACGACAACCACCACCACAGGTGAGGGGAACTGTGTACGGAATGGACGACAGCATATTTTTGTGATTTATGCATTCGCATTTCATGTACAGTACCGGTATTATCAAAATTCAGTTCTTACTGTAATAGTACATGTGACAGTGTACATGTACATGATAGTACCTGATAGTACCTACATGTACATGTACATGTGTGTATGTACACATGTACATTGTAAGTTGTATTCAGAAATCAGTGTGTATTGTTCTGTGCAAATTTTTATGGTCTTAAATAAAATATTTAACAAAAAATACATGTAAAATGTTCTTGTTTGCAGATTATTACAGTGCGATTATTACATGTACATTTGGCAAAAATTATAAACATGCTACAATGTATACTTGTAATATATGTACCGGTGTCATATGAAAATTGGACTCGTATGAAAATCTGACTCTTTTTCCCTTTTATTGGTCTCGTGACCGGTCCCTCTCCTAATTATCTATGCATGAGCATGCGCAATACCACCAATGAGTCCGTATTTCATAAAACCTAAATTCATGCTACACCGGTACTGTACTAATATTGATACAGACTGAATCATTGAACAGTATTTGTCCATATAGTACAATGTACATGTACATATACATGTACGTAGTACACTGTGTTTTTATTTTGTTAATTATATGAACATGTTTAATTTGTGCACATGTGCTTGCACGTCTGTACACATGTGCATGTACACATGAACATTTCAGGGCAGTCTACATGTTACGTTCATTCACACTGCATCGTTAATAGCAGTATCACTATCAGTTTAAAGGTCAAATTTGAGTGCATGGCTGTTTTGGCACTCTGCCAATTCTGCATTATGCACCAACATTAAATAATGTACACTGAAAAAAGTAATTAGATTTGCGTTGATTGCTTTACATACATGTACATGTTTTCTTGTGCCTACGATGGCAACATCTGCTGCAAATTGTAAACAAAAAATATGAAAAACTAGATTTACACAATGTAATCTAAAATTCTCAGTGGACCGCGAATTAATTAAAATTGTACTCTTGGTTAGGCCAAAAAAAAAAAATATTCGGTCTCCGGTCAGACCAAAGTTCCGGAATTGACGCGGCCACGTGGCTTTTTTTTTTTTTTTTTTTCTTCTTTTTTTTCTTCAAGCTTGGATTGTACAGACAAGGTGGGTACTATTGTGTACATGTACATGTACATTGGTGTCCTCTATAATTTGCCTTGGTGCTTTCGATCATTTGCCTTGGTGCAATTTCCCATTCCTTAATGGTGCTCTTTGGCAAAAAAAATTGAGGAGGTGCGGAAATAGAGGGCGCTGTTGGAGCTACCGCGGAACATTTTGGGGAAAAAAAAGATCGACGCGCATGATTAAAATCGACGCGCGCGCTGACCAGAGACCGACTTATTTTTTTGTTTTGGCCTTATGCTTATTTTTGTACGCCGCATGTACCATACAGCAGGTGTAAATTTACACTTGTGCAGATATTAACATCAGAATCACTAGCACTCATCAAATTGATGACATTAGATGTCAATATTGCCACCTGTCAATAACGATCATCAAAAGAGTTACAATGTACAGTGAGGTGTGTGTGTGAGTCCAGGCAGGCCAGACACTAGAAGTTTATGTTCGTCAAGTCCGTACTGATGATGTTTGTGTACTTGAATAAAAATGTCAGATTTTCATTTAATCACATTGCAATCTTGAAAAAATTTAACGTTTTTAATAAACAAATAAATGCAATTTGAGATGCGCATACATTTACATATATTTGCCTTCTAATAAATTTATGTAAATTTATTTGTTATTTACCAGCATTATTGTAATTTCTATGGATTTTACGCTTGCAGACCTGCTATCATGAAACTCAATATTATGTTAAAAAACAGTCACTTAAATCACCACCAAAGGCATGTTTACAATGTACATGTACCTGTACTTGCAGTGTGCTTGTACACATATTGATCTGAAAATGACATACAAGAAAATACACTGTGCATACATAATGTGTAGATGATTTACGTACCTTATATGCATTACATATGTGCAAGTACATGCGTACGTATTTTTTTCATGAATCTCTTCTGAATTTTATATGGTAAATTTACTTCCTAATACATACAGTGTAGTGCTGTGACTTAAAGGCAAAATATTTAACTTTGAAAATATGTCGGTATCTAAAAACATGTATGAAAACTGACATTTATTTAGCTTGCAGAATTAAATTTATGTACATACCGTACATGTATGCATGTATCCATACATTTGCAATTTTCTTGTCCAGTACAAAATTTTACAGAGTCTGTGAAATTGTGCAAACGCAGTTGGCCTAGCTGTGCAATTCTTAGCAAGATTTGTGTACGTGTGTACATATATCCGTCAAGCGAATATTCATTCATGGGCACACCTCGAAGAGAGCGCCTCCCTGTCTCCAATAATCCCTCCGCATCCCGGAAATCTTCTCCGCGAGAGCCCAGGCCAAGCCGGCAATTTCTTTATTTATAAGTACATTTTATAAAAACATTAACTGTTATTCGGTATTATAACTGGAGTCGTTTCAGCCGAGCTGCGCGGCCTGCGAAAATGAAGTGCAAATTTGCCCCCGAGATGTTTGCGAGGGACTGATGAAGACGAAGACGAGGAAACAAGGAGCTCCGTCAGTTGTCTGACAGAGGAGATGTCTTAAATGCGTTGATCCCATGCCAGCAGGCGTTACCAGAGCAGCCAACTGCCGTTTCATGTTTCATTATTCCAACAATATTTATTAAAATAATAAACAGTGACTGTAGCGAGATTTGAACCTGCGACCTCTGGAGCATCATCGAAATGCTTTACCAACTCAGCAATCCAGCCTTAGATACATGCCGCGTGCACCTGTATGCATGAAGTAGTTGTATTAATGTCCTAATTTCTTCAATGTTTTACAAAGTATTGGGACGGGAACAAATTCTGAAATAAGAGAATAAACATATGAGCTTGGCCGGTTCAACGAGTACATTTAGAACCAGCTTGTTGGGTCATGGATAAAGGCTCGAGCCATTTTGACATTTTCAAAACAAGTTAAAAAATTGAGACGTTTCCAACGATTTTGTTGAAAAGTTTTACTTCATTCTTTGTGAAACATCCCTCTTGTCATGTCTATGGTATGTGCCTCGCGTGCATAGTGCTAAATATCTCCTTATATGGAGTTTGGCGCAAGCGGCACATACTGCGCGGCACAGACTGCGCGATGTGGCGCAGAACGCAGCAGTGACTTTCATCAGCGATTTGAAACCATCTACGTGATGGACTCTCAACCAATTGGAATGGGTAAACATTCTCAGGTATTTATGACTGTGGTATTTAAGCTCCATCTGGCTACTAGTACTACTACATGAACACAAATCTCTTCATGTACATTTACGTTCATGTATGGGTGTACGTGTTTATGTAAAATACACTTTTCATTCATCTTATGATCTATACTTATTTAAATATCAAATGCCAGACTGAGATACAAATAAAAGTAGCTATGTGTATTTTTATCTAGTGCACAGTGTTTTCTTCTTCATTTGATACTCTTTAGTAAAACAAAAATGAAACAAAATGTAGGATTATACATGTACCGGTACTGTGTATGTTCTGTACAGTACTGTTATGCAAATGCCCCAACCCAGTCATCTTCTTTATAGTCCACGGCGCCAGAAGTTCCCTCAGTGTCATCTCCAGCTAGCCTTCTCTCTTTCCCTTTTTTTTTTTTTTTTTCGTTGGCTGCTGGCCGACGGTAGCTCCCAACCATGGAGGAAATCATTAAATACCTGAAAATGCAATGCGCCCGTGAGCAAGTCTGCAGCGACGTTACAGCAGCATCGTCTCTCTCTATCTCTCTCTCTTTCTCTCCCAGCCAGGGTTCTGGGGCAGGATAAATGAGAGGAGACAGCTTAGCGACGGGATGCGATCCTTGCCTCATGCAGGTCATTGCTCAGTGCAGACAACTCTGCATATTTAGAGAGCAATATTCTTTGGACTCTATTCTTTATCTGTCAAACATTCAACCACAAAGCTGAACTAAGAAATTTACATTAATGGTCAATTTATACCGTGGAAATCGTGTACACTTTTGTTCTCCAAGCATTCAAGTGTACATTTGTACCGGTACCGTACAATGTCCCGGTACAATGTTCATAAATTGTGTAGGGTTGCCAATGGTTTTGAACACCCTGTTTTGAATTTATCAAGCCTGTTTATATATCCTGCTGGCCATACGTTGTGTCCTTGGGCAAGGCACTTTATCCCCACTTGCCTCTCTCCACTCAGGAGTATAAATGGGTACCAGCATTAGCTGGGGAGTAACCTGCGATGGACTAGCATCCCGTCCAGGGGGAATAGAAATATTCCCAGTCGTTTCATGCCACTAAAACCGGAGATAAACGCCGGCCTGATGAGCCATAGGCCTTATAGACTCGGGATAGACTTTTTTTTATATGTCCTTCACAGAGCAATTTTATTTTTAAAAAAAATTGAAACAAAAATTGTCAAAAAAAGTTACAGCGTAACTTGCAATTTAATATGTACGTTTTGTATAGATGACATGTACATGTACATGTACAGTACAAGTTCTTTCTCAAACTACATACAATGTATAGGTGTGATGATTTTAACACTTCAGCTTTTTGTGCATCCAATTAACTCCCAGGTGCTGCACGTAATTGATGAGCTAATCAAAATCCAATACAAAACCAATCTGTGCTCAGTGAGCGTCAAGGTTGACAAACGACCGTTCCCGTTTACGCAATCCCTTCCTCTGTGAAACTGTGTATGATCCTCCAGGCTCACATTCTCCCCTTGTTTTTTTCCTGTCTTGCTTTAATGGTTTCTTGGCTTGCAGTGATAAACGACCCCAGCTCTGTCCCAATCACTGTATGTCATTAATACTCGATTAGCCGGGTCACTTTAAGTTGTACACTGTTTACAGGGAGAGACCTCAGACTGTAGCCTCTAAAAGGCGTCATCCTCGTCCATTCACAACCCCCGTGGGGACGTTTTGGGTCGAGTTTGAGGAGACCAGCCGCTGACATGTATTTTTCACGGTTTTAAGGCCCTGTCTTCACTTGTCCGTCTTGATTTTCAACCAAAGCGTGTAACGATTAGGGATGCATGCCTTTTGGATTTAAACTGTGAGCTGTCCGGTCCGTGCTTCTCACGTTTCGCTCCACGGGCAACATGGGGAAACCTTTGTCAGTCGCAACAAGTCCTGGTAGGCTACGTGTAGGAAGATATTTTTTGGAATTTTTGCTGTTGATTTCAGGAACGTGCAGTCCATGTACCTGTAATACTGTATGTTGTTGACATTGTACACGTACAAACATTTTTGGAAATGTTTAGAGTGCAAGTGTTACAGCTACTCTATAAATGTGTGACGTATAATCTACCATCTTATATTTCAGCATCATGGGACCATCAGATACGCTGTACATTGTACCTGTGTTTGCCTGTCTCGTTTTCGTACATGTATAGGAAATTTAAAGTGATGATCATTCGGTGAATACAGTACATGGTAGTTGTTCTGTCGTATGATGACATGAACTGTACACCTGCATTACATTTAATGTACAGTACATGTAACTACAACGGGAAACAGGTGTGTTTCTCTACCACGAACACCTGCAGAAAGCACAAAATAGACTCAAGAGAATCAGTCGCCTGATTGGCCAACCTGCACAAAGCTTGACTATTATTTTGTATGTGTGCCTTTAGCTTTTATGTGGCTGTCCCAAGGAGGTCACATTATGGCCAAAAGGTCACATGTCCTCTAAAACATTTCAGAATGCTTGAGATTCACGACATACAAAATGACAAGGGAAGCCGGATAACCTAAGGGAAACAACAAAGTTGGGATCAGGAAGTGGTTAGGGACTTGGGGTGGAATCGAACCCAGCGCTCCTGAGGTGCAAGCTGCATGAAAGGAGAACCAACATGCCAAACTAAGCATAGGATTATTTGTTGCTTGCTTTCAGGGGCTCCACCTATCTTGGACGATAGTGCATCGTTGCAAGCTTTGGACGAGGCGACGGCACAACACAAGGCCATGGCGGACAGGAGACAACTCATCACGGAAATGAGTAAGTTTGTGTTTATTTTTGCATCAATTAAAATACATGCACGTCATTATTTACGTGGACATGTATATGTTGGACTGTATATTGTGGGGCCGTATCATGAGTTCGACGCCTCGAAGGTCCGACGCCTCATAAGTCCGAAATTTCGGACTTATGAGGCGTCGGACTTATGAGTCATAAAATTGATTTATTCCGCCTTATAGGTCCGACGCCTCATAAGTCCGATGCCTCGTACTGTACATGTAAGTCCGGCATTGCAAAAACGAGGCGTTTAATTTGTCGGACTTACAAGGCGTCAGAGCTATGAGGCGTCGGACTTATGGGCCTTTATTTGGTTAGGGGATGTGATTTTGTCGGACTTATGAGATGGGGGAGTGTGTGGCCTAGTGGTTAGGACTCGTGACTCATGATCGGAGGGTCCGGGGTTCGAATCCAGCCGCTGGCCATATATTGTGTCCTTGGGCAAGGCACTTCACCCCCACTTGCCCCTCTCCACCCAGGAGTATAAATGGGTACCGGCATTAGCTGGGGAGTAATCCTGCGATGGACTGGCATCCCATCCAGGGGGAGTAGAAATATTCTCAGTCGTTTCATGTCACTGAAACCGGAGATAAACACCGGCCTGATGAGCCACATTGGCTCGGGACAGACTTTACTTTTACTTATGAGATGGCGGACCTATGGCTTCGGACTTACAAGGTGTCGGAGCTATGAGGCGTCGGACTTATGGGCCTTTATTTGGTTAGGGGATGTGATTTTGTCGGACTTATGAGATGTCGGACCTATGAGGCTTCGGACTTATGAGCGGACCCCTATATTGTCGCGTGTAATTATTTGTGTGCATGAACATGTGTTGACCGACATATTTATGTACATTTGTATGCATGAGAGAACTGGAGTTTGAAGTCACTGTGTAGTGAAGTGTGTACATTTTTCTTTCTTAATTAACTTTCGTGTCAACTTAAATTATGAACTAGAGCATGTTACATGAGAGTCATTATTTTGATGTCTCCTTCCATAAACAGTTCCGTGAATTCTGCTGCGCATGATTTGTTTAAGGGCCTCTAAATCTCAGCTGTGGCAAATTCTAACCCATTTTGCTGGGTTTTGTCAAAGATACATTTTCATGTTTGGATTTTTAAGCTCTGGCAGGAGCTTTAACATGTTAGTTGGTGGTCGGTCGGTCGGTCTGTCTGTCTGTCACGAAAATTGACCAAAAGTATGGTGTTCCATATTTGCACCGACATCGCATTTTTGGGCGTCGCATTTTTCAGCTCTGGCAGGGATCATTTTTGTCAATTTCATGCAAGACTTTTTGCAATACGGCCAGAGCTTACATTATGAATCGTGAACTTGTAATTTTTTTTTTTTTTTAACCAATGCTGGATAATTTTTAGTTGAACCCACAGAGCTAATGAAGTACTTCAATTTGTCTTTTTACTAGGGAGTCAGAACTTTGACGTGATTCGCTTTGCCACCTACAGGGCCAGCTGTAAGCTTCGCTTCATCCAGCGAAGATGCAATCGTAAGTCAAAAACAAAAAAGCTGTAGTAGAAGACAGTTCCATAAATACGCACAGAGCTGACTGGTCTTACATGCAAGTCTTATTTGTGTAAGACGGCTTATGGTGTGTCATTTCATTAGGCCAGGCTCCTTTGATGTCGGCGAAGCTGTATCGATTCAGTCAGTGCCAGATTAGCTTTTCCTTTTATGCACTTGCCGTAAATATGTACACAGAGACATGATTAATTAACTTGGGGAGGATCAATACCATAAAAGCTTAGGCCTTAGAAAAAAGATGATATGTTTCTGTTTTTTTCATGAGTCTCAGACTCTGAATTGGATTTTTTTTTTGAAGGGGGTGTTTTGTCTGTTGGTTGTTTTGTCAGTCGGTTCTTTTTTCTTGTCTGTTTTTTTGTTTGTTTGTGTTTTTTACTTCATTAATTTCAATGGCTACGAAAAGACAATGAAGTGCACTAAGTGAAAACTATTTATAGTTCAGAAACTTTTAATTTCCATCAGCCACTGTCAACATTTTTTATCACTTCCTTTTCAGATAAATCATGTACAAGTTTACAATTTTAAAAATAACTACAATATACATGTAAATTTATATAAATATTTTCTGAACATTAGCACAATCTGTGTTGCCTGTTCCTTTGACATACATGTGGACACTTAGTTGACCCAAACATTGATATGGGATCTAAATTCTTGACTGATAAAATGTTGTCCTAAAATAAAATAGAGAGATGTTAGGGGGTGTGCATCGGAACTGGGTACCCGAGTACCCGACCACTGATATCAGGAACCTGTTCCAGATTACCGGATCGTGTACCCGTAACCAACTTTACATATTACTTAATAACTCCTCAGACAATGAAAAAGAAAGCTTTTGAATGCCATTTGTGGGGAGTTTTCAAAATGGAAAACCTAAACAGATTCCACGTTTATGTGCATTTGACGCGTGACATTTGACACTTGTGAAAGTTGAAGTGTACCCCGTCAGGCTATAAAACCCTTCGGACAACTTCCAGGTTTTGAAATTTTTTTACAGGTACCCGGTACCTCTGTTGTACTTCAATAGGGTACCCGGTTCCTGTACTTGTACCCGTACCCGGTACCTCTGTTGTACTTCAATAGGGTACCCGGTTCCTGTACTTGTACCCGTACCCGGGTACCTCTGTTGTACTTCAATAGGGTACCCGGTTCCTGTACTTGTACCCGTACCCGGTACCTCTGTTGTACTTCAATAGGGTACCCGGTTCCTGTACTTGTACCTGTACCCGGTACCATTGTACTTCAATAGGGTACCCGGTTCCAGTGTACTTGTACCCGTACCTGGTACCTCTGTTGTACTTCAATAGGGTACCCGGTTCCTGTACTTGTACCCGTACCCGGTACCTCTGTTGTACTTCAATAGGGTACCCGGTTCCTGTACTTGTACCCGTACCCGGTACCTCTGTTGTACATGTACTTCAATAGGGTACCCGGTTCCTGTACTTGTACCCGTACCCGGTACCTCTGTTGTACTTCAATAGGGTACCCGGTTCCTGTACTTGTACCCGTACCCAGTACCTCTGTACTTCAATAGGGTACCCGGTTCCTGTACTTGTACCTGTACCCAGGTACCTCTGTTGTACTTCAATAGGGTACCCGGTTCCTGTACTTGTACCCGTAAATGATCACCACTAAGAGATGTACAGTGTATGTCTGTGAACCCTCTGTACATGTATGTCGGTTATAAGCCAAGCTTTGAATGCTATCTCAGTCAGTCACTTTTTACGAACTTTACACTTATTGTACAACGGTGACCTTTGTACATATTTACTGTATGACTAGATAATATTGTACCTTGCCCCTAGATACAAGCAGGCTGCCACGGTGTGTGATTTACTCACACTCAAATAATTGCACAAAGTCAAACAAATTGGAAATAATTTTCATTCATTGTGTAAAATGCAGAGTTTTTTGTTGCTGCAAAATTTCTCAAATATTTGAGCAATGTTGATATAATAATGGAAAATAATTTTCATTCATTGTTTAAAATGCACAGTATTTCATTGCAGCAAATTTTTCCAGTTGTCAAGATAACGGAGGCCGTGGATTGGGCTTTTTTTTTAGTAAAACTTATCAATCGTTCACTGGCCTAGAATTTGTGGAAAATTGCCTTTATTTCCCTCAGTCTTTGCCTTTGGGAACACCTTGAAAATTTTCCTCTTTATATTAGATTTTCTACTGCAGATGCCTTCCGAGGGAAAAAAAATGCACTTATTCACCCAAGACCACAATTCTCAAACAGAATTTGCATACAGTAATTAAATCATTCAAAGACAGTCATTTGATAAAAAAAAAAAGTACGGATTTTGATTCTATACGCTTGCTTCAGGGCGTGAATTTTTTTTCCCCTCTGGAGACAGAGCAGAAAGCAAATCATTTCAATTTACTGGGCCGGACTAAATCTAATTGTATGATGATGTGTGGTTCGGTTGATTGTGCCGAGGTTTATAAATACTCCCCTCGGAGGCCTAGTCTCGTATTATTCATGAACGCCTGGACACCCTCGTGAGTGCGCTCACTGAATGATCAATGAGAGGACGACCATCGGCAATTTCCAATATACATCAAGATGCTCGTTTAAAGGTGCTCAGTGGATCCGAGATTTTTTTCAAGAGGGGCGGGGCGTGACTGAAATACGCCGGGGTTTCTTATAAAAGCAGGCTTGAACACAGATCTCTTCTGTTCCTAAAGATTAACGAAATAAAAGATAGTACATGTATGTAAAATCAAATACATGTACATGTACATGTGTCATCCAAAAAAAATGACATATTTTGAAATCCTTGGTCGAAAATATACCCTAACCTTCTCAAATCCTCCAAAATCCTCTGAAAAAAATGGAGGATTTTGCAGGATTGAGGCTATTATATGGCAACAGTGTTGCTGATTTTGGAGGATGCACTGTGTCAAGGTCTAAGGCCAGACCTTGTGTTGTTTATGCTCAGCCGTGCGTAAATGTTTGATGTTTTCTCTTTGAAGGGCAAAAACCAATCTTGAAATTCGGCCAAAAAATTGTGTCATACTTTTATTCCTAGATTTGCTCATTTTTCTCCCCTGAAAAAACTATCCCATGATGCAGTGCACCTGGTGGACATCTGGAACATGATCGAGGCATTCCGAGAGAACGGACTGAACACGCTGAGCGCGGTGGACGAGCTGAGCGTCAACCGAGTCGAGACCATCCTGACGAGTATCTACTACCAGCTCAACAAGCGTCTGCCCTCCACGCACCAGATCAACGTGGACCAGTCCATCACGCTGCTGTCCAACTTCATCCAGATGGCGTTTGACGAGTAAGTGGATTTTACAGCGCATCTGGGCACCATGTTTAGGATCTACAACTATGGCCAAGTTCGGGCAAGGACCATTAGTCGACTAGTGGTTGATTTGTGACGTACCTTACGCCTGCGCGCTAATAGCAACGTGGGAACGTCTCTAGTCAAACGCTGGTCAAAATGTCATCGCAAAACTTCTGGATCCTGGCTCTCTGCTAGCGTTATGAATGCGCGCGGCTATTTGTTACCAGCCAAGCAACCAACCCCAGTAGGCTGGTTCCAAATAGTCGACTAGCGTAGTCAACCACCGTTGACTAGACAGAGTTCGGGCAAACGTTAGTTAACCATTGGTCAACTATAGTCCTTGCGAGAACTTGGCCTTGTATATAGCTACTGCAGGTTTCATAACAATCACAGCCAGTCAATCATGCTTAATTATGAAGGCAGGGAGCACTCTGTTAAAAACGGTTACTTGATTTGATTTGACTGCTGGGCTGGCCTTGTTGAAATTGCCAGCCAGAGAGGGAGGGTTAAACAGTGTACAAGCTACAAATATTTTTTTATTACGAGGGGGGGGGGTAGGTTGGTGCCATGTACATGATAACATTCTCATACCGGTATTTCAGTAAAAATTTAGAAGTGTGATACGTGATGGATACATATTTATATCTCTCCTGTGGATAAATATGCCAGACGGCAATTTCCACAACAGCAGACAAAAATCAAGCTGGTCAGCCGAGGGAATATTCAGGATAAAAAAAAAAAAATGAGGAGACATTTAATTCAGGAAGCCATCGGCGAGGCAGCTGAATCAACACAGTAGTCAATGCAACGGTGATTCTGTGTTGCAAAACAACGGCCACAGAAAAGACACGAGACAAATTAGAAGACTCTGGGCAGTAAAGAAAGGGGGGGGGGGAGAAGGGGGTGCTGAAGGGGGAGACCAGAGGCGATCGTTGGATGGATGTTTAGACAGGGCAGGTGTTCTTGGGGTTGCTGTAGAAAATATCAGTCATGTACAGTCATGTACATGTACGTGAACGTACACATCTATAGAACTACATGTACATGTACATGTACATGAACATGAACATGTACATGTACATGTACACACGGTATATGTACATGTAACTGGAGATTTGGAAACTATACAGGATTATGCGATGAGATTGAGTATAAGAAAATCACACAGTTTTAGGCCGATTTAAAATAAAAAAAAAAAAATCTGTGCATGCTTTTAAAAAATCCGTCCATGTTTTTTTTTAAAAGTTGCAGGCCGGCATTTTCTATTTTCCCCAAGATGGCAGATTTTTCAAGATGGCGAATTGATTTTTCTATTTTTGCGACTCTTTTTTCTAATAAAAAAAATTATGTCCAAAGGAGCCATAACCTTTTCTACATATAGCTACAATTTTGTTTGAAACATTTTTAGAAACAAATAAAGACAAGATATTCACACTATATTTACACAATAGCAAATGTATGATTTTTAAAAAAAAAATTTAAAAGGAGGCGGGCGAGAAAAAGGAAGTGGGCAGGGATGAGAAATTTGTTTATTTTTTACTGGGCCTTACGGTTTAGAAAAATGCTGTATTTGGGGAATACTCTGTGCAACTCTTGATCCTTGGCATTTTGCGGGGAATCCTCCCAAATTGAACACCGTTTGCGATTCTCGGGTCGGGTGGGGTCGGTTAAGCCATTTTGGAAAAAATCCGAAATAAACCGCAAAAAAAAAAAAACAGTTTGGAAATTCACACGGTGCAATATTTATTGCAGAGTCACTGTGCACGGTACGACCAAAATGGTTTATAGTCTATCATGCATGGTCTATAACATCTAGGCCCACAAACGGTTTTGCGTTTGTGATTTTTGGGTCGGGTGAGGTCGGTTGGGGTCGGTTAAGCCATTTTGGAAAAACCCGAAATAAACCGGGAAAAAAAAAGAACAGTTTTGAAATTCACACGGTGCAATATTTATTGCAGAGTCACTGTGCCGTACGGTATGATTCAGTTACTGAGAGACGTAAGTTCAGGCACAAAGAGCAGACACAGTTGCCCAAGCCAGATATTCAGGGGTTTTTTTCAGGTCGGTTCGGTTTCGGGTCAGTTTTTCTTGAATTTTTGTCTGATCGGGTCAGTTTTAGTGAGTTAAAATCGGTTTTGGTTTTGGTTCGGATTCGGTTTATATGATATTTCTGTCAGTTTGGCCTGGTCAACCCGACCACTAATCAGGCCCTTAATTGCAGTTGCGTAGCTGTAGAGTCCTTTATTGATAAGTAATAAAAATAAATAAATAATAAAACAGCAAATTGGTTTCAGGTACATGCAGTTAGTCTTTAATTATGGCAAGTTTTTGTGTATTTTTATTTTTATTTATTTGCTTTTTGTCCAGTGGAGCTACGGGCAAGATCACAGTATTTGCAATGAAGGTGGCCCTGTCCACTCTCTGTGCCGGCAAAATCATGGACAAACTCAGATGTAAGTCTATTTTTTATGAATTCACCATATATTTTCTTTGCATTGATTTGTATATGATTGTAATTTCTTAATACATGTAACCTTAATATTTTACTATTCAATGAATAGTAAAATATACCCGGTATGTGCAGCTATGTACTGATGTACATAGCTGCACATACCGGGTATATATTATATTCGAACCAGCCAACCAATCCTGCATGCTTGGTGGTCGAGTGGTAAGACGTCGGCACTAGAAAGCAGGAAGTCGTGGGTTCAAGTCCCACCCGAGTGATTTTTCCAACTTTCACTCGGGAGGTAACACACTGAGTATACAGTGTTTGTACGTCGGTGAAGGGCAAAACCTAATTTGCTTTATATGTCAGTTTTGTGTATTCACAATACATTGTCACACTCGCAGTTACTTTGTTTAACAATGAGTCCTGACATCTCAAGTTCTTTTAATTCACTTTAATTCAACTCACATTATTTTCCTTTATTCTATTTTCTTCTTTAAACGCTAAAAGCACTGAAGTCAAATCCCTAACAATTGTGTTGATCCATTGTACATGAGATTTTATACAACAAACAAATTCCTTTCAGTTGCACACAATTGTTCATCATTGCGTGACCTTCGCAGCTAAGGAAAAAACAAGGGATTCTTTTAACAGAATGTCTACCATGCTCAAAAGTAACAAATCGTGCATGAAATTTTGCATATAAATACATGTAATTGTTGGCATAGGTCATCAACCAAATTATTGAAAGAATTTAGCAGCACTTCATCAAATCTAATGCGTGCGGGTTATTACACATTGAACTTATGCCATTGAATTTGCAGTTTCAATTCAATATAATGAATAGGCCTATAGTGCAAGCTCTTGTTTGCGTTCCCTTATTTCCCTATTGACATTAATCATTGTGACCTCATCTTAAGTGTATTGGATGTATTGAGCTTGAAATAAAAAAAAAGCAGTGCTTAATATCTCATGTTTGAACTATGTTCCTTCATGATTTACAAAAGACAAACAGAATTTTTGTTTGTATGGTTTACACTCCAAACATCCCCGGCTTAGGAACTTATTTCACACAAGGCACTGGTAATAAAGTTAAAAAGAGTCCAAATTTTTCAAATTTCAGAGCAGACAAATGAACATCATCTTCAGCCTTTCTGTGTAAATTATGAAATCATATCCGAGTTGATTTACACACGTGTAGTTCATGTACAGCCAAGTTTCATTATTTGTGAGACGAAATAAAATGCAAGGCTGTGCCATAATTTACTTGGCATTTTATTTGGATGCAGTATGTAATGATTTGAAGAGCAGTCAATTTCCATAAATTAAAACAAAAAAAACCATTTCAGTTGCTTGTAGTTGTAGGCATCGGTATGCTAAATGCATTTTACAGAGCGATGGGTTAAAAATTGCATGTAGCACAAAATGTTTTTCTACTCTTACAATAGTTTTATCTCTACCGTGTGGGATAACTTTTTATTGCAACTTTTAATGGCTTCTATTTCAAGTTTAATTATTTTTAGATTTTGTCAGTGATGAAAACAGTCCCTCACTTGAAGAAAAAGTGAAGAAAACAGTCAAAAATGTTTGCTTTTAGACTTGTAAGACGTGCATCACGATGAAATGTGCTCAGATCTTGAGACGGTGGTCATACATCTTCTCATAGTACGGCATGCTGAAGTCGACGCATCGCTGAACATCAGGCGTGATCTCGGCGTAGTGTCCCACCTCAGTCTCCGGCTTGTGGAATCCGGTGCTGTTGCGGAAAACATCCAGAGTCTTGGCGTTCTTCAGGATGAACTTGTGTCGCTGACTGATGATCCAGTCTTTGGTCAGTTCGGACCCGCTGTCCCAGCTCAGGAGATCTTTGGAATACGGCAGGCCCATCCTCTCGCAGAAGGCCGATAAGATACCTTCCGGGTTAGCGACAAGGTCTTCCGCGTCGATGATGATGGGGTCCGGATCCACGTTCTCCTTGATGTACTTGTACACCTCGTAGGTCTCCTTGAAGCCCAGGCCGGTCGGCATGATGTCGGGCGGCTGTCTGTCCAAGATGAGCTTCTCCAAGGAGATGACCTCTCCATGCTTGACCATCCTCATCTCTTGGACAATAACCTTCCAAGACGGGAAGACGATATGTGGGTCCCTGATCAGGAAAACGTGCCGGTAGCCCTTGGGTAGGTAGTTGTACTTGGGGATCAGAAAAGGGGCGTTCTCCTTATTGAGGACCAGTCGCTTGCCCGGGTACTCTGCCTCCAGTTGGGTCTTGCAGAAGTCGTAGGTGCAGACGGAGCTGTGGAAGCCGGACTTGGAGTCCTCCTCCAGCAGACCGGTGTCCGTCAAGTTGGTAACCACGTCCGGTTCTTTGGGGAAAGTGTGAGCGATGGTGATGTCCCTCTCGGGACCGAAGTGCCACGCCGTGGTGTAGAGCTCAAAGAGGATCTTGGAGTCGGGGATGCTGTTCATGCTCTTTAAGAAGGAGGAGGAACAGGTGCGTGGACATCCCCAGACGGTGCATCTGACTTGGTCTGCCATGTCGAAGGTGAAGATAACGGGAGTCTTCAGATGGTAGTCTTTGAGAATGGATTCGATTCAGATTCTGCACGGTAGAAAAAAACACAAGATAGTACAATATTTTATCACGCTGCTCATTTCTGGTATTGTTCATCGTAACTTTGTCAAGAGAAGTTTATGTTTACCGAAAAATGCATTTTTACAAACCTGAAGGAAATTAGTGAGAGAGAAAAAAAAGGTGATTTGTGCAAAATTAATAATAGTACATCATGTATATATGTACATGTACATGCCGTCTGATATTGTATGTACATGTACACACATTCATCATGAATCATGCTTATGTGTCATTATGAACGCGTAATTATGAGTACGCATGTACGGCACGTACATTTGTTGTACATGTACATGTGTGTGCATTAAAAATACATGGTTTGTACATGTAGGCTGCACTTTTATGGCTAGCCTCTTAATAACACAAAGGCATAGATCTGCTTAAGCACACAATTTGCTTAAGCACAAAAACGTCTTGCTTAATAAAATCAGGTTACCGGCCAAAACTCCATGCGATTGTTATGCTAAGTAAACAACAGCTAAATACCAGTCACAAGCAATGTACATCACATGGAGTTTTGGCCGGTAATCTAATTTTACTAAGCAATGTTTTTTCGTGCTTAAGCAAATTTTCTGCTTAAACAGCTCTATGACATTGGGCCCAGGTCATGCCGGTACATGTACATACCGGTATATGTGTCAACAGGAACCATGAAAATTCATCATAAACAGATATACAGTGTATGTATTTTTAATACACATGAACATGCATGTACAGAATATTGATATAGGCCTGCATGTACCATGGAGGAATGATTGATATACATGTACATGTACAATATACTCATAAGTGTATGTACCTACAACATGTACATGTAGCTCTTAATACATTTTTGCACATGTACATGTACATTGTAAACATATAATTCTGAAGGAAATGTGAACAGACACATTGACCAAAAAGAGTTAATTTCTCACCTTTTGGTAGCAGCAGTCTCTATAAAGCCTCCACCCTTTTACACAATGACTTTGCTAGTCAACAGTACGTGCAGCGTCGGTCTTTTTATGAGAGTCATGCACTCATAGCTGTTGTGTGTCTGGACTACGCCAGTGAACTATGACCTTGTGCTTGCCTTATCATGATTCAGGGCAGAATGCGACTGGTACGTGCGTACGGCCATTCATGGGCTTGTTTGCATTCTACTGAATGGAACACAAAGCCAGCGTTTATACTTTAAGTAGGATTGGATTTTATTGTTATGGTCAAGGGTAAAGGGAAAGACAGACTATGGTGTTAAAGATATGTCTGGGCTTTGTTGAGAAAGAGGTTAAGCTGTAGACCCAAAAAACCATTCATTTTACAAGTTAACGAACTCAGGCTTTAAAAAAATTAAATCTGCCACATTAACATGCATTTGTAATAGGCCCTATGTCTTTGATTTGTGCAATTTCTTCAATATTTTGACATATTTATGATGCTGAAAATGTTTGAAATATATATAGGACTAAAAAGAATACATGATACATTGTACCTGTTCAGGTGGAAAAGAAAAGGTATTTCCATCAGGTTCATTTGTACTCTTGTCACATTATGCGCCGTGTTGTTGGTAAGGATTATGACACCATGCGCTACATGCATTCCATGCACAAATAGGTTAATCCCTTAGTTAGTTACATGTAGTGTACAATGTACATAATGTAAGCTTCGTATAAGGCCGTTAAAATTCACCAAAAACGAGTTGTCCGAGTTGTGTTGCCCAATGGGCATTTTCTCAGCAACCCAATGTGCTGTTTTTGTGATTTTTTTTTGGTATTTGAAAGAAAAAACTTTCAGCTTTAAAAACGAGTTGTCCGAGTTGTGTTGCCCAATGGGCATTTTCTCAGCAACCCAATGTGCTGTTTTTGTGATTTTTTTTTGGTATTTGAAAGAAAAAACTTTCAGCTTTAAAGGGAAGATACAACATTTGCAAACATCAAAAAACGAAATGATCAAATTATCACAAAATATCTTACTTGATTGTTAGGGAATGCAGTCTAAAGCATCCTGTAAAGTTGTGGCTCCCGGTGTGCTGACATTTTCAAGAAAAACTGTATTTTTCCAACGCTGGTCGGCCGACCACCGTTGGAGAAAACTGGCTTTTTTCAAAAAGTGCTCCTAGTTTTTCATATTTAGTTCGTCTGCATTTTCTTTGCAATTGATTGCACACCTATGAAGACTACAAGCCTGCTAGACTGATTCTATGATCTTACAATTCCCCAAAGTCTATAAATTGCTCCGCCTTCTTAAGTGGGGTCTGGGAACCAGACTACAAGAATATGATTGGTTTTCTTGGTTTTTCCAGCATCTGCGCATCCAAAACGTGAAACAAGTCAGTGGAACAATATTTGCTATAACATACTAATTCTCCAAATCCATTTATTTCTGAAAAGTGCAGCAAAAGCAAATGTTGTACATATTCCCTTTAACATGTTTAATCCGATATCCAAAACATAAAAATTGCAAATGGTGCAAATGTTTCAGGGTTGCATTTTTTGGGGGGCCGGGTCACCCTGTACATCGCATTTACAGTACATGTATGTACATGTACATTAAAATGCAGCAATCTGTCCATACATGTACATGTATGGCTCGTCCTTGTCTTTATGATAAAACATTTGCAAAGGAATGATTGTGGGTGATGGACGTGCATACTCACTGTACATTGTAACTTGTCCGTTCTTTCCTGCAGTTTATTTTTTTATTAATTGATGAGAAAAATTCCATAAATGACTCACCCAGAGTCCAGAGACAAAACATGGTATGTAAATGTATACATGAAATAGTTGTCCAATTTCATTTGTTATGTGATACTTGTACATGTACAAGTATCACATAACAAATGAAATTGGACAACTATTTCATGTATGCATACATGTAGATCATGTATGTTTTATTTTTACATGTACCGGGGCATGCATGTACAGGAATGTGTGCTTAAAGTAAATTTCATTCTATACATTTCCTGAATCCTGAATTTTATTTCCAATTTTTGTGTCTTTTTGGTGACATTAAATTTGGAATATATGAATCGGCTTTTACATGGTGTGCTACAAATTTTCATAAATTTTTAATGACTCCCAGATATTTACAAAACATTTTTGTCCATTTTTCTATCACTACCCGGTTGATATTTAAACTGATTTCCATCCATTTTTTCTGTCAGACCAAGATGTTTGAACTGATTCACATCCGTTTTTCTATCACTCCCAGATATTTGAACTGATTTTTGTTATTTTTCTATCACTCCCAGATATTTTAACAAATTTCCATCCATTTTTGTACCACTCCCTGGCAGATATTGTAACTGATTTAAATCCATATTTCTATCACTCCCCGATATTTTCACTGATTTTTGTCCATTTTTTTCCATCTCCGCCAGATATTTTCTCGCAGCTGTCTGACAGCAACGGCGTGCTGATCCACTCCAAGTTTGACGAGTATCTGAAGCTGGTGCTGCAGCTGCCCACCGCCGTCTTTGAAGGGCCGTCGTTTGGTTACAGCGAGACGGCCGCCCAGTCCTGCTTCGGACAAGGACCGGTAAGAGCACTCCCACATCGCTGGGGTTCAATGTGTCCCCTCAAGTGTGTACATGTGTCTGTTTAGGCCACCATTTGGAAGAAACTTGTTTCAAAAAATTCAGTTGGCCAACTGTTTTAACTTTCCATTAATTGTCAGGCAACCAACATTTCATAGATAAATATCCCAAGAGCCAAATTATTTTCAGACTTTTTTTATCTGTAAATGTTTAATGCCCCAAATCAAGTCAAGATGTATACATGTAACAAAAGAATGCAAACTTTTAACATTTTTAAATCTAAATTTTATCGCACATTCAACATTTTTTTGTTCTTTATACATGTATTTAGTACACTGTAATTTTACTGTTTGTCTATCCAACGGAATATACAATGTACAACATTTGCAAACATAGAAAAAAATACCAAATTACTATGAAATACCCAACTGGACTGTTGTCTAAAGTATCTTGTAATATAATGGCAACTCGTGTGCTGACATTTTCAAAGAAAATGGTATTTTAGTATCAATTTCCAAACCTGGCTTTTTTTTCTTCAATACTGCCTCCAATTTACCATTTTGTTTGCAATCGATTACACACCTATGAACGGGTACAAGCCAGTTAGACTGGTTCCCTGACCGTACAATTCCCCGACGTCTATACATTTCTCTGTTTCATCTTTAGTGGGGTCAGGGTACCAGACTACAAGAACATGATTGTTTTTTTTGCTTGGTTTTTCCAGCATCTACGAACACAAAACTTCGAACAAGTCAGTGTAACAATATTTGCCATAAAATACTAACCCCCCAAATCCATCCATTTCTGAAAATTGCAGCAAAAGCAAATGTTGTATATTCCCTTTAAATGAAAAACAACGTACATGACGATATTTAGTACATATATTTGATAGAACGGCATAGACCTTTTTTATTTATCCTTCTCAGCAGAATAGGATAAATCACCTGGCCATTCCCTCGGCAGTCGACGAAATAAATCAGTTTGATGTAATCTTTTTAGCTGATTATTTGCGGTGTACAGTCGCCACTAAAATCTGTTGTAAACCTGTTAGGCTTTGTTGTAATCCTCTTTGGTGCCTTGGCTTGCTGACGACATTTGCAAGTCGGTAGACGAGGACTGGAGAGCTCAGTTGGAGGTGCGAAGAGTTTCTGAGCTGACGTTGGAAGTACCAAGAGTTTCTAAGCTGACAGTTTCAAATTGGAATCGTTTTTCTTTGTTTAAAGGGTTCATGAGGTGAAATTTGCTTCAGAACATATTTTGTGCAACTTTCTACTCCTCTTTAATGTACAAATGTATGGAAAATATTTGACATCCATTTTTCGGTTAATTTTATGTAAAGTGCACTTCTTTAAACATTAAAAACTAACATGCTTTAAATTTTCAGCCAACTGATGGCGCTGCTGCTCTGGTGTCATTTTATGAAGAGTTTAGGGGTTTTCTGTTCAAATTGTGAACTCAAAAATTTGCTAATTGGAACTATTTGTGAGAAAAGTTAGCTCATCGGCTTACTTCCATGTACTGACACAACAACGAATCACCAAAGAAAAGAAAATTTACGACAGCGAAATATTCAAACTTCTTGCAAATTTTGGTACTAAAATAGCTGTAACATTGAGGTTTCTGCCTAAAATGACGTCACACTTTTGCTCGCGTATCTGAAATTGGCGTTAGCATAAAAAACAAAAAAAGACATCAAAATTCCCTTGAAAATGGGAAACGAAATTTGAAAATAGAGTTCAATGGGACACATGAAAATTTATAAAGTAATGTTTTCTGCGTTGCATCTCCACAAAATTGGGTCCAAGGAACCAATGTCACAGAACTGGGGCCAATTTGACGGCGCTGCTAAGCACAAACATTTGCTTAACACAAAAAAAGTCTGGCTTATAAAAGCAGGTTACCAGCCCAAACTCCATGTGATGTATATTGCTCGTGATTAGTATTCAGCTGTTGTTTGCCTAGCATGAAAATCACATGGAGTTTTGGCTGGTAACCTGCTTTAATAAGCCAGACTTTTTTTGTGCTAAGCAAATGTTTGTGCTTAGCAGTGCCGTGAAATTGGGCCCTGCTCACCTCAGGAATTTGCCGAGCCCATAATGTATTTGCTAAGCCAAAATGAAATGCATTTGCTACTTTCTGTCTCTCTTCCGTAGAATGCCAACCGTCGAGTGACACTTAACGACTTCCTGGACACTCTCCTTGCCGACCCGGGCCCTCCGTGCTTGATGTGGTTTCCACTTATGCATCGCATGTGCAATGTCGAAAATGGTAAACCCTCAACATCTCATCGTAACTTCTAAAGTTGCCTCTTGACATGCTCATTGACCTTTGCATTTCACTATTAAACTCAGCTATTCCAGTTATCACAGAGCCTTTTCTTTCTAGTTAACCAGTTCTCGCCGGGATTATTTTGACAAAAAAAAAACGGAACGAGGCGCGGGATTTATATTCACTCGACCTCAAGCCAGGCAGGTTGAAGCCATCACCCTCGGCACACTCAAAGTTCCGGCCTCTCTCGCTGCGAGTGGGTCGCTGACAGATATTTCCGGCCTCGCTCCCTGCGTGTTTATCCGTCATCCGTTCCAAATACCGCAAAATGTTTGAGTGTATACACGGCCTCTGGTGCGAACTGGTTAAAAAAAGTTATAAAGTTACAGGATCTGTTTTGATCTTAGCAAAACCTTTCTCAAATCTCCACCTTTGAGAATGATTCTGCAAAGATTGAGAAATGTAGCCCTCTAACTTTTCAAGATTTGTTCAGATTAAGTCAGTATAGTCAGCTAGCAGTTTGCAGCAGCTTGCTTGTTCTCAAAGTTAAAACAAAAAAATGAACACAGCACAACTTTTCCCTTTACAATGCTTTTTTCAAAATTATTTTAAACCTAGGCCCTTTTGGCTAGGAGCCATCCTCAATCCTGCAAAACCCCCAATTGCCTCTATGCAAAAATTGGATTCACCCTCAATCCTCCAAAATCATCTGTTATTTCTTGAATTTTATCAGTAGAGGGGTGACCATTGCCTCAATCCTTCAAAATCTTCCATCAATCACTGTTAATGGGTTGAGGCAGTGCCGCTGACGTTCAGAAGCAGTGCGGATGATATCGAGCATAATGCGAGGCTCAATTATGCCTGGCTGAACATGAATAATGCAGGCTACAGCCTACGAACTTAAACCAACACTTTTTTTGCCATTCAGCCTCATTCCTCTAAAATCGCCTGGAGGATTGAGGAAGTTGAGGGTTAAGCCTAACTGTCCTGAATCCTTCAAAATCCCCTTTGCCAAAGTGGAAGAATTTGGAGGATTGAGGTTACATGGCAAAAGTGCGTTACTGATTTCGTAGGATGCACTTTGTCAAGGTCTTGGGACAGACCTTGTGTTGCTTTTGCTCAGCCATGCATAAATATAGGCCTGGATTATGCTTGAAACCCTCCGTACTGCTCCAGGATGCCACTGGCCAAGCCTCAACATATTGACAGTCGTGACTGCCGCGGGATTCAGGCAGTGGTCACCCCTCCATGGACCATATTCAAGAAATAGTGGAGGACTTTGCAGGATTGAGGCTCTATGCTATTTTTCCATGAGGCCAATTGGAGAATTTCACAGGATTGAGGCTACATCTTATCAAAAAGGCCTAGGGAGTTAGGGTTAATTAATGGCACAATTTGTTGGTATCATAGAACGTGATGGTACTGTTCATGGCCCATCAGTTTGAGCAATGAGAGTTCTCTGTTATTGCAACTCCCCAGTATTCCACCCAGTTGAGTGCAGCAACTGCAAGTCGGAGTCCATGATGGGCTATCGCTACAAGTGTAACCGCTGTTCCAACTACCAGCTGTGTCAGAACTGTTTCTGGAGGGGTTACACATCTGGCAGCCACACCTCAGATCATGAGATGAAGGAGTACTCATCTTGGGTGAGTTTTACAATAACTCATGAGTTTTGCAAGTAACTCATGAGTTTTGCATGAACTTGTGATTTTGGCAAAAACTTGTGTTTTTTGGTAAAATGTTGTGAGTTTTGCAATAACTTGTGAGTTTTGCAATAACTTGTGAGTTTTTGCAATAACTCATGAGTTTTGCAATAACTCATGAGTTTTACAATAACTCATGAGTTTTGCAATAACTTGTGAATTTTTCAATAACTCCTGATTTTTGCAATATCTTGTGAGTTTTGTACTAACTTGTGAGGTTTGCAACAACTCATGAGTTTTGCAACAGCTCATGAGTTTTGCAACATCTCTTTGAGTTTTTCTACAACTCTTGAGTTTTTCAACAACTCTTGAATTATACAATAACTTGTGAGTTTTTGACTTACCGAGTCTCCTTCGTCCGTAGTGGTGACTGCTAATGCATTGCCAAGCAGATCACTTCAGGGCTTCTTTGCAGTCATCAAAGTTTGAATTAAATTTCCTTGACTCAAATTGTAGTGTTGAAACCACTAGTGCAAGCTAAGGACAAAATGGGAAGTTAAATTAAAAGAAGAAAATACCCTGGAAAGTTTTGTTTTAAAACACGTGAAGCTATTGTCCCCGAGTGGCTTATGCAGAAAGAAACTTTCAAAGCAATTTCAGCTTTTACAGAATGAACAAGAACCAAAAAGTCCTTGGTGATTGTTGAACTGTTTTGTTAGATCAAGATTCTTAAGTCAGGGAAAATAATTTTTAGTACTTAAAAGAAAGTACATATCTCTGTTGAGGGTAAAACCAGTCTTGCAAGAGATTTCAAGACGATGAGCAGGATTACGCTTCTAAGGTCTTTACAAAGAAATCTTTTTATTTTTTGAAAACAGAAATCCCCCGCCAAGAAAGTAGGCAAGGCCCTGAAGAAGCCGTTCCGTTCTCCTTCCAAGCAGCAGCGCCTACCTCACTATCCTGATGAGCCTGAACGACCGCTGGACCTCTCACACATTGTGTAAGAATTGGTAGACCCAGGCATCACAGATAGATCTGAAGTAGGAAAAAATGTTGCAACCTGACGTCACTTCCGCGATTGTGTACAAAGTCTATGGAGAGTCAAGAATTTTTTTAAGTATTTCCTAACGAAATTGGAAATATTTCTCAGTCCCAGATTCATGTCTCATCATCATTTTTGCAATGAATGACCCTCGTTGACATGACATACATGTATGAAAGAAAAAATGGCGTCGGGTTGCAACATTTTTTCCCTGAAAGTGCACAATGAAGAAATGGGCTACAGGGAACCGAGTTTCGTTCTGAAAATGAAACCAAGGATTCCTCAAAAGCGCCCTAGGCACTGTAGCTCGCAAGCCTGAAGAAACCTGTAGAGAGGAGACAATGAGAAGAAATTACAGTTTTAGGAAAACCCCAGAAGAATATTCTGGGGGAAATTCCACCAAAACCCAATCCACATGTGTTCTGGGCAGGAATCGAACCCGGGTCAAAGCGGTGGAAGGTGAGGAAGTTTGAAACCTGATTTGCTGCAGCGCAAACTGTCCCACAATGCATTGCAACATATACCTTCACTGCACGTTTCCTGTATGGCTCTTTCTCTTTGCGGGATCTATGACACTGCCGTACTACTTTTGGAATTCCCAAACCGTATGCAGTTTCCCCACTAGCTATGATCTCTCCAAGCTTCAGCACAACATAAAAAAATCTTTCCACTCTGTAAAGTCTTTTTTTTTGCCTGAAATTGCATTTTCCCCCTCTTGATGTAGTTCTCTGCTACAGTTGGCTTGTGTAGGGCCCTTCGAAGGGAAAAAAACAATAAAACAAAAGTGCTAGTCTTGAATCAAGCCTGGAGCTTAGCATCCTTTTTTTTGTGCCACAGTTCGCTAAAGGCTACCTGCAGATAGAGGGCACTGTTTATGTGCTCTTTATTTTTTTTTTTTTTACAAATTTCTGATATAAATATGCGTCTCTCAATCATCATTTAACAACCATATCATGTATACATGTACAATCCATAGTTCTTACATACTTGTACTCCTTACTGTGCTCTAAAATTGAAACTATTCCTACCTGTGACAGCCGTTTTCTTCAATACTAGTTCCTTTTTAAAATTTCATTTCATATTAACAACTTTCTGCCTGTCAATTAAAACTCTTCTTTCTTTCTCGTTGCACATACATGTACCTATAGGAAAGGCAGCCTGCCTGACATACAGATGTAAGGAACGTCAGCAAACTTCTTTTGGAACATTTTGCAATTTTGAATTCACGTAGCACTTTGCCCCGTAGTTTTGAAACGGTTGAGTTTTCAGAGTTTTCCATTTCATCCATTGCCACAATAACAGTGGAGTAATCCATGATTGTTATCAGAAACTAAAATCTTATCATTCTCACCTTTTTTTGACTAGCTGGAGGCTTGTTTGCATCTAGTACTGGCCAAAATATAGTCAGAGATAAATAGATTATGGAATTCTTGCTTCATACAGAGAGACTCTAATTTTGCGGAGTTCCTGATTTGTATCTTTAGGGCCTCTTTCCAACTGAAAACAAAAATCCCAGCGTAAAGAATTTCAGCCTCTGGCTAGCAAGCATGACGTTCACGCTCACACCAGATCAGGGTGATACTTCACAGCCCTTGTCCTGAAAACCCTATCACTGCTTGTTCAGACATTTTTTTCAAGAGTTTAACCGCCATCTTTTAATTTTGTTGAATACTGATTCTGTCTTTCTGTGCGTCATTAAGCCTTTTTGACAGTTCATAATTGTTAAAATCATCATTAACTTTGCATTGTTTTTTTTTTTCTTTTCTTTCCAACTGTTCTCGCTCTGTCGCCAAAAAAAAATCACGAATCTAAATCCATCTTTTTTTTTCTGCATGTTGTCCATATCTTCATCTCGCCTCTTTTCTCTCTCATTTAACCTTAATATTTTACCTTTCCGCCTCTCCTAACTACCTAAATGTCCTTGAATCTTTTCCTTCTCCCCATTAAATCTTACCTGTCTTTTTTTACTCCTTCCCTGCCTCCAAACATCCATCAAAAATCCCTTCCACCCCTACCGCTTTCCATAAAACCAATCCGCCCCTTTGCCTAACTCCTTTGTCTATTCTTCCCATGTCCAACCTTCCGCTACCTCTCTGATATTTGTCGTCCTTCGTTACCCCTCTCCCCCTCCTCACTCCGAAACATCCCATCAAATATCCTTCCTACCCCTATCCCTCCCCTTTCACCCCCTCCATGAAACCATTCATCTCCCTTGCTCAAATCCATTTTCTTCCCCCAACTCCTGCCTCTGCTCCACCCATGCCCTTGCCCTACCCCTACTCAACCCCTGCCCCTTTGATATCCCATCAAACACCCCTCCTACCTCCATCCTTCCCATTCCATTTCCTCCATGAAACCATTCATCCCCCTTACTAACATGTATTCCCCCCCCCCTTTCCAACTCCTTCCTCTGTTCCACCCTTGCCCTACCCCTACCCCACCCCTACCCCCCAAACTCCTGCCTCTGCTCCACCCCTGCCTTAACCCTACCCCTACCCCACCACTACCCCTCCCTCCACCCCTACCCCTACCCCCAAACTCCTGCCTCTGCTCCACCCCTGCCCTTACCCTACCCCTACCCAACCCCTACCCTTACCTCCACCCCTACCCCACCCCTACCCCCCAAACTCCTGCCTCTGCTCCACCCCTGCCCTTACCCTACCCACCCCTACCCCTACCTCCACCCCTACCCCTACCTCACCCCTTCCCCCAAACTCCTGCCTCTGCTCCACCTCTACCCTTACCCTACCCCTACCCCACCCCTACCCCTACCTCCACCCCTACCCCTACCCCACCCCTACCCCCCAAACTCCTGCCTCTGCTCCACCTCTACCCTTACCCTACCCCTACCCCACCCCTACCCCTACCTCCACCCCTACCCCTACCCCACCCCTACCCCCCAAACTCCTGCCTCTGCTCCACCTCTACCCTTACCCTACCCCTAACCCACCCCTACCTCCACCCCTACCCCTACCCTCCAAATTCCTGCCTCTGCTCCACCTCTACCCTTGCCCTACCCCTATCCCCACCACCCCTACCCCCACCACCCCTACCCCCACCCCTACCCCACCCGTACCCCATCCCACCCCTTTACTATTCATGCTGCATGACTGATCATCCACGTCTTAACCTCACCTGCGGTGCTTGACGCTTGACCTTTAACCTCTCAGGCCTGCCACACCAGTAACGGTACTCACCTATGATAGTCCTGACAATGCTAGAATCTTGCGTACCGACGACGATCTCAAAAGGTAGGCTATCCCATCATGCATTGGTATACGAACACCACGGTCCACTCCCCAGAATCATGAATGCTTCAGTAACCAGTCTAACAATTCTTTGTATGTATCCCATTGGTTAGATTTGTATACACTCAATATCAATCCCATCATAATTTTCACTGGATGATGTTAATTCACACGAGGAGGTTTAATCATTTTCATTCAAGTACATTTTATACTAATAATTCGATGATACCACTTTACCACTTGGCCAGCTTATTTTTTTAAGCACTACTGTAGAATGATTGTCAAAAACGTAACTAGAAAGAAGACTGCACAAAGCACTTGTCTGTTCAATTCTTAAGAACAATTTCAGGTTGTTTGACAACTCGCTTGATGAAGCCTCTCTTGTTCTTGTGTTTTGTTCTCGTTGAGGCTGAACAACAGTCTAGACAATTCCCGGCTGGATGACGAGCACAGACTGATCGCGCGTTACGCTGCCAGGCTGGCTGCGGCCTCAAATAACCCAGTAAGTACATTTTGAGAAGCTCCTCACCTTAAAAAAGTTCAAATCTATTGCAATGTCATTTTGAATACAGTGGAACGCCCCTATAACGAACATCGTGGGATCCACAGAAAGTGTTCGTTTTAACGATCGTTCGGTATAACGATTTTGAACCGCTGGTACCCTCTTTTAACCAATAGTGAACTGGCATTTCTCACATCCCGCGGCCGCACGAGAAGTCGTGCAACGGGTGGTTTTCCCTTTTATTCCTTGGGGAAATAATAGCCATCTATCGCTGTTCCAATATTCAAACACGATGTAGCTATGAGTCGTTTGATTTTCAGGAATTAAAAGTGGCCCAAACAGTGTTTAATACATGTACAACCAGTAGGCGTTTTTGTTAATCTGTTGACCTTTTTCAAAACGATGTTCGGTACGTTTTGTACATTAAAACCGGGAGCCAAGGATGATGTTCGGTGTAGCCGAATGTTCGGTATAGCGGTGTTCGGTGAAGCGGCGTTCCACTGTATAATGATAGTACTGAAAACCTGAAATAAAAAATTTAAACAAAATTCAATAAACCACAAAGGGAGACTGACATGATAATAAGTGTTATTAAGTCGAACAAAGAAATTGACTGGAGCAGGGTTTGAACCCCTGACCTCCGGATTGCCGTTCCGGTGCTCTGCCAACTGAGCTGCTCACACCTAGGTTGGAAGTTCCCCAAAAAGAAGAAATTATTAAAAACTTGTTTTTTGGGGGTTTTTTTGTTTCAGCCAACTCTCAGTGAACTCTCCTCTGATCTTGACGCCAATAAGGAACAGAGAGCACTCATCGCACAACTCGAGGCAAAAAACAGGTACCGAATGTAATACTTGAAGGTTTGCGTGATAGAGAATCAGTGAAATTAACGAGTTTGTGGTCGCATTCTTTTTTCATAAGCCCAATCTGGGGTGCGTTTTGGCGGTCATAACCAAGAATTGGTTCTGTTGTTTCTCTTTGGCTAATGGTTTTGGGGTTTTGAGTATTGCATTACCGTGAGTAAGTCTCGTCCATTTAAAATTCCCGCAGAAATTCACTGACAAGAAACAACCAAACCAATTCTTGGTTATGACCGCCAAAACGCACCCCAGGTATCCTGTTTTATACATCATAAGCATCCTACAGTGTTTCCCCTACCCATTCAAACGTGAGGCGGCCCACCTCGCTACTTTCAGTGACCACCTTGATCAGTTTTTGCCAATATCACCACCTCGCTGTGAAGATTTGCAATAAAGGAAATACTAATCGTAAAACTTTCATTTTGTGTAATTTATGGGCGTTTTCCTTTACCTCTGTGTATCAAGAACTCACAATTTGGATGTGTCGATGGAATCATCGCGCATTTTTGTGAGCGCTGCATCCTTTTCAGTTTGCAGACTGCGTCCATTTTGTTTCAATCATCAATTTGAATTTTTACCACCTCGCTCAGTTCATTAGATATGATATCACAGAACTGAAGTATATGTACAGACACCTTTTTGGCCATAGTTTTTTCCTTTTAAGTGATCATAATCAAACAAAAAGCAAAACTAATTTCGGATAACAGCTGTCAGAATGTTTGTTTTTAGTCACACTTGAAAAAACTATCTCACTTTCTGTTCCTCAACTAAATTTTTTTCAGTTTTCAGATATACTGTAGATAATTGTTCTTCTATTTCCTTTTTACATGTTGGACTTTGTACAACGTGCAGTTTTGACTTCCTGTATCTATTTGAAAATGTGCTGACAACTAAATGAATACTTAATACTAATGATATACACCTACAAATACTACTGCAGTTTTAAGAATGTTTTACGCATGAATTTTTGTTTACATTGTGGAATGATGGACTGATGTGTGGCATAATAAATTGGGTTCTCCTGGAAAGTCGTGAAGAATTCACGGAAAACTGTAACAAAATAAAAAGTCATGGGAAAAGTCATGGCAATCAAGATCATGGAAAGGATATTTTTTTATGGGCCGCTTTCAGGATGGCTGTAATGGGAGGAGGATGCCATTATTAATTAAAAAGTATTTTCAAAAGTTAACATGGAAAGATTCCCATATCTGGCCGTCACTTGTCACCCTGTGAACAAACCCTATGAGACTGGTCTGAGAATGTTTTCTCAGCAAATACTTCAATATTTTCCCTGCTAAATTTGACTTTTTAGGACATGTTACCACTTTCTGATGGTTGATAGGCCACTGAAGTGAAAAAATAGTGATGGCCAGATATGATGGCCAGAAAGATCTGTCCGCTAACATCAGCAGTTCATCAGTATCATAATACCAAAGAACTTTTCTCTGCAAAATGGCGTTAAATGTCATGGAAATTGTCATATTTTAGTCCTAGAAAGAATCAGGGAATTTGGTTTTCAGATTTCTGTGGGAACCCTGAATAAATTAAGGTGCAATTTAACACCAAGGTAAATCTTTTCAAAGCTAATTGACGCTGTCGTTTTGAAGCCATTATTGACGCAAAATTGTTGCGGATTTTGTCCCGCTCAGGGAGATCATGCGCGAGATCCAACGTCTCCGCCAGGAACACGACGAGGCGGTGCGCTCCCAGCCGCAGCGCAACCCCACCCTATTGGCCGAGCTGCGGTTGCTACGGCAACGCAAGGACGAGCTGGAGCTGAGGATGGCCGCGCTGCAGGAGAGCCGGCGGGAGCTGATGGTCCAGCTGGAAGGCCTGATGAAGCTGCTCAAGGTAGCCCTGGATACAACTCTGGTGGAACCCTGAGCTCTAAATTGAAATGTTGCAGTCAGTTCTAGAACTCTGACGGAACCCTGAGGTCTAAATTGAAATGTTGCAGTCAGTTCTAGAACTCTGACGGAACCCTGAGCTCTAAATTGGAATGTTGCAGTCAGTTCTAGAACTCTGACGGAACCCTGAGCTCTAAATTGAAATGTTGCAGTCAGTTCTAGAACTCTGACGGAACCCTGAGCTCTAAATTGAAATATTGCAGTCGGGTCTAGACCTCTGATGGGACCTTGAGGTCTAAATTGAAATGTTGCAGTCTGTTCTAGAATTCTGACGGAACCCTGAGCTCTAAATTGAAATGTTGCAGTCGGTTCTAGAACTCTGACGGAACCCTGAGCTCTAAATTGAAATGTTGCAGTCGGTTCTAGAACTCTGATGGAACCCTGAGCTCTAATTTGAACTATTGCAGTCAGTTCTAGAACTCTGACGGAACCCTGAGCTCTAATTTGAAATATTGCAGTCAGTTCTAGAACTCTGATGGAACCCTGAGCTCTAATTTGAAATATTGCAGTCAGTTCTAGAACTCTGATGGAACCCTGAGCTCTAAATTGAAATATTGCAGTCAGTTCTAGAACTCTGATGGAACCCTGAGGTCTAACTTGAAATATTGCAGTCAGTTCTAGAACTCTGAGCTCCAAATTGAAATATTGCAGTCAGTTCTAGAACTCTGAGGTCTAAAGAAATATTAGAACCCTGAGCTCTAAATTGACATATTGCAGTCAGTTCTAGAACTCTGGTGGAACCCTGAGCTCTTAATTGAAATATTGCAGTCGATTCTAAAACTCTGAGTTCTAAAGAAATATTAGAACCCTGAGCTCTAAATTGCAATATTGCAGTTGGTTCTAGAACTCTGATGGAACCCTGAGCCCTAAATTGAAATGGTGCAGTCAGTTCTAGAACTCTGATGGAACCCTGAGCTCTAATTTGAAATAATGCGGTCAGTTCTAGAACTTTGAGGGAACCTTTTGGTTGTCACATAAAGTAATTAATTCAGTACTAGAACTGAGGGAATCATTTGGCTCTAACGTTATCTTGATAACTTCAGTTCTGAGTTCTAGATCTTTGATAGAACTCTCAAGCTGTAGCTTGAAAAAAAATTGTTGTTCTAGAACTTGATTTAAAAAGCAGAACTTCTTGTATTCAGTCTCGCTGCATGACTTTTTGCCAACAAAAATCTTTGCCAATTGGACATCCTTTCTGTATAATTATTGCTAAGTTTTTTTCATGACTGCCTCGCAAAAGATAGGATGTAAAAAGTAATAGCATATATTTTAAAACCGATCTTTGACAAATTTTAAATGTTTTTTTTCCCCGTCTTCTCAGAGCCATGGCTCACCCCGTTCCAGCCCCAACCATACCTCGAAGAACAACAATGCCTCCACCACCACCCCTACCCATTCCGCTGCCATCCCGGGCGACATTGCCGCCTCTAGGAACGGCAAGCCAGCCAGCAGCGATGGCTCCAGAAATCTCCGGAGTGATCTACTCGTCGCGGCCGATTCGGTGACGAGTGCCATGTCGTCACTAGTGCGGGAACTCAACTCAGGTATTACACAGATGTGTTTTTGATTTAAAGGGAATATACAACATTTGCAAACATCAAAAAATAAAACTACCAAATCATTTTGAAATTCCTTGCTGGACTGTTAGTGAATGACAGTGTAAAGCATCCTGTAAAATCATGGCACCTGGTATACTGTCATTTTCAAGAAAAGTGGTATTTTTGTATCAATTTCCAACGCTGGTCGGCCGACCAGCGTTGGAAAAAACTGGCTTTTTTCAAATACTGGCCCCAATTGACCATCGCACTTGTTTGCAATCGATTACACACCTATGAACGGGTACAAGCCAGCTAGACTGGTTCCCTGACCTTACAATTCCCCAATGTATGTAAACTGCTCTGTTTCTTCTTATATGGAGTCAGGGAACCAGACTACAGGAAAATGATTGTTTTTCTTGGTTTTTATAGCATTTTCGAACCCAAAACCTCAAAAAAGTCAATGTAACTATATTTGCTATATATTTCCAACCCCCCAATTCCATCCATTTCTGAAAATTACAGCAAAAGCAAATGATTTATATTCCCTTTAATTTTTGTAATCATGAAATTAGGGGTTCCTCAAAACTTCACATTACCCGGGCAGCTGGCAGAAACCTAACAAAGACATTCTCAATCTCACAGAATATTGCAGGAAATAGCGGAGAAATCAGGCAAGGAATGAAAACTGTATCCACAAGGTTGAACCCTTGGACAGGGGGGAGGGGGGGGGGAGTAAAAGGCAAGAAGATTCCCCCTAGCCAACCCGACTTCTCATAATTGGACCTGGGCCCAATTTCATAGCACTGCTTAACAGTAAGCAAAAAAGTTGTGCTTACTATAGCAGAAAATCATGCTGCTGCTTAAGCACTATTTCATGCTAACGGTTGCGCGCGCATGGAGATTTTTATTGTTACGTCACTGATTTAAGCAAAGTTTTCTTCTGGGGTTAAGCGTGCTTTTGCTATGCTTACTGCTTAACGGTCTTTATGAAATAGATAGAGGCTCGGTAAGCACAAAGTCGGCTGTTAAGCAGCGCTATGAAATTGGGCCCTGGACAAGAACCCTGGACCCGTGGGCCATCTTTCGAACTTTACCAACTCTACATTTTATTCCTGTTTTGCTATAAAACTCTTGGTATACACTTATTTAACCTTTTTCTTGCTCCAAAATAGAAGCCAAGCCTCTTTCAGCAATAGTCTCATGTTGCGTTTTTGTTCTTCTTCTTGACAGAGGCTGATGATGATGACGATGACGATGACGACTTCATCTCTGAAGAGGGTACAGTCGTCAGAAGCCCTGACACACCCAGTAAGGACAACAAACCCAACAGTAGGGGTAGGACGCTCAATGAATATAAAAGTATCCCATAAACGCCTGTATTTCATCGTATTACATTGTGTTTAAAGGGCATGTACATCATTGGCTTTTGCTGTAATTTTCAGAAATGAACTATTTGAGAGGTTAGTATAATAGATCAAATATTGTTACACTGACATGTTTGAAGTTTGGTGTTCGAGAAGGTTGGAAAAACCAAGAAAAACAAAAAAGTTCAAGTAGTCTGGTTCCCTGACTCCACAAAAGATAAAATGGATCAATTTATAGATGATGGAAAATTGTAAGACAAGGGAACCAGTCTAGCTGGCCTGCACCCGTTCATGAACATGTAACCAATAGCAAACACAATTTGGACTGAAAAAAATGGTATATTTGGAGCAGTAGTTGAAAAATAGTTAGGTTTTCCAAAGCTGGTCGGCCGACCACCGTTGGAAATGTTTACAAAAATACCATTTTCTTGAAAATGACTTCACACCAGGTGCCATAATTTTACAAGATGCTTGAGACTGTCATTTACCAACATCCTAGTAAGGTATTTCGTAAGAACTTGGTAGTTTTATTTTTCGATGTTTGCAAATGTATATTCCCTTTAATCACTGAAGAACCATCAAACACCAGAGTGTTTGGGTGGTTTCAGGTGCTACAGTGAGTAAAGGGATAAAGTGGCATTTGTGTGTGCTTGTAGTCAAGATGTTTTCTGAGACCTCACGCAAATCCTCAAGTAATGAAACATCAGATTCCATCATGATTAGCGTGAATGAGAACGGACCGTTTTCCTACATCTTCCTTCTGGAAATGTTTGAATATTTGATGGAATGGAAATTGAAATATGTTACAAACAGCCCTCATCTCTGTACAATTATTACGATTGCTCAACAATCTGTGCTTAGGCCAAAAAAAAAAAGTCTCCGGTTTCTGGTATGCGCGCGCGTCGCCGTAGCCATGCGCGTCGGCAAAATGAAAAAGTTTTTTTTTCAATGAAAGATGATGTCTCAAAACCGCCAATCTCACTGGTTTGACTGGAATCCTGCTGCTGCACAATTTTAACGTGTTTTTAGATGGGGTTATGATCGAGAATAAGCTTTATGTGGCCTCTCTGGACTCCCATATATTTGCACTAAGTTTAGTCGGACACCATTTGCAGTCATCAGCCGACATTTGAAGCAAAAAAGTCAGGTAAAAAAAAAAAAAAAGCCGCGTCGCCACACCACTTTTTTTGGCAAGCTCCATACCAGAAACCGAAGACTTTTTTTTTGGCTTTAGATTTAGCCTGTAATTTTAGCTTTAAATTCTTTCGTAAAGCCCATTCACTAGGGCAAGATAATCAGGGAAGAGTAGAGGAAGGGATTTCTCCCATTGCAAGTTGTCTGTCTCTCTGATCGGCTTCTAACAGATCTACCCACAAGTCACAGGGCGGGCCAGCGCTCTGGGTCGACCGGCGAGAAGGGCAACAAGATGTCCGAGCAGGACTTCATCGCTGAGCTGACCGCGCGGAAAGAGGGACGGTCAAGGGAACACGCCCGGCCTCCCTCAGGACTCGATGTGTGAGTAAAACACAACGGGAACCGGACTATAAAAGCATGAATTGAACCCATTCGCCGGTTTGTATTACACTTTATAATATTTTAGTTATTCCTTGATAAATGTATGAAATACAGTGCTCGGGCAATCTAAGGGGTAACAGACAAAATGATTCAGTGTAGAAAGGAACAAGGTAATTTTATAACAAATATGATTAAGTTGATGATGATTGTTCTCTTCTTTCCTCTGCAAAATTGATAGTAGGGGAGTCAGGTTGGCGCAGTGGTACTTTCCTCGCCTTCCACCGCTGTGACCCAGGTTCGAATCCTGCCTGGGCCAATTTGTGGATTGGGTTTTCAGTCCCTACCTGATTCCGTGGGTTTTCCCCAGAATATTCCTCTGGGCTTTTCCTCCCACCTCTAAAACTGAAATTTCTTCTTATTGTCTTCTCTCTTCAGGTTTCTCCAGGCTTTCGGGCTACAGTGCCTAGGGCACTTTTGAGTGATCCTTGGTTTCATTACCAGAAATAAATAAAATAGTGTTATTGTTTTCCCTTTTCGTCTGCGATGTCAAATGATTCACCACTTGACAAATTCTTTCAGATACAGTCATGCCTACCACATGCATCCTGCGTTTTTTTCTTTTCCCCTTTTATTCAGCTCTGGGCAAAGCCAGACAGACGACGAGAGTTACATAGCCACTGATGATGCCGAGTCGTACGTGCGCACCGATGACGACAGTTACATGAGAACAGACGATGAACTACAGGGTCGAGTCACTGATGACGAGCTCAAAGAAGCTAAGGTAGGAAAACCCCTCCCCCCTCCTTTCTGTCATCTCTCTGCCCCTGCTTGAGGTAAGTCACTATTGCACTGACGGGATTCGAACAGTTACATGAGAACAGACGATGAACTACAGGGTCGAGTCACCGATGACGAGCTCAAAGAAGCTAAGGTAGGAAAAAACCCTCCCCCCCCCATTTTTGTCATCTCTCCGCCCCTCCTTGAGGTAAGTCACTTTTGCACTGACGGGATTCGAACCCACTAACTGCGCGTACTAGTGCAGATTTAACAACCATGTGTTAGGTATGCTTGCAAATGTTGACTGCCAGAATCAAACCTGGCCAAGATCATTTTTTTCAGGGGGGGGGGGTGGAAGGGGATGGGGTGTGATGGGCTTTAGAATGGATTGAGAATATTGCACATTATAAAAAGTCCCCCTGTCTTGACAAGTTTAGCGTAACGCATAGGGTTTGTCTTCAACTTGTAGGAAGTGTACCGACGTCACACGGACGACGAAAGTTTCAACCGCACCACCACAGACGACGAAAGCTACATCCGCACCGATGACGACGAACCACGCAACCCCCTCTGGGAAGACAACACCCGCCGATGGATCAATCGGTGATCGATAATCAATTGAATCAATAGCCAGTTATCGATAGCCGATCTGTTTTATCTGTATCAAAGTCTGGCAGTGGAAGAGCTAAGGTTTTGGAAATGGGGGACAAGTCTTTGGTTAAAATTTCATCTGAAAGAGCGGTTTGTTCTTGGCAGTTATAATTCGGATAGGGTTGCTGTTTTTTGTGGTTAGTCTACTTCATTCACAGTTTTGGAGAATATTGCTCAAAATCCATGACAAATGTGGAAATTTTCTTGTTTTTCCCACCGTAAAGAATATACAGTAGTACCCGTCACTGACAGCAACTTATGTCCCAAAGCTGCATTTTTGTCAAAACACAATGAGAACAAACTCGAAATGGTTTCGGAAGCTGCGGCTCAACTGTAGACCTGCTGTAGCCTATAAGTCATGTACATGATGTACAAGTCTGTTCTTATAATGCACAACTACTCACGTGGTCGTGACTGTCAATTGAAAAAGATTCCCATTATTTTGTTGAACATCAGTTGGTGCATGGAGTGTTTTATAGCATGTGGAACACCCAATTTGTGTGCAGTACAGCGCCAGCCCCAATGCGAAATGAGTGACCTCGTGGCCCAATTTTCCACCACTGCAATAATTTGGTAGAGTCAGTGGAGACCTGAAGCACGTGTTGTTGCGAGGGCCTAAGAGACAAGGTGATTGATTGCCGTAAAGGGCATTTGCTGAAGTTTGTTACTAACCAACGTAGCGACACGATCATTTCTTGAGCTACTTTCCGCAGCTAAAAAACTCTGGTTTTACTCCGATCTCCTCAGAGATTTAACACGCATGGTAACCATCGATGTACCTATACCAATACTCCAGGGTGCAAAGCTTCGAATCTAATGAGAAAAAGAATTTTGGCTGAACCTCCAGGATGGAAAAACCTTAACTCTCCTACTGTATTTGTAAAATGTTTATTTAAACCCACAGTATGTATACTTGTAAAAAAGTAGAAACATTAGAGTACGTCTCAAAGGTAGGAGACAAGATGGCTGGGGTCACTTTTTGTAAAAAGGATCATGTATCTCCCATTCCTATTTAATTTTCCATAACTTTTTACTTTGAAATTCATCTTCGGTAAATAATCACTGCCGCACTAATTAATTCATATATTCGTAGCCAACGATCGTTGCGCTGAATATCAGTTGATAAAAGCTAATGAATATTCAATATGGAATAATGATGCATTAATGAATACTAATGATCACTTCATATTGGTTTTTGATCAATGCATTGGTTTAACTGCCATTTTGAGTTGATTTGGAAGATTAACATAAAAACACCAGCCTGTGTATGTTAGAATCAGCAGCTGTTTAGTGTCGTAGATTTTTGGAAAGTGAGCTTTGCTATGATAGAATTCACTCATGAAATAGCAGTTGTATTCTTGTCTATTCACCACAATGAACCTTTGTCAAGGACGTCGAGGTCACTGTGGTGAATCAGCTTTTCTTTCAGCGAAATGTACCTGTCACACGTGTCATAAATCTGTTGTTTTTTTTATTACATATCAGCTCAATTTTGAAAGTTTTCTTTGTCTTGGATTATCAATAAGAAAATCTAGGCTACGTGAGGTTCTCTGATGCTGACTTGTTTGAAGGTCAGTAAGTGCAGTCATTCTTTTTGTATTAAGCTAAAAGGCAAGGTATGTGACGTATGCGTGGATCACATGTTAAGTTTACCTCGGCAAAACTTTGCTCTTTAAATAACATCATACAGGTGGGTCTTTCCATGGAGTTTGGACATACTTGTAAGAGTTTAACACATTTTAAAGGGAATGTACATCATTGGCTTTTGCTGTAATTTTCAGAAATGAACTATTTGAGGGGTTAGTATAATAGATCAAATATTGTTACACTGACATTTTTGAAGTTTTGTGTTCGAAAAGGTTGGAAAAACCAAGAAAAACAAAAATGTTCAAGTAGTCTGGTTCCCTGACTCCACAAAAGATAAAATGGATCAATTTATAGATGATGGAAAATTGTAAGGCAAGGGAACCAGTCTAGCTGGCCTGCACCCGTTCACGAACATGTAACCAATAGCAAACAAAATTTGGACTGAAAAAAACAGTAAATTTGGAGCAGTAGTTGAAAAATAGTTAGGTTTTTCCAACGCTGGTCCGCCGACCACCATTGGAAATGTTTACAAAAATACCATTTTCTTGAAAATGACTTCACACCAGGTGCCATAATTTAACAAAATGCTTGAGACTGTCATTTACCAACATCCTAGTAAGGTATAAAGGTAATTCGTAAAAACTTGGTAGTTTATTTTTCGATGTTTGCAAATGTTGTTTATTCCCTTTAAGATAATGTATACAGGGTCACTCAGTTTAACATCATTGATAACATTTTGGAGCAACCCCTTATACTTAATATTCAATGTCCGAATGTCACAAAATGTTCCCCAAACCTCATGGGAAGACCCATGAGCATTAAACTTAAAACCGCATGCATGTTAAAGGAATATACATCATTTGCTTTTGCTGTAATTTTCAGAAATGGATGGAATTGGGGGGTTGGAAATATATAGCAAATATAGTTACACTGACTTTTGTGAGGTTTTGGGTTCGAAAATGCTATAAAAACCAAGAAAAAATCATTTTCCTGTAGTCTGGTTCCCTGACTCCATATAAGAAGAAACAGAGCAATTTACATACATTGGGGAATTGTAAGGTCAGGGAACCAGTCTAGCTGGCTCGTACCCGTTCATAGGTTTGTTATCGATTGCAAACAAGTGCGATGGTCAATTGGGGCCAGTATTTGAAAAAAAAGCCAGTTTTTTTCCAACGCTGATCGGCCGATCAGCGTTGGAAATTGATACAAAAATACCACGTTTCTTGAAAATGACAGTATACCAGGTGCCATGATTTTACAGGATGCTTTACACTGTCATTCACTAACAGTCCAGCAAGGTATTTCAAAATGATTTGGTAGTTTTATTTTTTGATGTTTGCATTTTGCAAATGTTGTATTTTCCCTTTAAGCGCTGGTGGATGTACATGTGTGGGAACATGCATTCAAACAAGAACTTCAAACTTCTCAATTTTGAATTTATCACATCTCACATTTTACAGTTATCAAATCATGTTTTAATTTAAAAAGCCGTGCTCTAATTTTCATATTTAATAAGCAGCCTGGGTTTTATATTTTAGCTTGTAAATTGAATGTACATACCGAAGAAAATTCATCATTATTATAGTCCCATATATATAGGCCCTATATTTGAAGGCTATTTCCTCCTTTTTTTCTAATTTTTTTTTTAAGTTTGACAAAACTATCAACATATAACAAGGGATTGGGAATAGAATCTACCTGCTTTGGGGCTAAATCATGCTTATTTGAAAGGAGCGGGTACAATATACAGGCATGAGATTTTTTCAGACTTTCGTCTGAAATCAGACTTTTTTAATCTGAGAGAAAGACATTTTCAGTATAGAAAGATCTGCATCTTCCAGTCCTTTCGGCAATTTTCAGCCCTTTTTTTATTGACAAGCTCATCCCTGAATATACTGCAAAGAGCATGAACAGGGTGAGTAAAAAAACCCAGGAAACCCAAATGGCAGGATCAATTTTTGAATGACGTTTTGCCTGTAGCACTCTCAAAATGTAGGATATGAAAGCCCAATTCATAAGCTTTCTTTTAGTACAAGAATCATTCAAATCACTCACGCACTTGTCAAGTGCATGAGGAATTTAAACACGACCACCGTTTTAAAGTTTTGTCCACGGATCACACAAAAATGTGTGTGCGTGTGGTAAAGTTTTCAATTTTGAAAGTGAAGTTTCAAAATGCTCTTATTTTAACCAGAATTAATTTCCTTGGCTGAAATTCGGACTTAATATCCCTTTTCTAAAGCTCTTTCATTTGCGACAAGATCAACCCACCTTGGAAATTCCTTGTTTTTGAGTAAAATCCATATATCTATTTCGTGAAAACCTTGTGGAGACCTATTTATCTATAGAAATTGCCTTGTCAAGGATACAAATTTGAGCACACACGAGAACAAAGAAATGTCTCCTCAAGGATACACATTTGAGAGTGGATGTTCTTTCAGCAAACAAAAATAATTCACACACTTCCCTGTGTGGTCTTGTTTCGTTTTGCTGAAAGGACATTTACCTTTTTTGTGATCCATGGACAGAACGGTGGTTGTGTTTAAAAAAAAACTTGAAAAATACATTTGAATGATTTTTGTACTAAAAGAAAGCTTATGAATTGGGCTTCATATTCTAGATTTTGCAGGTGATACATGCAAAAGTTCATTTAAAAAAATGGTCCTGCCATTTGGGTTTCCTGTTTTTTTAACCAAAAAGCCCAGCGTTTTTCAGACACGCCCCACTTTTTTTTTACAGTTTCAGCTTAAAGCAAATTTTCCAAACGCGTGTAATTTCCTGTTTTCAGGAGAAAAAGAAAGAGAAAGAGGAACCTATGAGTAATAATTATGCACTCCAAACAGAAAGTCCATTGTGACGAAACTAAACATCGGAGGAAATCAACACCGCTGATAAGGAATGTTAGAGTCTCGCATCCGCAAAAAGTTTAACCCTCAACTTCACCAAAGTGCAAAATGTCCCTACCGATTAATAAACCGGTTATGTTGGTCGACCGTTAAACTAATTATGTCACAGCTTTGCCACCCCAAGTTAAACTTTGTAGCAGTGAGAAAGAAATATCATGTTAGGCTTTGACATTTGATAGAGAAGCGTTCACATTGACAAGGAACAACTTCCACATTGAGATATAAAGCAACGTATGCACCGTGCACATTGCAAAAAGGTACAACGTTCATATTGAAAAGAGTAACATTAAAGTGTCGTTCCAGGGCCATCGTACATTTACTTATTTTCTCACTAAACATGAATGTTACCAGAAACAAAATTTTTTAACTTAATTTGAAGCTCAATTTTGAGATAATTTGGGTGAGGTATCACGTCATGTCTATGGCGGATTGAAATAAAAATTGAATTACAAGTAGCGTGGTATTAGTTTCTTTGGTTTTTTTTACTTCAAATTACATGGCAGCGGATCATCGGTGATTTTATCCTGTGTACATACCTGTGGAATGTCTTAACTATTCGTGTATTTCGCATCGGGAAACTTAAAAGTGTTACGCACCAAACGTAACGATTAAAATGTACAAAAAAAACAGCAAAGGCATTCTGGTTGTGATTTCAGAGTCCGAGTCTCGATTTAAAATTCGGAGAAAAGCTAATTGCGAGGAGGTTTATAGCGCCCATTAAATTGTTCCTTTTGTCCACCCCTAAAAAGCTTTCATACAAAGCATGTCTATTTCAAAATCGATGCTTGTTTATGTTTACACTTTACATGTATAAAATATTCAATTGTTTAATGTAAACCCTAAGAATCTTTTACAACTTTAAACATTTGCATTTCTCAGTTAACTAAGTTTACAGAGCCACATAAAAATATTAAGAGAAAAAATGCCGTCAACAGATTCTTTAACTTTCAGCTTTATTGCAAATATCGTGGTATGTTGGTATACCGTGTTTACCGCGCGTATACCCCATGCTGACTTCCCCCTCGTTCAAAATGCACATGCGCGGAAATTATTAGCCACTACGAACATGCGCGTTTGTATCCAATTCAACCTCAGCACGGGGTATATATCCCGCTTCTATTCATCATCACTGCAGCAACCGCAGCAGCAGTCGCCAGCATCGTCGTCGTCGTCAAGTTCTTTTCTGACGCACTTGGTGACACGCCGGAAACAGGAGAGCAGTTGCCTCCGACGTTGACGTCGCCTCTTCCTCCCCTCGGCCGTGTTGGTGTCTCCCGCCAGGGCTACCGCCGCCTCCTTGGCCGCGACTCCCCCGCCCTCCTTCTCTTCCTCGTCCTTCTTGCTTTCCTTGCTCGCTGTCTCCTTGCTCTTGGATTCTGAAGGATCTTTGTCTTCCTTCTTGGTGTCTGAATCCTGCTGTGTTTGCGCGTCTTGACCGCTGTCTGTGGCCGTCTCTGTGTCGTCCTGTTCCCTGTCCGCACTCTTGTTTTCAGACGCGTTGCTCATTTTGTTTCCTCGATCAGAAGCCCTCGAGCGATCTAAAAAAAAAAAGCAGCATAAGGCCAAAAAAAAAATGTTCGGTCTCTGGTCAGCCCAAAGTTCCGGAATTGACGCGGCCACGCGGCTTTTTTTTTGTTTTTTGGCTTTTTTTTTCTTTTCTTCAAGCTTGGATTGTACAGACAAGGTGGGTTACTATTTTGTTTTTTTTGGTGTCCTCATGTACATTAGTGTCCTCCATAATTTGCCTTGGTGCTTTCGATCACTTGCCTTGGTGCAATTTCCCATTCCTTGGTGCTCTTTGGTAAAGAAAAATGAGGAGGTGCGGAAATAGAGGGCGCTGTTGGAGCTACCGCGGAACATTTTGGAAAAAAAAAATCGACGCGCATGATTAAAATCGACGCGCGCGCTGACCAGAGACCGACTTAATTTTTTTTTGGCCTAAGTTGGAAAGCATACTTTCAGTTTTCTTTCGAATTGTTTGGGAAACGTCTGGGTTAGGGGGGAGCAGCTTTAGTAACGGGATTCAGTAACTTAAAGTAAATTTAATATGCATTTTAAAATATCCATCTGGAAACTCATTGAAACCATTACAGTTTACGTTCTGGCTCTTTTCGAAACTTGCAATCTATTCCATATTTATTTTTGATTTATATTATAGTCAGCTGTGTCTTTTTAAATAAACTCCAGCTACTGTAAGGGGCCATTCAGAATTTTCAATGTTTTAAAATTTTGATCTTTTTTCCAAATTGTGGGTGGGTGGGTCAAGCTAAGTAATTGAAAATCGAAATTCACTTTCCATTGAAAAAAGATTTAAAAAACCAAAGACAGAATGATCTTTTGACTTGCCTGAACTACGCGCAGGCGTTCCGATATCGCGATGCGTGTTTCTTTTCCAACTTCGTCCCCTGTATGTACTGTCAGTGGCGTAGCCAGGAATTTTTCAGTGGGGGGGCGCTGGGGGGGCTGGAACATTTCATGGGGGGGGGGCGTCATGTAGATCAATGATAATTTGTTTAGAAACTCAAAATCTCAGTGGGGGAGGCGATTGGGGGGGCGACAAGGTTTCATGGGGGGGGGGGGGGGCTGTCGCCCCCCCCCCCCCCGTGGCTACCATACAGTTAAAGTTTATGTAAACTTGTATGAAAAGTCAAAGAAAAGTAACTCCCATGATCTATTTGACACCAAGTTTGTGTTAACTTGCCGGTAACGCCCTAAGAAATTATCCAGACAACTTAATGTTTATTTTGTAACATTTTATGTTCGTCTGTCGGTCTTCTATGCAGTTATGTTTACTTTTAGGTACCTTCAATGGTACTTTGTTTAATTAACCTGTTCATTTGTTTAATTAAACTAATAACGCACATATAGTTGCCAAATATGGCACTAACAAGTTTGAGGTCGGCAATTTCGTCTTTAAAAATCTGGGTACGTCGGGTTACCGTACACACAATTGTCCTGGAAACAACAGTACCAAGGTACAGAAAGTCGTACGCAAGAGCTCCCCAGCAAGTATCGCTGACGCCATTATGATTCCAAAATTTCTCACTGTGTCACACACTGAAATAACTAAACAGCGTCGTTGTATTGTGAACACATAAAAGCATTCAAGTCGCGTTCTTGCACACTTTCTGCAAGTCGACATAGATATCCTTGAACCACTGTCCCATCTTTGCATAACAAGTGCACATGAATGAACGATTCGACTTTTATTCAAAGAAATTTCTATGTACAGTCACCAGACTCTATTCAGTAAAGTCCCCGTCAAATCTTAAGTAAACAATCCACATGCATAACCACGGCTACACCATCTACAGTGTGGCAGGGACACCAACAAGTAACACGGCAACAACAAATTTTTTTTTTAAATTGATAAATATTCTGATTGAATTTCGTTAAAAGATACTTGTTGGTGAGGTATCACTTATTCTAGCAAACTGATAAAAATGTACAATATTAAAATTAAAAAAAAAATGGAAAATAAATTGTAATGCTTATCATGTATAGCGCTTTTCATCGTATCAATAATCTCAAAGCGCTTTACTTTTCCGTTCATCAGGCCACGAGACCACGCGGCAGCCGGTATCAGCGCACAGTCGGTCCTCGATCTACCCACACAGGTACCCATAGGTTCCTGCGTGGAGATAGGCAATTGTAGTAAAGTGTCTTGCCCAAGGGCACAAACACCATGTTCCTGGCAGGGTCGAACCATGAGACAAACACCGTTACCACTGGACCATGGCATTCTACTACGCATATTTCTATAGAGTACAGGCAAATTAAGGTTTCGTCTGAAAGTGCACACAAATTCGGCGCACATGAATAAAAGTTTATCCGACGACAGCCCAATGAAACCCAGCACCAGAATTCACTCCCCACCCCTTTTTGTATCAAATAAAACCATAATGATCTTACCACGTATTAAAGCTTAACTGCAGGATGATGGTTTGCAATATAAATGAAGTCCTCGATCCAATGCAGAAACTCCCAGTAGGTGTCGGTTCTGCAGCAACGTGCGTTTGGTACAGCTCTTCCACCAAAAGTTCCACAAAATGTTCAACCCTTCTCGAAAATCATGAATTTATATATAGCCAGCGGCTGAGTGGGCCAATTGAACATTTTATTTCCTCCTAAACACAAATAAAAATGTTTTGTCTCAGTCACCGATCTTCTAGTGGTTTCAGTTTCAGTCCGGTGCATTGTGGTTCTCGCTTACAACCAATCAGGAGGAAGAGCAGTGGCACTAACGGGAAACGGGGGGTTCCCGGTAGTTTTTCCCCAGAAATCGGCGTCGCAGTGTCCAGCTCTCTGGTAGGGATCATTCTGATCGATTTCCCGCAAGACTGCTCGCAACAAGGCCAGAGCTGTTTGTGCACTCGCACTGGTTTTGTTCTCATTTCCGTCATTCAAAATTGAGTGTTGCAAGTTCTTCAGAATTTTGAAATCTCTTTTTTGAGGGGTGGGTTTTTGGGAATTTACAGTTGTATGCTTGAATCAAAGACAATCGACCCCAGAAATGTTTCAACTGGACTGTGCACACACTGTGCAAGGTCCCGCGGAGTTGGGCGTGGGAACGGGTGCAAAAACCAAGCCAGACAAATTACTGTGACAAACTGAAACTGGTACAGAACCACACCTAAACTACCATGCGTAAACGTGTTCACAAGATATGATTACTTGATAATCCCCTCTGCCGTTATGTACAAGTATGAATGTTGGGGAAATCTCTGAGATTATGTTCTTGTCAAAAACAAAATGGTCTAATCATAAACAAACGACATCTGAGAAAATACAGTTGTTTCACGAAGTCAATGCCATGTTTCTTCGCTCTCGGAAACTATTTTTAAACATTTTTTAACCCTAAAGGGGCCGGGTTATTTTGACCATCTCTCAGCCGGGGGGGGGGGGGGGGGGGGGGGGGGGGGGGGGCGGATTCCGCCCCCCCCCTAAGATCTCGGCCATCGAGTGACGAACATTTTTGAAACTCACTACATGCATAGAACAACTCTTCCTCAACATGCCCAAGAAATTTCATGACTATAGGTCAAAGGGTTTTGGAATTATGGCTAATTAATTATTCATATGTATGAATGCCAATTCTGCTCGGTGTACACGACGTATATGTGAAAATTCAGTTTTCACGGCGCGTAGCGCCGGAAAAGTTTTCGCTACGTGCAAACCCGTGGTCCGATTTTTATGTTTTTGGTATCAAAAGATGCGCAAAGCTCGAGGCTAAAAAGTCATAATAGCTGGGGTCGCGAAAAAAATTTTTTTAGAAGCTATCGCGGAAAATGTTGAGGGGGGGGGGGCGGATTCCGCCCCCCCGGCCCTTTTAGGGTTAAAGCTCCATCCTAATCGTCATCACAGTCACAGTCGCAGTCGTCACAGTCACAATCTTCACACATCCCACTGCAGGCAGCCATTAGGAGGCAGCACTCCACCGCGTCTGATGCACCGCTGCCTCGACGCCGCCTCCTCTCCTTCACGGTGATCGTAGTCGGCTGTGGCTGCGGCTGCCGGGTTGCTGCCGTGGACTGATGGGTATAAGCCGCCCTGCCCCCCTGGTCGTCCACTGACACTCGGACGTGGCTTGCAGCAGTAGCCTGTGGCTTGGGATTAGGGGGACGATGGGGCGGAGGGTACGATATAGGCTCTGGTGGGCATGGGCTAGGCTCTGGAGGGTATGGCACATGTGCAGCAGGGTATGACCTGGCATCTGGTGGGTATGGGCTAGGCTCTGGAGGATAGGTGTCATCAGCTGCAGGTTGTGAGGTTATAATCTTCTCTGGAGGGTTGGATGGTGGGTACTCATCTGTACGAGGTGCAGTGGGCGCTGTCATGATTACCTCGGGATGGAGGCCTTATGGGTTGGCGCCGATGATTCTGGGGAAGGGGGGGGGGCGGAAGCAAAACAAGGTATATTTAAAGGTAGCTAGAGAATCATGAAATCTGTTCCTACAGATACTCATCCTCAATGCATTGGTTACCGGCGACCCTTACGTAGGACTAGACCCTAGACCAATCCAGACACGTTATTACGTACTTCTATCGCGGATGCCCCCTTCAATGGCGAAAGCATTGTGCTAGCTATTGTTCAGATTAATCCACCATGGAGCAGAAACTTTGCCCAATAGCTCATACAGGCCTACATTGTCTTCGCCATTGAAGGGGCCTCCTGACATACAGTATGGGCCCGGATTGGTCCACCGAGTCCTTACGATTCCTCAGTGGACGGATTGTTCTGCATGATTCAATACGTGTGTCGCCGCAGCAGGACGGATATTTGGGGCATATAATTGTTTTTACTTACCGTCTCAATTAACGCCTCGTCCACGCCTGTCGACGGTATTTCACACACAAAAAATGACTAGCTTTCCAGTCACTATAACTGAGAATGAGAACAAGCAGATTTTAACACAAAATGGCGCTCTTCACGGCCAAATGAACTACCTTCCATTGAGAGTACTGGCTAAACTAATTTGTTGTGACCGTTTTGTCGTGTTAATGTTTAATTTCTGCTCAGTGCGGATGATCTCATGATCTGTGAAGCACTGAGTTGAACTTTTGGACCTTATCCCATGGTACACCACCAACGCGTACGTAAATGTATTTGAATTTTTTGTTATAGGGTCAAGTGTTAGATATCACTTTTGTGGGAAAATTAGCCCTTTTGAAGTATGGCCGACAATAGGAGGGCGCTTTTGGTTTGGGTATCAAAAACAAAGACTTTATCGAAATCAAATAGCGCCCCCATTTTGTCTGCCATACCTTATACCGGGTGAGTTAAAAAAAAAAAAAAAAAAGGAAACCCAAATGTCGAGACCATTGTTTTAGTGAAGTTCTGCATGTAGCACTTTGAAAAAAACTCAAATACGAGAGCCCAATTCATATGCTTTCTTTTAGTTCGAATCACTCATGTACTTTTCAAGTTACGGAATTTTAAAAGCAACCACCGTTTTAAAGTTCTGTCCACGGATCACAAAAAGGGAAGTGTTCTTTCAGCAAAACAAAACAAAAATCACCTGTGTGAATTGTTGTCGTTTTGCTAAAAGAACGCACGTCCTTTATTGGGGGTGATCCGTGGACGGAACTTTAAAACGGTGGTTGTGTTTAAAATTCCGTAACTTTTGAATGATTCTTGTACTAAAAGAAAGCTTATATGAATTGGGTTTTCATATCCTAGATTTTGAAAGTGCTACATGCAGAACTTCACTAAAACAATAGTCCCTACATCTAAATTCCGCGGGTTTTTTTTACTCACCCTGAATACCTTAATATCAATATTGGCGATGATACAAGCAGCGCAGGAAAAGCCACTCTATATAATTATGTGCTCAGAATTATCTAAATAGTTTGCTAAGATACCATGTTGACTATCAGCTAGCTTAAATTGTGTGGAAAGAGGGCAGGGATCATTGAACGGAACTTGTGAAATATTACAGGTGTTCTAAACTGCACGACTACCTAAAAACTAGGTGAGATTTATGAAGAGGCTTTCCGTTACAAAATTGGATCTGTAGCTGTTTCATCACGTACAATGACCTTGTTATTCTGTTTTGCAGAGTGGGTTTGCAGATGGAACGTGTAAAATAAAGAGTCAATTACTAATTTACTCATTCCAAGCAGGATGCAATTTTATTTCGTTTAAGAAAAATACTCGAAACTGTTACAATAACCTGGGCATATTCAACACGTCAGAAATAAACATTTATTTTTACACTTTCTAATGCATTTACTAGAAAGTTGCTTAATCGTATCGAACTTTAGTTTTAGCCACATATCGGACAAGAGAGAAAATATGGCGGCAAAGACAATCCACCAAAAATGTTTAATTCACAATACAAAGTGTAACAGATTTACAAATTGTATACAGTTGATAACTGGTAATTACAAATGAACGAAAACAAGCCACCCATGAATATGAACAATCTATATCTGATACACAAACATACATCATTTAAATAGAAAAGAATGTTAATTTGAACGCGTAAACAGATTCCCAATGCAGCAGCGTGTAACAACAACAAAATGTTTACAAAACGTAACAAAACAAAAAAAAAAGAATCAAACAGAAAAACAGACACATTTTATGCAGTCAATAAAAGCAGACCAACAGAAAAAAGTATAATAATTAATACATTAATACGAACATTCTGAACAACAAAACAAAACATCACCTCATAACGAAAATATCAAAATGTCCATAAAATGTTACTAAAAACCTACAGAAAACGCATGGCTACGGCGACGCATGCGCATACCAGAAACCGGAGACTTTTTTGTTTGGCCTAAAACAAAAGAATCATTCCTATTGTGCAAAAAAAACAGTTAAAATGAGGTATGCATTTTTACCACACACCCCGCTACCAATAAATCAATTACGTTTTGTAGCGGATTCCATGATGTTTGCTATAGAACTGATGCGTATAGCAGCCATCTTAGAGGGCATCTTGTTTGTTATTTTAATTCACAGAATAAACAACGAATGCATCGAAGGTTCATTCGTGCATATCACAGAACAACAAGGGCACTGCCCTCTACGGTGGCCGCTACGCATGAGGTTCATAGTGCCGTACTGTAGTGTAAACTATGGCCAACTTCGGGCAAGGACCATTAGTCGACTAGTGGTTGATTTGTGACGTACCTTACGCCTGCGCACTGATAGCAACGTGCGAACGTCTCTAGTCAAACGCTGGTCAAAATGTCATCGCAAAACTTCTGGATCCTTGCTCTCTGCTAGCGTTATGAATGCGCGCGGCTATTGGTTACCAGCGAAGCAACCAACCCCAGTAGGCTGGTTCCAAATAGTCGACTAGCGTAGTCAACCACCGTTGACTAGACAGAGTTCGGGCAAACGTTAGTTAACCATTGGTCATCTATAGTCCTTGCGCGAACTTGGCCTATTCTGACAGATGAACATCTAGAAAACAGAGCACCGAGTTGTCGTCCTGTGAGCTGCATGATCGAGACGTTAGGCTTCCAGCATCCTCATCCGTAAAACCGAGCACCACCTTGCGTCTAAAGGGTAAGTAAGAAATGAGAATAAAATGCATCAAGGGAGTTCGATTTTGTGTGTGATTCTATCTTACTCTCACAGTGGCATCAAAGTCATATTTAAAATGCACTTCCTTCTATCCACCAGGACGGTGGTATATCTGACCCACCTGCGAGTTGATTGGAGTCAGGAGTGCCAATTACGCTGTGCAACGTGCGTCTGAGGGGCATCTGATCGGAGATTATTGACCCAGCTAGGAGTCGCATACACATCAATCAAGGTCAGCACCATCAGGTGAGGTGTTTAAAACCTATTGTATAGAGGTTCGAAAAAAATAATATTGAGTTTGAAAAACAAATTGAGCATGATATAGGTTGTATAGTGTGTAATACATTATAATAGTGAACACTGAAAACTAACAAAATAAGTATTTCCTAACAAAATTGCAACTGTTTCTCAGTCTCAGATTCATGTCTTTTCAACATTTTTGCAAGTGGCGTCAGGATGCAACATTCTGTCCGAAACGTATTTTCAACTGAGCGTGTTTTCATAAGGAAAAACAGTATCGTCATCAAAATAATCTACCAAACTAAAGAAAAACTAGGTCAAGGGTTGAGTTTTTACTCTTACCTTCAATAGATTACAGAGGCACTTGCTTCATAGCGGATCAGCGCGTAGCACACCGTCCATCGAAAACCTATGTGAAACTGTTGGCAAAAACAAACTGGGAAACAAAAAAGGTGACGCCAAGCGCTAACAGCTGCAACGCTCTCGCCAGCGCGCCGCCTCTGTGAGATGTTTTGACTCTGATGGTCCCTATATAAAGCGATCGAGATAGACTCGCTGAGCACTACTCACGGGCTGAGATGTAGCAGTACAAGCTGCCAAGCGTGAAGTATCCTTCCTCGCTGCCAGCACCACCACCGGTGTCACCGAAGCGTAGCTGGACCACCGGGAGAACATCGGAGCGATAGTCAATTAGGGTAGCGGCGTCCTCGAGCCAGGAGGCTTGCTCCGCGTCGCAGTTACACTTCTCGCTGGAATCTGATGAGCATATAAAAAAATCAAAAATCAAAGGAATTTCTGATCAACCGTTCATTTGTACACCAAAAAGTCCCTGCCCAATTAATCAGGTTCAGGGTCAAAACCGACACTTTGCTTGGTCAGAATGACACTTCTGCCAAGGTTGCCAGGTCAAAATGACCCGGAAAATGAGTATAAGAGGAGGTCATTTTGACCAGAATAAGGGTCAATTCTGACCCTGAAATGTGTCAAGTTTGACGTTGAAAAGTGTCAAATTTGACCCTAAAAGTGTCAATTTGACCTTGACAAGTGTTAATTTTGACCTTGATGAGTGTAAATTTTGACCTTGACGAGTGTAAATTTTGACCCTGAAAAGTGTTAATTTTGAACCTGACAGGTGTCAAATTTGACCCTGAAAAGTGTCAATTTTGACCTTGGAAAGTGTTAATGTTGACCCTGAAAAGTGTCAATTTTGACCCTCAAAAGTGTCAGGCTAAATAGAATCCAGATGCCTGGTCAATCCGACCAGAGACTGTTTTTGTCAACGGCTGCCTCTCGAGTTATAAAGGACTTACCCTGGCAACTGCCGTCGACGCCACAGCTGCAGTAGCCGCTCTGCAGCGGCCCTCCATTGGCACTGCCCCAGTAGTCCTGACTCTGGCCGTCAAACGATACCCACCAACTGGTACCACTCTTCAAGAGTTTAGCGTCTGGTTAAAAAGAAATGGTGAGACACTTGTCATTCAAAGAAAATAACAAGAAACTGCCGTCAGCAACAGGTAAATTTCTGTGCCTAATAATGAACACGACCTTCTGTGACGTGGATGCATGCATGGACGTGGACCCCTTGTTCACGTAATATATGGACGTGCCACTTTTGAAGCAGTGACTTCTGTTTGGTAATGAGGTGTACAGGTAGTCTCATAACTAAAGACTTTCTAAGTCATTATCTTTGTGGAGCGCTGTGGTCGAATGGTTACGGTGGTCAACTCACGTGCCGTGGTACATATTGGCTCAAATCCTGACGGGGAACATTGTGCTTGTGTTCTTGGGCAAGACACTTCACTACGACAGCCTCCCTCCACCCCGGAGTATAAATGGGAACCTGTGAAGGTATAGAGACCAGAATGCGCTGATCTCGAGCTGCTGATCTCGTGGCCTGATGAACAGAGGTAATAACTGTGAAGCCCTTTGAGACCTTTGGTATAAAGCGCCACAGTACCGCATTATGAGCCAGCTTATAGCTTAGAAGCTGCTGATAACAGACTTACTGTAGCACTCGTACTTAATGTCCTGTACGCATGTCTGATAGTAGTCTGCGTCCGGGAGAGTAAACTGTGCCTGTAGCTGAGCCACGTCCATGTTCTCGTACAGGACGGATCGAATGAAGGAGCCCGCCGAACCCTCACCGGCGACGTGTGTGCGAGACTCGCTGTCGTGGCTGAGTTTAATCCGGGCGTGAGTGGAGTTGAAGGTCACATTGCACTCAGCTGTACATCAAAGGGAAGGAGATGCTCATGGTCATGTTGGGTTTTTTTTTAAATGGGACTTTGTGTCTGAATATTTGTTTCCTTTCAAAACCGGCACTATAACAGGCTTCTGTATTTGAATGGAACAGATCGACTTGCGGATGATTAAAAACCCAGACACTTTAATATCTCATCTCACAACTGAAACTTTAGTTGTCTTAACGGAGGAGTCGGGTTGGCCTAGCGGTGCTTTCCTCACCTAGCTTCCACCGCTGTGATGACCCAGGTTAGACTCCTGCCTAGCAGCCTGGGCCAATACGCGGATTGGGTTTTCAGTCCCTCCATGATTTAGTGGGATTTCCTCAGAACATTCTTCTGAGATTTTCCTCCCACATCTAAAACTGGAATTTCTTCACATTGTCTACTGGGCCCCATGGTGGAAACAGTGAACTCCACTGAATAGGCTACTCAGTTAAAAGAAGAATTAAACAATGTGTACCTTCATATCTGTACTTTAACCGTAGTCTTGAACTGAACTCAACCTTAAAAAAGATGCCATTGGTGAGTACAGTTGTTTTGGTGGCGTAAGGCGGAAAATTGAACGATCTGTTTTGTTAAAGAAGCAATGACGTTGAACCGTGTGTGAAATCTAACTACAGGGTATACAATGTTAATGTTGCAATGTGATGTTAAAGACGCAGCTTGTATTATCACTATAACGAGAGGACCAAACTCACCTACGAATGCATTTACAGGGCCACTCCCATCCGCATCAACGAGATAGTAACCATCGTCTGTGGCTCCGCCCTGTTTGGCATCATAACATGTCTGCACCTGCGACCCAACTGAGAGGGGGGAGGGAGAGAAAGCCAAAAAAATGTGGTATTAAATTCTCAAAACTTGGTTTAAAGCATTATTTTGCAAGTTTGGAGGAGGAACATTTACGGGTCTTCTTATCTCGATTTCTCATTTGTGTGTTGACACTGTTGTCTTGCCTTTGAAAAGGACAATAGTGGGATGTTGTGGTTCAATTACGGTGTTCGACTTGTGTGCTGTAGTACATGGGTTCGAAATCTTGACGGGGAACATGGTCCTTGTTATCTTGAGCAAGGCACTTTACCATTATTGCTTTGTCCTTCGGATGGGACGTAAAGCCGTAGGTCCCGTGTGTTAGGCATATATAATGCACGTTAAAGAAGTACCGGCAGTAACACCTATCGCAAAGAGGGTCTTCCCCTACATTCCGGCAGTGGCTGCAATATGCGCTGCAGCACCTTGTAAACCCTGTAAAAAGGTGCTACATAATGGGTATTTCTCATAACTTCATTCACCTATCTTTGAAAGTTGGAATAATTACCAGCGCCTCGAGTACCTAATTGTTGGTAAAAACGTGCGCTATAGAAGACTCCGGTATTACTCAACTACACGGGATTGTGATTCAGGAGATCATCCAAGTCAGAAATTTCCTTTCTTGGATGTTCTCAATCAATTGATTGCACCGACCAACCAATCTAGGATAAAACAGTACACAATGCAAAACTCAAGTCCGCACCTCTCTCGTAGCACTTCAAAGTCCCCAGGGTAATAATCGCTCTTTTATTGCTGCTGGTTTTTCCAATTCGGACCTGCGAGACCGGAAGTTCACCCTGGTCGGTGAGGTACCCCTTGTCCTCCTTCCAAGACGTGGAACCGCTCCCGCAGTTGCAAGAGTCGGAAGTTTGGTAGCAGGAGCCGGTAGGTCCGCAGGCGCATGCGTAGGCCTCCGTTGTTCCGGACCAGTGGGTCATACTTGTGCCATCGTGGGTCGCCCACCAAGCGTACAAATTGTTGCCACTGTACATTTTGAATTCTAACAGGGGAAAAAGGGACCCAACCAAAAAACAGAAGAAGTAGTTTTAAGGTGGGTACGGAGCAGGATAAAAGTAATTTTTAAGACTTCGTTCGAGAAAGTTGGAACATCTTTATTAGTTTGAGAACCTTTCCGAAAATATTGAATGCCTTTCTATGAAGTAGACAACAAGGCAACATTAATAATGTTAAGCAATCGACTATCGGATTTCATTAACTACTCTGTCTTTTTTTTAGCGTCTTGATGCCTTATAACCACATCTTACTACTGCACTGAAGTCCTAAGTACTGGGTGCAGGCCGTCGAAGCTCCGACCAGACTAGCAAGCGAGGCTAGGCTAGCTCCGTCCGAGTAGGCGATATCTTTGGCAAAATCCCCAGCTTTAGGGTACTCTGCGATCTCATTGTCCCCTTCGAAGTTGTGCCCAATTTCCATGGTGACTGCGTTTTTTACTGTGCTGAAATCACAGTGAACTGAAAGAGAAAAGTTTCCATTGTCAATTTGTACACGGCACCTTCTGAGAAAATTAATTTCCCTAAAATGCAAGTCTGACTTTTCGATTTCCAACAATCAAATATGTTGAGCTGCATATGAGAACTGGTACTCGCCAAAGCGTTCTGAAAAGTAATCAGTACTTGGCTGAGGATTTTTTTCGGAAAGATGATGACATCATCTTAGAAGTAACAAACTTGTTACTTAGTAACTTTGCTTCGGTATTTTTATGTTGGTTATTCATTGGGGCGGAATGTTACATTGTTACATTGTCTGGTACCCAGGGGAAGTGTTGGTTATTACCTAGTACAGGTTGTAGGGCTCCGGCTCCATCTGGGTCCAGTAAGTAATATCCATCGGTTGAATAGCCGGCAGTCTGAGCAGCTAAACAAGACGTCGGTAGAGCAGCGGCTGAGGAAGACAAGTAATTGCAAAAAATCTCTCAAATTGAAGTAACCTTTGTTTACGTTATTGATGCATCCAGCTTTAACCAGCCAATTGTGTAAGAGAACAATAAATCAAACACACAATTAAAGCAATGCAATTCAAGTTTCATATATATTCTTCAAAATGTTGTTCTGATAATTTTGCCTCGCGCTCACTGAAGAACGCGTCCAAGCTACTCACATGACTCCATGCACACAAGGCTGCCTAATGTGAAGGTCGCAGAGTTTGAAGAATCGATGTCACCAATCTTCAGGGTTTTCACCGGCAGTTTGCTGTAGGCAGACAGATAAATGCAGTGTGTAAAGACGACTCACATTGGACTCTCAAATTTCAAAATGGTTCCAGTGCAATTAGATGCAGCAGGTGTATACAGGGTGAGTAAAAAAAAGAAACCCAAATGTCGGGACCCATTGTTTTAGTGAAGTTTTGCATATAGCACTTTCAAAATCTAGTTTATGTAAGCCCAATTCACAAGCTTTCTTAGTAAAAGAATCATTAAAAAATCACTCATGTACTTTTCAAGTTACGGAATTTTAAAATCAACCACCTTGTTGAAGTTCTGTCCACGGATCACAAAAAGGTAAATGTTCTTTCAGCGAAACGAAAACAAATCACATATATAGGGATGTGTTTAAATTGTTTTCGTTTTGCTGAAAGAAGGCAAACCTCTTTTGTGATCCGTGGACAGAACTTTAAAACGGTGGTTGTGTTTAAAATTCCGTAACTTCAAAAGTACATGAGTGACTTAAATGATGCTTGTACTAAAAAAACTAAGGAATTGGGCTTTCATATCTTAGATTATGAAAGTGCTACATGCAGACCTTCACTAAAACAATGGTCCCGACATTTGGGTTTCGGGGTTGTTGTTTTTTACTCACCCTGTACAGAAAGGGTTTTAGGTGCTCACTATAAATAGCCCACTAAAGCACCTGCTGTAAGCACTGACCTGTTGTCGGTAATGAAACCTCCGTCGTATGCAAGCTCGTCCTCGCCCCAGTCGGAATTGCACTTGTTTCCGTCGATGCAATTCCCCGCCTGACCACACCGGCAGCCGCTGGCCCCCGCCGGGTCCGCCCCTGCCCAGTACGTCATCTGTTCATCGTTGTGAGACTCCCACCAGACGTACTGTGTGTTACCATTAGAACTCCAGATCCTGGCATTGGAACTCACGTAGTAGAGGGATTGGTGGCAGAATTGAGAGGCGGCGGCCAGACTGGCTATCTCGGCTGAGGAAAGACCAAAATGGAATTCAGATTCAAATATCGTCACACCCAATCTTTAGTTTCTACAGTTTGTTAGATTGTTTCAGCAAAACTTAGGCCCATAACCTCCGATGGGTGCATACCTATGTTCCCCAATACCTATGTTCCCCAACCCTAACCCGAACCCTTACCATCAAATCTAACCCTAACCCTAAAGAATTTTGGGGAACATGTAGGTATTGGGGAACGCGGTTCCCCCCCCCCCCCTCCTCACTGATCTATACAACCCGGCTTCTCAAGGAGTATTTCTTCAACGTGTTAATGACTCTCGAACTTTGTCCGTACCTTTTATGAATATACAAAGAGCTGGGCGTATACACAATCCGCTCATCACAATTAACTATTTTTTCCAAAAACTAAGAGCAAATCAAGCTTAGTAAAATATCAAGCTGAAGGACTATAGTGGCCTACTTGATTTTAAGTCCAAACTTGGTGCTTGGTACTTGGTGGGTTCTTCTCCTAAGGACTTCCACAAGGGAGTATAACTAGGAGGCCAGAAAAACCGGGGCAAACCCCTTCTCTTAGCGTGTTACTGGGTTCTTTTACGTGCGTTAGGCCTTATACAACACACGGGTACTCGGCGGCTAACCCACACTTTGGGCAATCGACTACAGAATTTACAAACCAAAAACCACATCCGCATATATCAAACCGCTCTTCAAGCTTTAAGTTGCCAGCTTTCCTTAAAGTCCATGAACCAAACCGGTCTGGGTCAATCAGAGAGCACTTACCAATGTCCACATTGTACGAATAGGTGATTGTATGAACATTTGATCCTGCGGCGGTGTATGTTCCGGTCAGGGCGGTTGCATTCAGATAGACTTGGCCGGGTTTGTCATGAGGAATCTGTTAAAATGTTTGACCAAAATCAGCAAGGAGTAAGTATAGCGACACTGATGGGAGACCATTGGTAAAACAGGGAAACGTAGGTTTTATTCACACCGTTAAAACGTCTAGCTATATATGTCGTCATCTATTCACCCCGTTTAAACGTGTAGGCCTAGTACTTTCGACACATTTTCACCTTGTTCATAATCAAACACCGAGCTCTTCCGTTCAAACGTTTAGCTCGTTCGTCATCTTTTGGCCCCGTTCAAACGCTTCGTCATCTTTTCACATCCTTCAAACGTTTAGCTTTTCCGTTCAAACATTTGTCTTTCGTGACGTTTCGCCACGTTCAAATGTTTAGCTCTTCCGTCATATTTTCTCCTCAGTTCAATGTTTAGCTCTTTCGTAATCTTTTTACCTCCTTCAAACGTTTAGCTCTTTCGCGATCTTTGCACCCCGTTTAAACGTTTTATTTCGTAATGAACTTGTTAGTTTTTTGTTGTACAAAAGAACGATAACAAATAGTTACCACTGTGTATGCCCCGTCGTTCTGTATCCGACTGAAGTAACAGTACACAGGGAAGCCGTTACCAGTGCCTCCTGGGTAAATCCAATGGTAACCATCCACCGTATTACCTGCTGTCTTGTAGTCCAAACAAGTCGTGTAGGCTGTCCAGGGGGAAAATTTTAACAAACAAAAGGGACATTCTGTCACGAGGCCATTGTTTATCTCCGGTGTAAGGATCATGAAACGACTGAGAATATTTCTACTACCCAATTGGATGTATGGGATGCTAGTCCATTGCAGGTTGCTCCCCAGCTAATGCCGGTACCCATTTATACTCCTGGGTGGAGAGAGGCAAGTGGGGGTGAAGTGGCTTATGACCAGCATCTGGATTCGAACCCCGACCCTCTGATCGTGAGTCACGAACCCTAACCACTTTAGGCCACACTCCCCACGAAAAATAAAGGTATATCAGTTAATCAGCTGGTGGGTTGGTCAGTTAGTCAATTTGATCAAGTTTCTGTTTTGTTTGTCTGTCATTCTGCGGATCGATTAGTCAACAACTGACTCAATTATCAAGACATCAATCAATCCAGGGATTTTTTTTTTATTAATAAATCAAAACTCAGTGATGTGTGTTCAACTTTGCGTCATCGGGAAAACAATGGTTGGTAGATCCAAAACAAAAATTCCTTTCCTTCTCAAAATCAAATTCGATGGTTTCAACACAGTTTTTCCCCAAAGCTTCAGATTTTTGTGGTTTTTTTTGTAATGCAGTAAAAACATCATTTTAACCACCGGAAGGTTTACTCATTTAAGTGACGTTTTCTCTCCCATCATCTCGTGTGATTCCCGTTTTACATTTACAACCCGATTCTGGAAAAAGTCAAAAACATATTGTTATTAATCCGTGACTTTTAAATACGCATTCATTTTTTCCCCGCTTGTTCTGCAAAGTTGGCCATAAATTTTGTTTAGCAAAAAAAATGATGGTTACTTTTAACTTACCAAAAAAAAAAGATGGTTACTTTTTACTAAGGGGCCTACCAAAAAAGATGGTTACTTTAACTTACCATTGCTGAAACCGCAGTAAACACCGTCGTAAGTGACCGGGTTGGATGTAACCGCTATCATGTAGAAACCTGGGGTGGTTTTACCAGCGTTGTACCAAAAAGTGCAGTTGTCGGCAACTAAAAGTTGACAAGTAAAAAAACAGTCAGATAAATTGTATCCTTCTGACTTGGTTTCAGTTAAATACAAGTTACACGAGTGCAAAGTATGATGTGACGTAGAGTCGCAGAGTCGGAGGTTTTGTTCACCGACTCCCGACCGGCGGCAATATTTTTTTATTTGCAGCATACATCACATCACCAACCCTAACATGAATATTTATCAAGCTGTGTGGATGGAAGACACTTATGTTCTCGTAGTGTTTTCCCTTCAATTAAGTTATCCCTACCAACAAAAGTATGCAATGAAAATGGACATGGGTTTGAACTATGGATTTTGTGATCCCAGTGGCATATCCAGCATTTTGATGTCGGGGGGGGGGGGGTCCTCAGAACATAAAAAAAATGTTAATTGAAGATTTGAAACCAAGTTTGATATACCTATTCTCTCTCCATACAGCTCGACACGAAGAGCTGGATAGTTATCAGACCAGCTCTGAGGATTTATCTTCAAGAATCGTGTGAAAAGGGGAACGGGTAGGAAGGCTGTCGCTCCCGTATTTCCATCCACGCTGTTACCAGTAAACAACTAGAAAAAATAATAATAAAGGGGCCATTACATGTATTTTTTTTCTTAATGCCATCCTTTTAAATCTATGCAAATGCAAAATTTGCATATTCATGAGCAAATGTGCGATGTCATTTCAGGCAATGTTACAGTTATTGAGCACCAACATTTGTCAGCATTTTGGAAACTTTGCTGTCATGGTTTTTGTGTGTGTGTTTTTTTTTTTTGGGGGGGGGTGTTGTTGTGCCGGTACATGACAGTAAGCTAACAAGCAAAGTTTTCTCACAAATGTTTACAATGAGCAAATTTTGAGTTCGCAATTTGAACAGAAAATCCCTGAGCTGAACAGGGTCTCCCTGGGAGGACATCACAGCAACAGCGCCCTCATTTTGTCGGGGAAATCATGCCAAATTTTCAATGTTTACAAAGAAGTGCACTTTTTAATAAGATTAACCAAAAAGGGATGTCAAAGGTGCACAAAATATGTTCCCAAGTAAAAATTTATGTCATGGGCCCTTTTCTTGAGGGGGAGGGGAACGTACCCTTTCATTGTTTTTATCATAATGTCGATCTTTTCCTATGATTCTTTATCATCTTACCTTTTGTGAACCTTCATAGTTGTAGTCGGTGTATGTCAACCCGTCCCGGCTGCTTTCGAGATAGTAAGTCTGCGTGAAGTAGCTTGCTATTTCGGAAACCCCTTGAACTTGAATCTATATGGAGTGCCGAACGTGACAAAAATGATTAAGGCATTTCTCGTTTAGAACAAAATAAAATCATTTATTTTCTATACCACAGTGTAAAAGCAGTCTGTATTTATTCTCACCAAGTTAAGTTTTACCAAAACTTTACCAGAACTATTTTGTTCAATGTAACAAAATGATTCTCCAAATAAGTTCATAAAAATTACTAAGTAACTCTCCACAGCATCATTTCCTATATACATTTTTGTCTTTTCCGCAAAGTTGCGGAAAAACCTTTGTTTCTGCTCTTATTTTTTGCTTTTCCGCTTCAAAGCGGAAAAGGATTGTTTTCGTTTCGAATTTTGGCTTTGTCGCAAGGTTCCATTATTCTCCTGCATGTATTATGAATCCAATGCTCTCCCACACGTAATATAAATCGTACGAATTTAAAATTTGTCACACGTATGAATCATAAGTTTTGGAACAACTTGTAATTTCTGACGATTTTTTTTTTTATTGAAATAGAGGCAGTTTTCTGCATATGCCCTTTTGCTGGGAACATTTTGGTGATAAAGCGCTATTGCATAAGGTCATGCACATATGCCCTTCTGCCGGGCACACGACGATATAAGGGAAAGTCCGATCGTCGTGAAACTTGGTGGATAGCTAGATAATGGTACTGGTATGCAAAATCCGAAATGACGTCCCCATGATGTCATCGCATGATTTTTTCATGATTTTTTTTAATATTTTCAATTTCATTCCACTTCCAAATTTTAACACTTCCTTTCATTGGATTGACTTCAAGGTTGGTACAAACCAAGACTACAATGCAAAAATGTGCATTGAAGTGTTATCAAGATGACGTCATCGCAGGGCACGGTGGCGCTATCATAAAGATGCATTTTTTAAGTCTCATATTGAGAAAACTATCTGTCCGAATGGGTCACAATTGCGTACAAATGTAGTCCGACACGTCTGATTTAATATGGATGATTTCTTTTTGACGATAATATATCTCCCAGACGCTACATGCTAAATTACAAAAAATCTTGTACCGTACACTTTAAAACGTTGCTCGTGCATAGTCTGGGACGTGTTATTGATAAAAAAAGTATAATGCGGAAAAAAAATGTTCTGTTGCAAACAGACATAGATAGTTCATTCATCTTTCTCTCTGAACGCCGTATTTTAAACACTCAGTTAATATTTTTCTTTTTCTGGGATTATATATACTTAATTGTACAATTCTTATGTCCCTTCAACCATAAATGTTCTGAAAAATTTTAAAAATTGATGCAATTTAGCCATTGGCTAAAAGTTCAATTTGAAATAAACCAACAATAATACGAGTCAGCATTCACCACGAAAGGAATTGGTAAAAACAACATCCTAATTATTGAGCGTGAAAACAGGGGCGTAAATCCGGGAGGGGTGATTGGGGTCTCACCCCCCCCCCCTCCCAATTTTTAATCAAGATCATTCCGCCCTCGCCACTTTTTCGTGGTGAGAAAAAAAACAACCGGATTTTGAGGTAGTTTTCGAACTTCCCAAAAACCAAAAATGTATTCAGTAGTTTTGAAAAAGGTACAAAAGCTTGAAATGCGCCGTTTGGATGATGAAAATCTGTATCATGAACACCGCCCCCAAGTGTCATGTGGTGTCTAGCAAGCCAAGCCCCCCCCCCCCCCCCTCGCTTTTCGAATTTCCAAGGCCTGGGCAATTTTTTTTATTTTAGTCATCCCCCAGTCCCCGGCACAGATTTATGCCACTGCATTACAAATAAATTGAACTTGTACCTTAGAGATGTAAGTGTTTCCCTTCAGATCTATGAGCAGATACTGGCTTGTGTCCGCAGCTGCGGCAACCCAGGCACCTAGAAAAATTAAACAAAAAGCGATACATATAATGTTCAAATTGATTATATTTGTTTTCCCACTAGAAGCCTCGGCAGTTTCAAGGAAATCTTCTATTTATTTTGGTAAGCCTTGGCAGCTGCGAGCACAGCTTTTATTAAATTAGTAAGCCTCGGCAGTAGCAGGCAACTTTTTATTTCTTCTAAAGCCTCGGCAGAAGCAGGCCAAGTTTATCATAGAAACCTCGGCAAGTGCGTGGTAGAAGTTATTAAATATTTATCATACCACCAAAATTAGACGTACGGACACCGTTTAGTCTGGCCGCGGCAGGAGTAAAGGTCACGATGTAGCTGGATGCTGTGATGTCACTGTCGGGTATGGTGGAATCCTCCATGCCAAGCGGTGACTCCAACACGATACGATTTGGGAAAACTGTAAAGAGTTTACCATTAAAAAATATCAAAGTGATCGTTATCCGTTTTGATAAATTAAAGCTCTCCTGATAAAAAATAAACAACAATAAAGCGCAATAAAGGCAGGCAATGAGTACACCCCCATCTTTTCCTAAAAAAACATTGGCTAAAGTGGTCAGAAATTGCCTCAGATCGCACCACAGAGCGTCTAGAATCCAAAAATGTTTCGGGGCCCTTAGGCGGGCCCCGAACCGCACGCCATAATTGACACACTTTTTGGGGACCACATTTGTTTGCCCCCCCCCCAAGAAAATGTGTTCTGGATCCGCCCTTGTTAGAGAACTATACTCGTCTTTATTTAGACTTAGGTATTATTGAAGCAGAACACAAGTTTGTGCCATTTGAAAAACTCAAAGAAATTGTAGGAAGTAACAGATTTTGTTGCTTTTTTCTTGAACTTACCATCCACCATGTATCTAATGGTCGTTGATCCACTGGATGTGTCGTAGTACCAACCCTCGCTCAAATTGGCATCAAGGAGGGCTTGTTCATTGGCCGCAATAGCTTGAATTAAAAAGAAGAAAAAATAGATCATCATCTTTTACTCATTGAATGATCATCAGCCACCAATCGGTATGCCCGCACTGACCTATTATAAATCACCCATTATCAGCGACCACCGATCCTGAATGATCGATTATCGATCGTCGATATCGATCACTCCCTCCCCGTTATTATAGTTATTATCATAATTATTTATCGTCATTTTCATAATCATAATCATCATCACGATCATCCTTTACAATCGTTATCATCATTATCTCAATTGATTCACTGAATCTGTGATGACATGCAGCCGCCACATTCTCTCAAATCAAAGGGCTCACAAACAATTTCTAGCAAAGAAAGAACATCTTTGCTTGACCAAGCGCATCTGAATGCGTGAAAATGATTAACAACTCAACACTGCTCAAAATTAGGTACGATTCCGCCCACATTTTGTCCACGTGCAAATTCCTGAAAGGTACAGTCCATCATTAATTTTGCAGCTATCCAAAAAGTAACTGACGTAATTATTGTTGAAACTTGATACTTGGTTTAAAGATAGTAAGAAAACTAAACTCCCTATGAAATTATTCTTTCTGGCATGCTGTCATTTTGAAGAAATCAATGACAGATGCGTCCCTAAGACTACACAGTGAGTGCTGAAGACGCATCATTGGAAATTTCCGTTCGTAGTTCGTTTTTTTTTATTCGGCGAAGCGCGCGTCTGCAATTAGTGCGGTGCAGGGTGACCGTTTTAGTCATAGACATCTCATTAAACCTTATGTCTATGGTTTTAGCCGATTTTCGGCTACATATGACAATCTAGCAGAAAGTCTAGCAGAATAAAAATGTTAGCAGATTTCTAGCTGAATTCTGTAAAATCGGTGATCCTATAGCAGAAAAATAAAGCAGATTTGTTTTGAACAAGCTTCAGTCGCTTCAACCAAATCCTTGAACGGCGGGGACAGGCCAGTCTTAGTGTTGAGGTTTCCGGCCTGACGCGTACAAAGTACTAATGACTGGAAGTCAGGCTAGACACGCGCCAAGTTTTTTGTTTTTCTTTGAAGGAATGTTTATGATGTTTTTATTTTTGAAGGAAATTTTATAACTTTATGGGTGATTAGCACATTTGTGTTAACTGCAGCAGAATTTTCAAGTGCATCTAGCAGAATTTCGCGATTTTTATCCGGTCACCCTGGTGTGGGTGTGGCCATGGGAAGGAAGAGGCCCAAGAGTTATTGCCCTCGTACGTGCGCATATCGTATGCGCATGGGCGGGGCTAATGGGTCAGTCTTTCAATCATGACAATCACAATGATAATGGGTCAGTCTTTCAATCACAAGTCATTCTAAACTGAAGAAAGTTTCTGAAGTTTTTTTTGTTTGTTTTTGGCTAGCCCTGTGTTTTAATACTTACTGTGTTTACAGCCATACAGCTCGGCCCTCAAGGCGATTCTTCCCCCATTCCACGACACTGGACGAAACTTGATGTAACGGGCCAGAACCGGGTCGGCCAGGGCATTAATAACACTGGTGTAAGCAGCATCGTTTCCGGTGAAAACCTGAGACACAAATTCACGTTCAGATGAAAATTTGAAGAAAAAAAAAACCTTCGTCATCAACGTACTATCATGAAAGAAAAAGCTATATACCGGGCCAACTCAATGGAATTTCATGAGTGAGACATAGTGCCAGGGTCGGTATGATGGGGTGTTTGATTAAGGAGAAAGATAAGGATGTTACCCCTAATCGCTATAATTTACAGTGTTCCAAGTGGTGTCTCAAAGCTTCAATTATGTGAGAGAAAAAGTTCAGAAAGTACGTAAGCCAATCATTTTGGGTTCAATTTGGAGCATAAGCATTGCAGACCTTACAGGGTGGGCCACCTAGTTCATTGTACTACGAATCTAGAGGAAGTATTTACGTGTGTGCTTTCCTATGGGTGCTCAGTGGACCGTGGACCCCCACTGGCTCTATATAGGAAAGTGCACATGTAAACAAAGTGTGACGTCATTAGTACAGAGGCTTATTTAACTTGTGATGCTCTCCCAGACTAATCCCCGCCCCCAATAACTTTGGATCAGTTCGAAATACGCAGTGCCCGGATGAACCGGGAGCCAGTCTCCCCAACTCCCCTTCTCTGGCCGTTCTTGGGGTATTTTGTGCGCGGGCCCATAGACTTTGATTTGAGAGTCTCAAAGTTTGAGACTACGATTATACACCTGCTGTTCCTTCTTACCACATCACTCCCACTTTCTTGATAAGTGGTGTAATTGACGTCGTCCAGACTGTACTCTATTTTATACGCTGACACCCACTCATTGGGCCCTTTCCATCCCCTGCTCTGAGTGGAGATCTGTGGAGACCGCGAATGATCAATAAACAAGTCAATAATTCCGATCAATAATTAAGGCAGTTCCTCCCTCATCCCATATTCATGAAGTTGTTAAGCAACAAACTGCGGGGGCTATCTCAAGACATACTTAAAGGGATAAAGAAAACACTGGCTTCTTCAAACTATTCAACACTTTCGCAACACTGTGAAAACTGTCTGTTGGCTGTTTCACTTTTTTCTTCTAAAAATAAGAGAGCGAAAGTTTTAAAGTGGTATAACTGTTTGAATTATAGAGTACATGCGCATGCAGAAGGCCTACACTATAGACAGGTTGTTCCTTTGTGATATGCAATGGGAGCCAATTTGTCCTTTTATTGTCACTGAATCTAAATAACAAATCCTGTTTACATGGAGGGTACACTGTGAAAACTGTCTATAATATTCCACAATCACCTGGGCAACGACGCTAAGAAATCCAATGTCGATCTTCAACCACTGGTTCGGATCGCTGACATCGGCCACCCAGCCCGTGCCTTTGGTGCGAGCGTCCTGATTGCGGCCGTAAGCCGCCCCGTAATCAGGGTCGTTGTCCAGGACGCTGGATGCGCTGAGCTGGTCGTCCGGGATTTCACGGGATTCCAAACCAAGGGCGTCGTTGCACTGTTCGTAGTCTGGTGAAGGCAAATTCAATTCAATTTAGTGATAGTTTATTCATCAAAAATCCTCACACACGTTCAAACACCCATATTTACAAATAAAAGTAAAACTTCATTTCGCTGTAGACTTTAAATTTAAGTAACAAGTGAGATGGACACATGCACTACATTTAATTGGAAAACAAAACATTTCGGTTAGATTTTTGGCAATGAGTAAAATTACTAGCCTGCTTCTATTTTTGCTGGTTTTTGCGTCCACGAGGTCCATAACCCTGCAGTGCTCACCTTTAAAACTCAACACTTTCGAAACGTAAACACATTCGAAACACTTTCGAAACAGTTGCGAAACACTTGCGAAACATTTGCGAAACACTATCAAAACACTTGCGACACAATAATATTGCGAAACACTTTCGCCGGGAACATGCACTTTCGCAACACTTTTGAAACTTTTTCGAAATACGTTCGAAACACTTTCGCAACACTTTCGAAACGCTTTCGCAACACTTTCGAAACACGTTCGAAACACTTTCACTTTTACTCACTATTCAGAGGAACGCTAGGAGCACAGTAGACACCTCCGTTCCAACCTGGTACAAGATCAACGTAAGGGTCCAAACTCGTGCACGACTGCTGAGCTGTAAGTTAAAAAAAAAAGAGAGATTTTTTTGAAGTGCTGTCTCTCCACAAAATGCACGTGCCATTTTAATTTATACCGAATACCGAATATTTTGCAGTAACCGCATGGCTTCCAACGGGGAGATTATTGTACCCTTGAACAAAAAAGTGGGACCTCCTTCGAAACTAGGCCTGATGCGGCCCTTCACGTTCGATTGGTCAAGTTTGGTTCCGTGTGAATTTTATGGCTGAATTAGAAACGAAATGCCCGAAAACGAGGACGGCCCGACTGTAAATAAGTTTGTTTTATTTCTGATGCGATTGACGGTGTATGTACTCACCAACTTGAATTAATCCAGCGAGAACCAACGACACCAACCAAATTTGGGACTTCATTGTACCTGCATTAAGAGAAAGCAAATTGTTGTTTTTTTCTTACCAAAATAATTAACCTCAAGATACTAAGGGTGCGCCACACAAAAGACATGACACTTCATACATCCAGATCTTAAGACGGCCATAACATTTTCCACAATTAAAAAAGGCACCTTCGCCGAACATCGTCACCAACCAGATAATGGAAGAGGAAAATGGCGCGGAAGATGGGTGCAATGCATGAGCCCGACCCCGCCGCCTCGCAAGTGTTTCCCACCGCATCGACGTCACTCATCAACCGTTGGCAGCGCATCACCGGCAACCGCATAAAATGCCAACGTTTTCTTTTTGGCAGTTTCAGAATCACCATACGTACCGTTAATTCTTCAAGATAAAGTAGAAGAAGTGCATCAAGCTCTTTTTAAGAAAAAGAGCATACTGGATAGTTTCCAAACTTAACTTTGGTCAGGTTGTAGTGACGATCACGACTCTTGGACGAGACTGCTGGCTGGAGTAGTTCATCAAGGCCAGGCCTTAAAAGTTGTGTGAGCGTCGCGCTGTGTGATAGGTTGGATCGATTAAATAGGAGAACTTTATGCCTGGGAATACTTTTCTTATTGTCCGATGCTCCAGCCGCCGCTTTTCAGGCTACGATTGATCGATACAATTAAGTAACAAAAATCAATTTAATTCTTTTAGAGAACAAAAAAAGTTTGACATGTACAAATAACAACGTGCAGTTGTTAGATACCTAGCGGCAGTATATCTAAAAAGTATAAAGGCTTAAATAATTATTGAGCATGCCTTGAAGCGGTTTCTTTTAGAAACTACAATGTGTGATCGATTTTGGAGTCAATCCTGTTCTTTTTTTACTTTTCGATTGGCATTTTACGTTGGACGAAAACTTTGTTTCAGAAAAAAAATCATCGAAAATCTTTTTAATAGATTCTTAAACAACAAAACCTTAAAAGTTGAATCATGACTGATCTATTTCCTAAAACTTGCGTCAGGACGATTTTCGTCCCACGTTTTTTGTTGTTCCAATTTAAATCACGTAGAAGGTGTGATTCAGATGGGCCGTAACTATGACAGACAATTATCGTTCTGCATGGAAATGATCAATCTCCCTTCAAAATTGTTTTTTATTATTATTTTCAAACCGCAAGAGGTGTTCCAATGTGCCGGTTCGCGAAACCCACCTTACGTCAATGGTTACTATAAATAGATCACAAAAAATGACATCATACGCCTTGTGACCAAACGTCATGATAACACTGGTACCCTGCGTTATTGTATCAACACAATGTGATCGCAAAAAAGGTTAGTGTACACCAATGAAGAAATTGGTAGAAAATACACCTGACGTCGAATACACGCATTCAAACTCAAAGTCACGGGACGAAATTGAGTGCATTTGTACCTATTTCAGTGAACTACAGACAGACAGATTGAAGTTTGCAAGATTTGTGTAAGGTAAGTTCAGCAAGATCTGTGGATATTTATCTAATTTTTCCGCGCAGTGTGGATTGATTTGGAACTATTTGTGTGGGAAAGAATCGAAAGTAGCCTACGCGACTACGCCACTTTGGTTAATTTTTTTGTGTACAAAGTCTATGGCGAGTCGAGTGCATTTTCTAAACATCAAAAGTATTTTCTAAACATCAAACATGACAAACAAAATTGGATTCATGTTTTTTCAACATTTTTGCATTTTTTCATCCTCATTTAGATAATATTAATTAATATATAGTGAACAGGCATGACAGGTGAAAGAAAGTGGTCTTAGGATGCAACATTGATCATTTCATTGTCAATGTCATTGTCATTGTCATACTGTCAAGCATTTTGTCAAGATGAACCTTGAACATGTTGAAAACCATCTCAGAACTGGTCACAATTTACTAAACATAGAATGCCATTTTGACTCAACTTTACAATCATTCTTTGTAATATTCCTCCATGGTACTTTTGGTAGTGATGGTACAATCATGACAATCTGATTAATTTGGTCTCAATAATCAATCACCCGGAAAGAATTTCACATACGGACGGCACTAGTTTTGTCCTGTATGTCCTGCAACAAACCTAGCATGAGTAACTCCAGCTCCAGCTGACAGTGACATGCTCATCAGGAATTGTTAAGCATGTTAAGCTGGAGTTACTCAACTGAATGGGCCTATCATATCACTCAACCATCAGAAAGCGATAACATGTCGTCAAAAGTCAAATTTAGCAGGGAATTTTTTCCTGTTACAAAAGTACATATTAAAGCATTTAGTGAGAAACTACTTAGAATTTTTCAGAGCAGTCTCACATGGTTTGAAACAAGGGTGTTGAGTGATGTCCATATAGAATTATTTCCAATCACCCTTTATTCTATTGTATATCATGGAGTATGACACCCATATTAATACTTATACTTTGCTTTGTAACTTATTGTGTCATTTCTGAATGTGTTTAACTGTTAATTGTTAGGCCTCTATCATTGACATCTCCAGACGTGCAGACTTTGTATGTATTTTTGAACCAAAGCACCAGTGGGTCATGACACATCAAATTACAATTCGAGCGATTTGCAATACAGTGCACCACCAAGAGTTTGCCATGGAGAGTCCATTTTTCAAGTATACGGTCGACAAAAATGGACAGTTTGAATGAGTGTCAGTAGACAACTTGAGCTAATATGTTATAAATTGGGGCATATCGATCTGCCGCCTTACAAAAAAACACCATATTGATGACAAGAAAAGAAAAGGGCAAACAGAATCCTCGAATTATCCGCTTACGACACTACTGACTGGAAAAACTAACAATTTCAAATGTCCTGACAATTTCAAATGTCCTGCGCTGCGAATTTGTCGACCATCTCCCACAATGCACTGGAAAAATGAACTCTCCTTGGCAAACTCTTGGTGGCGCACTGCATTGTGACTCACCCGAATTACAAGAAATTAGTAATTTCAGCATCTGCAGTACTGTTTAGGCCATCAACATTGAATTTTTGGGGTTTCATCACCACCGCCTCGATTTTCACTCACACCCCAATTTTTTTATAGTTTGTTTTTTTTCCCTGAAAGTGTGTTGTTTTTTTCAAATAAAAACATTCACCAACCCTGCTACACCTGTCATGCCTGCTAAAAAAAGACTGATCATAGGCTAATACTTGTACATGTTTTTTATTTTGTTCAAGCTGATTTTGAGTCCAATTTTACCCTCCGTTGCAAACTTAATCATGTATCGTTAATCACCTGCTGTTGAATTTCTGAAGGTGTTTATAGTTGACACTAGTTAGCTGACCATTTCCTTTCTAATTCTAATTAATAAATTCACATTCAAATCAAGTGGAATCTGGGCAGCCCATATTAATGATTGATACGTCAGTATAAAGTTATCTCAATTTAGCCATTAGACTTTGATCGGTTGCACTCGGCCATAACCAGAATATTCTTGCTAGCTTGTGTTTGTGCAGTGACGCACAGGTTCTGTCTTTATTCAAATCTGTTTAATCTCATATCGTTACTTTGTCATGTGGGAGTCATGGGATACTGAGGTAGTCGTCGCTTCTTTCACAGCGTTTTGCATTGTTTGCCATAAATGGTATCAGACCGCCGTGGGTAGTGTGAACCTTGTACCTCACAAGACTTTGTGTTCATAAGTGGCATGTGATTGAGAATTGAATTATGTCATTTGCCAAAAATAGCTTCGCCCTTTTTACCATTATAAGCCCATGCTTGCTTTGTGCACTCAACATTCGATTTCGGTGACGTTGAAAGCATTAACATTTCTTGTTAATTACAGTGTGCAATAAACAGTTGTATATAACAGATTTTATACACGAATAGGGTTATTATTTGTATCAAAACTTCCTGCCTGTGCCTCTGAAAACCTCAGCATTTGACTTTGCACTTATTCTTCACAGAGTTTGAAAATTGGAATAAGGTTGTCAAGGAACTTTTCACTCACGGTTTTGTGTTGAACGTGCCGACTGTTTTTGAGGTCATATCTCCTCTGTGTATTAAAAGTGAGTGACAGAATATTTCCTCAGTATTATCAGACTTTTTCTGCTTGGACAGTTTGCAACAAATTGTACAGTTTTTAATGTGAATTAAGTTGTTGTTTTTTTCATTTGCTCTCTTCTGTTGCCTACAGATTAAGTCTTTTATTTTGACGTTAAAGTGAAGAACACATCCATCCAAAATGTCGGCACTCTACCCATCACTGGAAGACATGAAGGTGGACCAGATGGCTCAGGTAAGTTTGAAAATTGACACTCTTTCTTTTGGATATTAACCCTAACTCCCTAGGCAATTTGCTAGGATGTAACCTGAATCCTGCAAAATCCTCCAATTGGCTTCGTGGAAAAATAGCATATAGCCTCAATCCTGCGAAATCCTCCATTATTTCTTGAATGTGATTCTTGGAAGTTGGAGGGATGACCACTGCCTGAATCCTGCAAAATCCTCAGGCAGTGACTGTCAATATATTGAGGCTTGGCCAGTGACATCCTGAAGCAGTACGGAGGATTTCAAGCATAATGAAGGACTAAATTTATGCATGGCTGGGCATAAACAACACAAGGTCCGGCCCGAGACCTTGACACGGTGCATAATCCAAAATCAGCAACGCACTTTTGCCATGTAACCTCAATCCTGCAAATTCCTCCAATTTGCAAAAAGGATTTTGGAGGATTTGGGATGGTTAGGGTTAAAAAAATACTTGTCAGTGAGGGGTGCTTGGCACTATCGTGATTTTTACCTCATGTGTCGGAAAGCCAACACTGACTGGTAATGAAACTGCAAATCCTTTGTACTTAAATTAATTGGGAGGTCAAGATTCTTGTGAATTATATTTGATGGCTGGATTTCACATGCTCGAGTCAAAATTCATCAAAATGGTTAGAAATAAACAGGCTCTCATTACACGCCTCCTAAAACTTCACTGATGCTGGTTTTTAAGCTCCATACCGCACCTCAATTTGAAATTCCTGACAATAGGCAGACCAAAATGTTGAGTATGTTGAGTGTCCATCAGTTTTCTTAGTTCCTCTCAAACGAGATTAGCTTTTCACATTTTACCGCACGGCAGATAGGTGATTGGATTGTGCCTTTGATGATAAAAGCATGACATATGGCACACAGTCAGAGTATGTGCCACTTTATTTAGCTATTGGGCCATGACAGATATGTCCTTTGAAAAAAGATAGGTAGAATAACAGGCATTGGCAGCCATTTTTATAATTTTGAAAATTGCTATGTATATTTTATCAAAGGACAAATCTGCGATGGCCCTATAGCCAAATATCTTTCTCATGCCATACTTTGACTGTGTGCCAAATGCCATGCTTATATCTATCAGCAAAGGCACAATTCTCCCTAATATTTCCCCTATCTGCCCTCTTCTAGCGGATTTCAACTTCCAAATCTTCAATTTCTAGTCTCTAAATCTTTAATCACGACTTATTCCCCCCCCCCCCTTTTCATCAGGCCCAGGCCCAACACCAGCAGGTTGCACAGCAGGTGCATGCTCCAGTGCCGGCCGTTCCGTTGGCCGTGGCTGCCCCAGTGTCATCAACCAGCTCCCTCTACCCTTCCCTGGAGGAATACATGGGCTTGAACCTGACCCCCGAGGTGATGGCAGCGCACATGCCCAACGTACAACAGGTCAGTAGTAGCAACATTTTTCTCAGTTCCTCTTCCGGTATGTGCATGGGGGTTTCTGCTATTAAGGAAATCTTGGAAGTCAGTTTTCAAGTTCAGATTCATCCTGTGGAATATCACGGAAAAGGTGACTGCTAGATCCCAATGGCTGCTTTGCATTTACATGAATCATGTGGTAATTTAAGATTGTGTGGTAAATATTTTTCACCAACGCTTTTTCTGTCACTTTATTTTTTTAGCAATCGTAATTTATTTCCGAGTTTCTGTACCTTTGCGATCCAGTCTTTATTAACCAGTTAGCCCCTGATGGCGTGTATACACACCAAGGTTTTGTGGTATTCAGAACGGATGAGTGATAAACACGCAGGGAGCGAGGCCGGAAATATCTGTTAGCGACCCACTCGCAGCGAGCAAGGTCGGAAATATGAGGGTGCTGCCCGAGGGTGATGGTTTCAACCCGCCTGGCTTGAGGTCCAGCGAAAAAAAAAACACCGCGCTTTGTTTCGTTCTTGTCAAAATAATCCCAGCGCCAAGTGGTTAACCCATTAGCAGCTTCACAACATCGCATTACATTGTTCGTATTCAATGATGAATCATTAAAACATTGAGTGCTCAGGCGGTTTGAGACTCTACAGGGAGTAACAGGCAAGGGGTTTTGGTGCGGCACAGTGACTAATGCGCTTTCCACTCCTTGTTTTTCCTTTACTTCGTGAGTGTCTCAATATCCCACAGATTTAGTTTCAGTTCCGAATTTCCGCAATTAAACCTTTTCAAATTCCTGTTTCAAACAAAACTGAAGTCAGATCACCCAAACTAATTGCTTCTCTTCCTTTTGTGTAGGCGATTGTTCCAAGACCAGGCGGAACCGTTGCCGTAGGGCCCTCCAACATGGTTGCCCCGGTCACAGGCTCCCAGAATGTTGGTTTGAGGAGGGCCAACGTGACGAACGGCGTGCGGGAGGTCACACTCTGCAAGGACCAAAAGGGAAAGATTGGCCTTCGCGTCCGAGCCATCAGCAAGGTACGGCCAAAGTGGTCTGCTCATACCCATCAATCTTCACCCTTAAGTTCCTAACCCTCAGCTCCAGCCCCCATCCTAACTAACAAACAATAATAGTGGGTATTTATAAAGCGCACGTATCCACCAGGACTGGTGCTCAAAGCGCTACATCATTGTTACCCCCTGCTCATAAGGCCCTTGAAACATTCCTAACACCATCTCAGCTCCCTGGGGAGTATACAGCTCGATGCTGCCATTTTGGCGCAATGCAGCTAAATCAACCACACTATAACCATCTGCCCTCACAGGTACCCATTTATTCCTGGGAGGAGAGAAGCAATGAGTGACAAAGTGCCTTGCCCAAGGGCACACGCACCATGACCCCAGGCTGGACTCAGGTCTAGTCCAGGTACAATACCCATTTATCTAAAGAATACAATTGTTCAGCACAATGTATATCTTCTGCATCTTTTGTTTTTGCTTGAGTGTTTCAGCATAATACCAGTTTTTCTTCACATGATTGTAATTTCTTTCTTTCTTTTTGATTTCAGGGTGTCTTTATTTCCTTTGTCGGCAATGGAACGCCAGCCGCCATGGGCAGAGTGCGGTTTGGTGATCAGGTCTTGCAGATCAACAGCGAGAATTGCGCAGGAATGACCAGCGACAAAGCTATGAGCAAACTGCGTAAGTCTGCGCCTGAGAGGATTGTCTTGGCTCTCCGTGACAGGTGAGAGTTTGGGAGAAAACTTGTCCCATTGTAACCATAAAAAGTTAGGGAGGGGGTCCTGAATCTTACACCCCCTGTGCTCTTAGATGAAAACAAATCCAGGTTCATCTATGCTTAACTTTCTAAAAATGCATGTACTCTTTTTATTTATACTTTCGCTCTTATCTTTGATATTTCCGATAGACCATTTGAGAGGACAATCACCCTTCAGAAGGACAGCACCAATCACGTCGGCTTCGTCTTCAAGGGTGGCAAGATTACCGCCATCGCGAAGGACACCTCGGCCGCCAGGAATGGCCTGCTGATTGACCACGCCCTGCTGGAGGTCGAAGGTCAGAATGTCATCGGAATGAAGGTACGCACTGGTCCGTAATATCATTTCCTGAAGGGAAACTGTTTAAAGACTGCCAGACATTGTCTAATTGTGAATTGAGAAGCAGACTCCAAGCATGTATGCTAACAGGCTTACAGCTAGTGTCCAAGTCTAGTGGTTTTGTCGTCGGGGATTCTTGTTCAGTGTCCTTAAGCAAGGCCTTTGCTGTAATTGAGTATATGTGCTTCTTAGGCCTGGGTTTTCTTTGTGAGGTTGACAGGAACTTCGAGTGACAAAATGGGATGAGCTTTGGTGCTTCTCCAGGTAGTTTTCAAACGTATCCAAGTTTGTCACTCTAATCACTGTCCTGATGTAGTTAGCAAAATTAGAAAGTTTCATTAGGAGTTCAGACTTATCCGAGTTACGATTTCTGTACTACTTCGCTAATAACTGATTTTTTGTCGTTCCACAGGACAAGGCTATCTTGGAGATCATGGCCCACGCTGGCAAGACAATCACCCTGACTATCATGCCTAACTTTGTCTTCGATCACATGATGAAGAGGTAAGACGAATCTTCTCGTTAGTCAGAACTACATGCAATTTGGGTCGGCAAATTGGTGATTGGTTTTTAGGGACAACACTTAAAAAGTCAAAGAATCTAAAAAGCATAGTTGGGCAGATGTTCAAGTATTTTCCAAACTTTGGGATATTTAACCCTAACTCCCTAGGCCTTTTTGCTAGGATGTAGCCTCAATCCTGCAAAATCCTCCAATTGGCCTCATGGAAAATTAGCATATAGCCTCAATCCTGCAAATTCCTCCATGATTTCTTGAATACGGTCCATGGAGGCTTGACCACTGCCTGAATCCTGCAACATCCTGCGGCAGTGACTGTCAATATATTGAGGCTTGGCCAGTGAAATACTGGAGTAGTACAGAGGATTTCAAGCATAATCCAGGCCTATATTTATACATGGCTGAGCAAAAACGACACAAGGGGTGGCCCAAGACCTTGACAAAGTGCATCCTACGAAATCAGTAATGCACTTTTGCCATGTAACATCGATCCTCCAAATTCCTCCACTTTGGCAAAGAGAATTTTGAAGGATTCAGGGCGGTTAGGGTTAATATCTGTAGTATGTTGCATCTGCAAACAAATGTTGATCGGACTCACGCTGACAGTTTCTGAAAAAAACTTTTCATTTCACTCAATTTTTTTTTGTCGTTTATTCTAGCATGGCGACATCACTTGTGAAGGGAGCAATGGACCACAGCATCCCAGAAGTCTAAAGAGCTGCAAGGCATCATGGGAATAGAGCATGGTATCATCGGAACCGTATAACCAATGATTTAGGGTCACAAAAACAGTTGTGGAGGATTTCATACAAGTCGAAGGATAGTTGACAAAAAAAATAAATTCCACTGTTATTCCACATTGTAAAATGTAGAGTAGGCTCTTCATAATGCAAAATAAAAGTACATGTTAATCTGTAATTCACTGATACATTTTTCAGTTTTAATAAACGCTATCTTCCTTACTTTCTTGAAAAAAAGTCTTGTGTGGTCATGAATGTATTTTCAGATAAGCGGCACGAATTGTATTTTGTCATATTTTGCTACATAATAGGGTAGCTTTAACAACCCCCCCCCAAAAAAAAGTAGTGCTTGTTTCTGTATCACCGAATTAATTTTCTTCGCAGTTAATTCATCTACTCTCAACAAAGATGAACAAGTGCACCGAACGTAATCACCTATTTTCTGATGAAGCTGCATAGTTTTGAATTTTTGTGTACAGTTAGTTGCATTGAAATAAATGAGAAAGTTCAAATTATGTGGGATTATTTTTTTCCAGAGATGGGGGGATTTTGATAACGGCTGTTTTGAGAATTATGGGTTTTCTTATGTTCATGTAGAAATGTAGATATTTAACAAGAACTAAATACATGTACTTCAGTTTTTGAAAGGCTAGTGCTGTTTCGACCAATAATGAGTATTAAGTAAAAACATGATAAAGTATATTTGGGACTCGGAGATAACTTTTGTGAAAGTGCCGAAAGTAAAAATGTCGACATGTATTTTGCATTCTTATAATCGATTAAGTAATAGTATGCATTTGACGAGTATAAAAATTGATATCAACTCTTATTTTGATAAATAATGCATGTTTTAGAAAATTGCCTATACATGTAGTTGTGTGTTAATACTCCAAAACAAAAAAAATTGCCATATTTTGCAATGCTTGTGTAAAAAGGGTAGATGTAATTTGTTAAACATGTGTTTTGATAAAGGAAGTTTAAAATCATTTATTGGTTTGCATTGTTTTGTTTAGGCAATAGATTTGCAAATCTAAATGTAAAACTCCAATTTTCTCACAGAGTTATTTGTCCGTTTTGGATGTCAAGTTTAAATGATGCTCACTCAATTCCTACAACACGCCCTGAAATCGCTGTTCAATTTAATTATGTGTACAGAAAGTCTAAAATTTATTTCTGAATTTTTTTGGTTGTTTCAGGTTATAATTAAAAAATATATTTTCCTTCAAAGTGCATGGCCTGTGAAACTGTAATCTTATTTTTCTGGGTTTTTTTTTTCTCTGCACACAAAACGAAATTGAGCATCGTGGCCATTTTGTGGTGTTTTACATTATTTTACTGATGTTTACTTGTCCACCACTTAAAGAGGCGGATCTGTTGTAAATATTAACATTATGGAATTAACAAACTATCACTGAATACGAAATAAAAGTAACTTGCAAAAAGTATCACCAGGTTCACATCGTATTTTATTCGTTTAATATGAAGTAAAGTGATTGTCCATAATATGAATTTTCATTAAAAAAAATCTCAGCATCTTGGATACAGTTTTCTAGTTACGCGCCCCGCCCGCATTTTTTTTCAAAGCATATATGCGTAAGTCACTGTTCAGAATATAATGCTTCACCTGGGATGCTCTGCCAAATATACAGATACAATGACAAAGATTGAAATAAGATTATTGTTTTATGAAAATTAAAATGATAGCGATACAAAATTATGTTTGGTGTCCCGTGATGGGATATTTGCATATATTCATACTCCGTCAAGTAAGTCGCCAAAACATTGATGGTAACCTGCATTTTACTGCAAATGGAAATAAGAAAATTGGGAACCAACTAAAAAGATACTGTTCAGCCTTTGACCTCATTCATTGACGTCACATATTGGCCAAATATTCATTTCGCCAGCTGTGATTGTTTTGGAAATATTTTCCACAATTTTGTCGCCAAATGAACGCCAAATTTTTCCAGTTTAGGTGACAGTCAACTCAAAAATGGAAGGCACCGAGGTCCAGCCGCACTTAATCTACATTCCTGTCTTTGTAGTTGTCGTTTTCGGTGTCCTCGTCTTCGCTTTTGGCTTCCGAAGTTCGACACAACCTCCGAGTTCGATGTTCGAAGATGAAAACGAAAAGCGAAACCGACGTGGCAGACGCGTGAAGGTTGGTGAATCTAAACATGGAGGAAACAGGCATTTTCAGTGACAACAAGTTTTTCTAGCTAATTTGATACACCCTACAGCCTTATCGACAATTCTCCCCGATTGCTAAATGCGTTGTTAAATTCGGAAAATTACGTTTGTTTAGGGGCGTCTTGTCGGTCCTGGCACTGAGTGGTACCATGGCGCTATCCGTGCACTCCGTACAAAGTACGTGGGCCGTTGGCCGGCCAGACATTATTTTGTACGGTGGGCGCGTCGTGGCATCATTTTCACGAACCATATGTTTCACATTTAAGCGCGAATTTACACTTCAAGAAGGCTGATTTTACGCATGAATGATTTGGTTTGCCATACATTGGCCTTAATTAAGGGTTTTCAATTCATGAAAGAAATGGAAATTTATGGGTATTTATTTTGTAAAAAAATATGTGAGATGGTTCATTTTTTTCACTACAGTCTGGTCAGTGCAGTGCTGGTGTTTTGAGTTGATTGATGGACACAAGTTTTCATATTTCAGAATAATCCTACATTGTTGTTTGTATTTTGTATATTTTGTTTATGACAAATATAACGTTTTAAATAAATTTTCTATTTTTTCCCAAAAAGTATTAGCCTAATTTTCGCCTTAAAAAATTGTGTAGCAATTATAGCATTTAAAATTGAATTTGTTTTGGAAAGAATTAAAAAAAAAAAGATTCCCATATCTGGCCATCACTTGTCATCCTGTGCACAAACCCTATAAGACCGGACTGAAAATTTTGAAGTGTTTTCTCAGTAGGCCTAAATACCCGATTTTCCCTGCTAATTTTGCCTTTTTAGGACATATTATCACTTTCTGATGGCAGATAGTCATTGAAGGGAAACTATAGTGATGGCCAGATATGGGAATATTTCCTTTTTTTTCTTTATACGGGGTGGCCCATTCAGTCCTTTTAATCAAACCTGATCTCCCATGGGTCCCAATGTTGCAACCTGACGCCACTTTTTTCTTCATATATCATCTCAATAAAGGTCAGTCATTGCAAAAATGTTGAAGACATGAACCTGGGACTGAGAAACATTTCAAATTTAGTTAGGATATACTTTTTCTTGACTCTCCATAGACTTTGTGTACATGTACACTACCGCTGAAGTGACGTCTGGATACTACATTCTTTCCTTTGTTTTTTTTTAGGTGGACTATTATAAAGAAAAGGCTATTGCATGAAGCAACCTGTACACTTTCCAACTCTTTTTTTTTTTACACAGAAATTATCAGGATCAGAAACCAAGCCCAGCACCAACGGCCATGCCAAACTGCTGACGGACAACAGTCCAAAAGAGGACAAACAGGTCAAAGGTCCAAAAGTCGAGGAGGGGCGAGTTCAGAAGGACACTGCCCCAAAAATCTCGCCCAAGAAAGACAAGCCGGTCAAGAACAAGGTCAGCGAAGGACATGCTGTGAAGGAGCAAGATGCTCCTCAGAAACTCGCTGTGACGAGTGAGGAAGGCAGAAAAGTGAAAGAGAAAGAAAAAGATGAAGGTTTGTTTCTATTTTTGCAATAGATCCTGAAAGTGCCATGTGTTTAGTTTTACATTTGTGAAGGACTGTCAGTGTTGACTGTTAACTACAGTTTTACTTTTGCACATAATCACCTGATTACTTCACACAGCACACCCTCAACAACTAACGCACACATCCATTAAAGACGAGTCATTGCCATTTTTTTTTTTTATATAGGTGAGGCTTGGATCACGGCCACATCTCGTAAAGAGAAGAAACACAACAAGCAAGTGAATGGTGAGCCACTGGCCAAGTCGGCCAACAAATCCACCAAGGCATCTCCCCGGGGGCCTGGGGATGACCAGAAGGCATCCCAGAAGGACAAGAAAGATGCGGTTGCCAAGGAGAGAGGAGGAGGCAAGAAGGAGATGCCTCAGAAGCCAAAAGGTTCTCCGAAAAAGGTGAGTTCAGTTTTTCAGCCCATTAGGCCCAAAAAAAAAAGTCTCCGGTTTCTGGTATGGAGCTTGCCCCAAAAGTGGTGCGGCGACGCGGCTTTTTTTTTTTTTTTTACCTGTTTTTTTTTTTTTTTTTTTTGGCTTCAAATGTCGGCTGATGACTGCAAATGGTGCCCGACTAAACTTAGTGCAAATATATGGGAGTCCAGAGAGGCCACATAAATCTTATTCACGATCATAACCCCATCTAAAAACACGTTAAAATTGTGCAGCAGCAGAATTCCAGTCAAACCAGTGAGTTTGGCGGTTTTGAAACATCATCTTGTATTGAAAAAAAACTTTTTCATTTTGCCGACGCGCATGGCTACGGCGATGCGCGCGCATACCAGAAACCGGAGACTTTTTTTTTTTGGCCTTAGTGTATCTTGTTTTACTTTATTATTCCCCAAGTTTGAGTGGGGTATTTTTATGTTTACTGAATGCATGAAAAGGATTTTATTCAGCTAGAGTGCAGTACCACTCCCCAGTGAGTTCTTAAAATGAATCTTTTTTTTTGTTTCAACTTAAGATTGTGGAGAACCAGATCAAGGCTTCCAGCGTCCCAGCCACCCAGTCGGCCCCAGTTCCCGAATCTTCTCCCGATCAGGGCAAGAAGAGAAAGAAGAAGGGCCAAGCCGAACAGCAAGAAGCGGCCAATAAGACCGCAGAACCTGCAGCCTTGACCAATGGGATCGCAGGAGATTCTGATCCGGCCAATCAGAAGAAAGACGCTGGGACTGATGAGGATGGCTTCACTCCTGGAAAGTCTCGCAAAGGTCGGAAAAAGCAGAAGGTACCAATGGTTACATTTTATTTTAACTGAAAAAGCCATTTTATACATAATTTTGGGCGTGATTATGGATTCAATTTAAAGAAGAGCAAAAAATGGGCTTCATTGCTATCTGAAAAAATTAATTTAATGTAAATCTAAGACAGATGTGTCCAGAAGATCAAGGTCTGTTTAGGTTGGGTTTCAGATTAATTTTTACAAATGTACATGTGGCACCCCCAAAAACCATCCTATATTATGACAACTGAGTTTTAGCCTTTTTCCGTAATAAACCAACACAAAACCTTTTTTAAAATCAGAATTTGGTCAAACAATTTTGGACAGACCTATGTACATGTACAATTTAATTTTGAAAAAAGAAGAAATAAGCAAACCAACATTTTGGTTGTACCTTTCATAACAGACCACTCAAGAAGATGGTTCCAAACAGTCTCCGCCAACTGAAGACAAGAAGCAGAAGTCGCCACCTTCAAGCCCCCAGGACAGTTCGGCCAAGAAGTCCGGCAAGAAGTCCCCAGACAAGACCTCACCGTCCAAGACCAAGCCGGCTGCCAAGACGGAGAAGGCCCCGGCTGTGCCGACGCCTGAAGGAAGCCCGGCTAAGAAGGCGGACGGGAAAGCATCCTCCCCTGCTAAGACCAAAAAGAATGTGAAGAAAGAGGAAGCCAGTCCCACTAAAGCTGGTAAGAAGAACTTAAACTTCCTTTTTTGGTCTAAATCTCTGGAATGTACTTTACCACCTAGTTCCCATACCTACCTGCTGTGAAATTTGGTATAAACTTGACCAGTTTACCCCCTCGATGAATCTTTTGAAGTCGGAAGTATGAAAGCTGACTTCTGGTTCGTAACCTCCACTAGGAACCTAGTAAGATCCATCGTTGTGAACAGCTTGCCAACAAAACTACTGGAGGGAGTTATGGCTGTTGTCTGGCCGTAATTAAATGTTGTTTGGTTTTTGTCGCGTTAGATGCCAAACCATCAAAGGACAAGAAGTCCGGCCAAAAAGTCACCAACTCTGCCCCGTCGAGCTCCGAGGCCAGCCCGGCCAAGTCCAAGTCGCCCGCAGATGGCAGCCCCACCAAGTCGGGCAAGAAAGGAGGAGGTGATAAAACCTCCCAACAGCTCAAGAAAGATGACAAACAACTCCAGGAGACCCAAGCTCCGTCAAGTACTTCCCCTGCTCCTGACACCAAGAGCAAATCCAAAAAGGTAGGAACTTATCCTGATATCACTGAAACTTTAGACCTACTTTTCTCTTGATTTGTTGTCCAATGACTCTGTGTCCGTCACACAAAATTCTATGAGATTCCCTATACATAATTTACACAGGGGTTGAACGTGCTGTGTACGAGGGAATGTAGACAAAAGAAATCAAGGGCCAAAGACAAGCTTTGTTCTCAAAATATCTTTTAGTTTATTTTGTTCACTTTTAGTTTATTTTGTTCACAACAAAGTCCATACTATTTTCTTTGATCCAGAAACAGAAAAAGGAATCTGCTCCATCCACACCCGAGGCAATTTCCAAACAGCCAGCCTCCCCTAAAAGCAAAGTGGTTCCGTCCCCTGAGCCCAAAGCAGAGAGTGTAAATAGTAAGAGTAGTGGAAAGAAGAACAAGAGAAAAGGGGGGAGTGAAAGTAAAGGCAAGCCATCAGAGGCAGTAAATGGAGGTAAGTGGTTTGTTTCCAAGCATTTTTACATTATGTGAACTCAGTGGAATCATGTGAAGTCAACAGAATCATTGCTTGATATTAAAAAAAAACAAAGAAAAAATGGCATGCAAAAATTGCTATACCAAGTATGTACCTGTTGGGCGCGATCGGTGGATCTGCGCGATTTGCTCGATCACTTAGAAATGCGCGATCGGTCGATTCTGTAGGAAATCTCAGACTTGACTTCCTTTTTTTCAAACCAATCCTCCAGAGCCATGAAATAGAAAGAAAAGTTGATTTACTGATGGCGGCACGATAGACCGAGAGCGCAGCTCCACTGATCGCTCCCAACATACCCATAACTTAAATGTGGATTCTCATTGGCTACTTGTGGTTGTGCACCCTTACAACACACATTGTACATACTGATTTTTTTGGGAGGATCCCATGAAAATAGCTTCAGTGCGACATTTATAATCCACGATTTATTTACAACCAATTGTAAGTTTGAGTCGACATTTCCTATGCAGAAGCATCACATTCCTTGCCGCCAGCAAATGCCAAAGAAGTTCCTAGTGCCAAAACCCCTGACAAAACCGGTGACAAAGTGTCGTTGGATCCCCCCACCCCCAAGCCAGAGCCAGTAGCGGTGGCCGAAGTGCCGGCAGTCCAAGAAAATGGTGAGATTAAGGGGAAAAAATCTTCTGTATTTAAAGTTCAGGTATTTCTTGAAATATTTGTTGTTCTCTTAAATGTGACCTGTTGTTAAGATCAAAATTGAGTAATTCTTTCATGTATATCTTCAATTTCTGAAAGCTTCTTACTGTATTAACGTCTGAGTGGACTCCTTCAATGTTAACTTAAAAAGGTCTCATTTATGACTTGACTACATCACTATCCTCTTTGGTAGACTTCATGTGGAAAATATAACAAATAAAACAATAACGTTTAATCTTCTTTTACCTTTTTGGTTACGCCAACAGATAATTGGGTTGAAGCCAAGCCCAAAAAGGTCCGCAAAAAGGTAAGAAAGGACCTCTGATGCCTCCCTGGAAGCTGATTGGTCACTTCGCTAAGTCATCCAAGTCATGTGATCTCCATTCTGCCCCCCTATTGGTAACCACTGACCGTCAAATTATGAGGTCATTATGCACCATTGGTGAGGGGCAACTCAATGTGTTTCATCAGGCAACACCATTAATGGGGTATGTGTAATGTCCGAGTTTTTGGCGTCGTGATTGGATGTAATCGGATCACATGACCCATGTAATGATATTTTGATTGGTCGTCAGTAAAGCGATGCAAGTGCCATTGCTGATTGACAGAAAAGTAAGACTGGGCAGGGGAAATATTACAGAAGAACAAAGAAAGTGATTGGTTGTTTCTGATTGATGCCCTATGAGAGCTTCCTTTTGATTGGCTGGACCTAAGTCAGGTGACTTGCCCAGATGTTTCCGGCCATCTGATTGGCTTACTGACTTGCGTGTCACACACAGTTGATGTAGCAGACAAGTTTAGATAGTTGAAGTGCGGAAGGTCTGCAGACGCAGAAAAGAATTTTGATTTTTTGATTTATAAGTAAGTCTCCAATCTTTTTTTCCTAATTTGGAGATTTTGAAAAAGCTAAATGGGGAAGTACCAAACAGTATCAAGTTCACAAAAAGTTTTAAAAAGCTGATGCCTTTTTGTACAGTCAGTGTAAATAGCCATGGTGCTTTTTTGTGGTCTTTGGAATTTCACTGGGGAAAAAAAAAGTTTAAAAAAGCTTTATTTTGTGATGTTAACATAATACCGAGGAAAAAAAACACAAATACATTCCATCGTGATATGTGCAAACATGTTTTTAAAAAATAGTTTTGAAGCCAAATTCTTACAGAAAAGGTATTTTCCTCAAAAAAATCTGACGGTAACCAAAAGGTCATGCTTGAGAACAGTACATTTCACTCTTCCTTCACATACTTCTAAATAAACAAATAAATACATAATATGTATTGTTAAGATCAGATTTGATTTATATAACGCTTGCCAAAAATGTTAGGTGCGTGTATGTCCATTTGAAAGAGTATTTTCCAGTCAAAATGTATTTTTGCACAAATTATATTTTAATCGTCAAAACTGAAGACTTTGTTACTCAACCTCGTGTACTTTGCTATATTTGAAGTTTTGGTTGCTGTTTCAATTTCCTCTGAAATCAATTTTTTTTTCTGAACGCTGAATTGGCTGGCCGTGTTGGTGTATTCATCCAGGCATCAACATTTGAACAGTAGTTTCACTTGGCCAAAGCATTCCTCCATGGCCAAAGTGACATGAGTGATAGAGATTTAACCTACCACACATCACTGACGTTGAAACATTTGCCAGAACTGAATACAACATTTGAGTTGTACATTGAAAGAGCATACAAGTACATGCAGAAGTTAAAACTGCGATTTCACCCAGTACAATTTGATATATTCAATATAGAAAGGGGATAAAACAGATTGTCAAAAATGTCAACCAAACCGCCAAAGTAAAATCAGGATCAAGTTTTGATTGATGACTAGGAAACCAAATCCATTTTTATTTTTGGCCCAAACTTGAATTCTTTGAGAGAAAAGCTTTTCGCATAATGAAATCTTTATTTTTGTACTTCTGATTTTCACAGCGATTTGTTAATGGATTAATATGGATCAATCAACAGCAGATGCTAAAAACATTGTTTTACGCGAGATAATGTTGAAAAATTAGTCGATTTAGTGTATGTTCATGTTATATTAAAGCTTTTAAATATGGAAACTCTTCCTGCAGAAAATGTCAGTAAAAAACAGTTTAAATCGTAACTTATTAAAAGTTTAAAAAGTGAAAGATGGAAAAAACAAGGGGAGGGGAGAAACATACTGCTCTGTGCTTCAGTTGTTTATAAATTGTCTGTGGTGTCCAGAAATCTTCAAAGTCGCCCAAAAAAAAAAAAATCTTCAGATTTTCCAAAAAAAAATCGAAGTCACACAAAAAAAAGCCTGGTGTACACCGCATTTTGTGTTAGTTTTTGTTTAAATTTTTTTTTTTGAAAGTATCATTGCATTGCTGTAAGGTGTTCAATTAAGAGATTTGTTGTCTTAATGCAGATTTACAAGAATTTGGTAGTAATTGACAATCACTGTTTGTCAATAACTTCCTAGATGGCGATAATAGGTTCGAATTGAACATACTTTCGTTGCTTTACATATATAAAGGAAATTTTTCGTCAACAGTTCCATGAGTTTGGCCAGAACATGCTCCAAATAGCAGTTTCCGATGGAGTTTGGATGTACAGAAAATATATTGCTTATCTTTAAATGAACATTAAAAAGCCTAAGTTGTACAAAAAAAATACACAAAAAAAGTTATCAAATGCTATATTACGGAATTCTTTATGATGCTTTACTGTATCAGTGATAAAACAGTTTGTAAAATTGTGACAGATTTATCAATCTTTTCTCTTCCATTTTTTTTTCTTGCCTTATATTTTTTTTCCTTTTTAAAATGGTTGAAGGGTGTGTAAATTGTATTTTGTTTCATTACAAGTTTTAATTGAGCAGGCGAAGGCCACAATTTCCAACAATTCTTTTTAACTTTCATTCATGCGTTCGCTTCTGTGCTGTGACTTCACAATTGCTTTTCATTCAATGTCACAACAGTAGACTCCCAAAGGATAATTTAATAAAGTTACTTCCTTATGCTTTGTCTGTTGTACATTATGCATTGTGGAAGCACATACAAAAGTATTACTTTGAAAAAACAAAATTTTTATTTGATTTTAAAATATAAAAAAGTAAGCAGTGTTGATAAGTTACATGTGTTGTATACAGTCGAATCTCGTTAGTACAAACTCTGTTAATACAAAATTCTGGTGATAACAAACATAAAGCCTTAGTCCCGACTGTGCATTTATGTGCACAATGAAAGGGACTGATGTTCCTCTTAATACAAAATTCTGATATAACAAACAATTTGGCTAGGTCCGAACGAGTTTGTATTAACGAGACTCGACTGTACATAAACTGACAAAAAGTTCAAAGTTTTTAACTTATGATTGCCACAAAACTTATATAATGTGATGCGTATCTGTATGTCTTTCTTTGTCAATGTAGACTTTTGTTTATAGTATAGACAAATTTCAATTTGGAAATGTAGCCTCGGGCCTCGGTGCTGTTTTTGTTGAGAGGATTAAAAACAGAAAAGGTTCTCAATTCATACAATGGCTTAGCGCTAAGAGCCTCGGCTTCAACGCTAATTGGGAAATTCGTCTACGACTTCCAAGAAAATGTACATTATAGCTCACACATTTTTTGATCACGAGACCTTTTATGACAAGCTTGTATGTGTCCCTTTGTTCTTGTTGGACAAGGCAAGGAACTCAAGGCAAGGAATTCAAGACAAGAATCGTTACAAACTGGAAAAAAAATTTGTTTGTGTCGATCTATTCTGTACCTGTTGTACATTGTACCAGGTGATTGAACTTGACAATTATTTGCTCACATTTTTTTTCTTTCGAGTTATGTGTATTTGTATTTTTAAAAAAAAAGATACAAAAGAGTAGTCATTTAGAGAAATGAAACTTGGATATTCGGGGCATTGTGTTAATTGTTTTTCCCAAATAAGGCCAAGACTTAGCTTTGTCTTTTTAAAGTGGCATTGTAAAATCAAATACAGGCTTCCAAGAGGTCCTGGGGGAAATGGAAAACAAAAACTGATTAAAATTATAAATCTCAAAAATTAAAACTTAATTGTCAACTCTTCCTCCAGAGCTTTTTGAATGAAGCACTCTAATTGCTCTAGGTGCATACAGCATTCTTAGGGACAGATGACTTAACCTGTATTTTGTAACATCAACAGGCTTATTGTGATGTGTTAAATTTGTAATTATGGTCACTCACAGTGAAATTTCTAATTTGACAAAGACCAGTAGAACAGTAAAAAAATAACAGACACATTTATTGTTAAGCAACAAAAATTTTATTACATGTATATCAACTAGTAAAGTTGAGGAAATTAAAATTATTTACAAAAAAAAAAAATTTAAAGTGTAAAAGTGACAATCATCGTCAAGGAATTGTTGACGTAATATATATATTTTTTCTCGGGGAAGAAAAAACACATTTTTGAGCGAATTCCATGATTTAACATGTATTCCATAAAATCATAAAGAAAAGAAAAACTGTAAAAGCTTTATTTTTTTTCTCCTTTTAACATGTTCAGCAGAAACTTGTGCTTCTAGGTTGAGGGAAAATAAATTTATATTAAAATAAGTGCTTTAGTCTGCGTGATATCTTATGTGTCGATCTTTTATGACATAAATGGCATTTATTGCTTTTAATATGCGCATCTCGAGTGCTAATGACAGGCGTGTCATTTAGCAATTTAAGTTGTCCACACATGCAGTTTCTTGCCCGTTTACAGCTTTGCTTTTTTCACTCGTGGAAAACCAACACTATTTATGACTTTGAAGAGAAAAAAAACAAAGCTTTTTACATTTTATACAAGTGATTTCACTTTTCGTAATGAAAAGAGTATTACATGTGTACAGCACAAAAAAAACTTGCCACCTGGTAAGTGAGCATCTCAACAGCGCCCTCTGTTGTTTGCAAGGTGCACACAGTGCTCATACACCTGTTAGTTTCCCCTAGTTCTTGATTCATTTGCACAAGTCGTCCATGGTGAAAGAGATGACAAACACTCGACAGGATTGTCCATATTCAAAGGTAAGAAGTGCATACTCTCATAGGCTTGCAAACAAGTGCGTACTCTTGGTGCGTCCCCCCCCCCCCCCCCAAAAAAAAAAAAAAACTGAGCTACGGACTGAGCACAAGTACCCCCTCAACGGTTACAATGAGAGAGTCGGGGGAGACCACTGGGAGAGACATTTGAAAATAATTTCAGACTCGCAATGCTGTGTATGAGAGTCCCAAAACTTTAGGTATTGAAAACATGTAAAAATACAAGAAAATTGACTGGCACCTGAAACAACCCTTCAGTACTGCACCAATCAACTGTGCCAAAAAGAAGCATCTGGCATGTCAGAAACTAGTCTCTATTTCTACACATTTCTCCATAGTCAGCCACCAGACTAATGACACTGCATGAAGAGGTCAGTCTTTTCAAGCAGTTGGGCCATGGTTGGACATGTACCAGTCTAGTCTTGAGCCTCATTTTGGAATCGCTTGACTTCCCTCTCATGTGCAAAATATTGGAGCAAAGTCTGCTATAAAAATTTAATTGAGTCTTCAAACTTGGTTGGTGAAATACTGAGGACCTATTTGCCCAATGAAAATTTTGAAGAAATTTGCTGGCTAAAGTGTGAGTAAAGTTGGCCTGATTTAGTTTTGCATGTTTTTGAGCAGTGAGCACTTAATGCCCTAGCCCCATAAATGTGGCCTATTTACTGGACTGCCTCCGTAAACATAGGCCACACATCCACATGTACAAAAACGTGTCGCACTTTGCCAAATTTTGATTTTCACATTTAGGCTTAATTTGTAGGGTTTTTTTGCTTTAGAAGCATACTCACCCTCTTTTAGGCTAATCAGAAAGTGCTGCCTTTTTCAGATGTCTATTTTTCGTGAAATTTCCAGATTCATTTGCACACGTTTGCGTATCAAAATTTCAACATAAAATTTCACAAAAATTAGCCATCTGAAAAAGGCAGCACTTTCTGATTAGCCTATAAAGAGGGTGAGTATGCTTCTAAAGCAAAAAAATCCTACAAACTAAGCCTAAATGCGAAAATCAAAATTTGGCAAAGTGCGACCCATTTTTTTGTACATGTGGATGAGTGGCCTATGTTTACAGAGGCAGTCCAGTAAATAGGCCACATTTATGGGGCTAAGAGTGTCCCGTCTACCGGGGCTATCGAAAGTGGTCAAAAACTGTTCGTGCACGGATTGTCTGTTGCCCATCATGCATAGGCTACATCTGCCATCCAATGGGGTCCACTGGTAAGCGTACAGTTAAGATTAGACGCGACCGTCAAGTCGGCACCGGAGGAACAGCATTGGGGTCGACCCCACGACTGATAAATCGCAACCGTAGTTGCCATGCCGGCCGTAGACCCTTGATGACGCGATCCGTGTCTGCCTTGATGCCGTCACCGGCAAACATGTACTTGATGTGATAGCTGGCAGAGGATTAGTTAAAGAATCGTAACATAGTTTTAACACCGGTATTTTTTTTTAAGTTAAAATTTCTATAATGATTCGTGTTCCTGGAAACCCCATAAGCTTACTGGACTCAATCCAAGTTAAAATTACCATTGATTTGTTTGAGCAAGTTTAATTCCAGGTGAATTTTGAACGTTGAAAGTTCATTTCTTTATAAAAAAGATGATTTAAACCGTCTCTCTTGATACACAAAATGTTGGGAGCCAAAAAATTTGGTAAATAAATTCCAGCTCCTTTTGGACAAATTTTTGAATATCTTTTTTTCTCAAAAAGGATACAGAAAGTCACAGATGACGTCCATGTGAACAATCTGGCTGCAATGTTGATCCACGACCAGCAGCATGTCATACAGGTTCTTGGTAATCTGTGAATAGGAAGAGTCAGGGAACCAGACCAAGATGGTGAAAAGTCTTGGGGAAAAAAACAACTCGGAGTAAATAAAAATGTGTATGCATGTCCATTTTCAAGAATGTCTCTCTATAGTTTGTCATAAATACATCCGATAGTTGTAAACAAGTCCATGAGGGCGTTGTTGCAATGGAATCTTATCAATATAAAACCTTTACACACCTCAAAAAGAAGCCGTGTTCTCTCCTCATGAAATCTCTGGAGGAATGGTCCCACCATATGACAAACAAACAAATACTGCTCTTCGCTTTTCACCACCGGCTTGACCTGATCACGAATAAACCTGACAGGAAAAAAATGTCACAAAGTTTCATTGACTGAGCCAAAACTTTTCTCAAATTCTGAACAGTGTAATTCGTTTTGCTTTCCTCAGACTCCTTATCGTAGGAATATGTGTATGGCTCACCTCACTTTTTGGGGGATGAATGGCATTTTTATTTGGTGCATTTTAACATTTTACAAGTTACAGTCTTTTATTTTGTGAATATTAAAAAAACAGATGTATTCTCATTATTGCCCAGTCTATGGAATATCCATGGAATATTGATATCTATGGATATCAGATGTTGAACCGGAGACAAAGAGGGCTCCATTGGACAACAGGTGATACTCAGACTAATTATTGCCTGCCGATAAATTGAAACAGTACAGAGCATCAGCCTTACTGTTGTAAGGGCGTGAGCTGGCCAATGTTGGAATGGTGCCAAACTGCATGCGTCATAGCCAGCACGTACGCGCACATCATCTCGGTGTGGGACGAGTGCGTGCCGCGGAAGTCAAATACGGCGAAGGCGTTACCCAGAATGCCAGCACCCGGCGTGACACTCTTGCCTAGTAGAAGGTCGCTGTTGAGAACCTCCAAGATACGATCTTGGATGACATCACAGTAGCAAGACTTGATGAGGCAAAACAGACAAAAAGGATTCAACATAATTATTTCAATTTTCATATTTACAATGCAGTTTTAAAACTTTGCTTAATTTAACCTAACCCTGCTCCCGGTATAGTGGAACGTCACTATACCGAACACCGCTATACTCAACATTCGGCGATACCGAACGTAATCCTTGGATCCCGATTTGTGTGTACAAGATATACCGAACATTGTTGCTGAAAAATGTCAATAGAAGGGCGACAAGTGGCTATTATTTCCCCAAGTAATAGAAGGGGAAAGCCACCCATGGCTGTAGGTAGTAAGCTCAAACACTGTATAGTTACATAATTCAATAGTCGGCACGTGTTCAAAGTCGTCTATCAGTAACTACCGAGGCGTGCAGGGTGAAGGGTACTATTGATTGAAAAGTGAGTACCGGAGCACCAGCAGCTTAAAATTGCTATACCGAACGATCGCTATTATGAACAATTTCTGTGGATCCCGCGATGTTCGTTATAGCGGCGTTCCACTGTTTTTCATAAGAGCCTGCGGAATTCAACAATCTCCAACAGCAAGACGAAACAGCTGTTGTTCATTTCTCAGATCAACAAAAAGCCAGCAGAAGTAAACCTTTTGCTGGTAAGCTGGCAAAGGTTTCAAGTAGCATTCTGCAATGAACAATTTTCAAGCAACGTTGGAAGTCGAAGCAAAATGCCTGTGATATATTTGTGTCATGCTTAAAAGCACTTCATTTTAATAAGTAATTGTTTAAAAAGAATTTACTCACAGGTAAAGATGTTAGTACCAGGGCTATGGTGTTGATCCATGACATAACATCATCCCTAGGAAGGATCGAGGGACTAGAAATTGGCAAGAAAACCAGGAAAAATGGTTTTAAGATACATATAGTCTGAAAATGACAAGATCAATTACTTATCAAATCTATATGTGTTATATTTATTCATGTTTTTCATAAATCGGCATTTTCAAAAACTGCAGATTATCGGAAGTAAAAGTTGCCTACTTTTTGAAGATGACTTCCAGCAATGCATTCCCGACAAATTTCCCCTGGCCGGGCAACGCCATCAGTTCGACGCAGGTCACGTGAAGGGCGTGGGCGGCAAGGTTCGGGAACTCGTTGAAGCGCCAGTCCATGTTCTGGAACGGGGGCTGCGTCTTACCTGAGACTGGTACAAAGCACGTGAGTTAAGGAGCTTTGAAACAAAGTACAGTTAATTAGACCAGCTGACCTTTTCTGCCTAGGGTAGCGTAGGGTCTCTACAACAAAGGTCTTGTGAAAATTGGGTATTTGGGGGTTATGAAGCTATGACCATTAACCCTAACCACCTTAACTCCATAAAAACCAGCCCCCACTTTGGTGGATTTTGGGGGACTTGGTCCAGAAGGCCTGGCGTGACTAAATATTGATGGAGTATGATGGACTTGGGCCTAATGGCTTGAAGCAGTGTTAGTGGTATCCGATTGATTTTTCCTAGCTTCCTGTACTGCTGTTGTGATAAAAGCCATGTGTAGCAAGTCCATGAATGTCAACCAGTGCATCAGTGGTGGATTCCATTATGTCATGTACAGTTTTGTATTGGACGCACAGTGATTGATGGATTTTGATGGACTTGGTCCAGTTCCTAGTAAAAGACGCTAGGGAGTTGGAGTTAAAGAACTTTTTGTCCAACTTGATATGTTGATGGCATCCGTGGCGATTAAAAAAAATCCCTTGTCGTCTAGTATCACAGTGGCTGTCAGAAAGTTGGATTTTAAAAGGATATTGTCCACCAAACGGCCGATCAGCTTGCAGTAATAATCGTGGTCAGGCTCCCATGCCACTTCTTCGCCGGGCTTGTTGATGTACTCCAAGTACTGTGGAGTTAAGCACCTACATGGAGGACAAGAAACAGTCTCATGAATAATCTATCATTTCTAGACAACAGTGTCATTAATATTCAATTCACAGACAGAGAGAATGAAAAACTGTTGCATGAATATTCAGTTATTATGTAAACAATGCTTGAAATTTAAGAAGAGAAGTGGTGTCAGCAACCGGGGAGAGAAAACAGCTCATGAATATTCAGTTATTCATATGCGTAATTGAAACATTAAACCGCAATGTGTGGGTTTTTGTTCATACCATCCAGCCGGTTTGACCGATTTCTGGGCCATGATGATCGCGCCGACGAGTTTGCGCTTTAGCTGAGGGCGGTCTCGCAACTTCTTCTCGTAGTAATGAAGGGTGTTGAAGAGGTATGTGACGGGGTGATCTACAAGAAGTAAACACAACAATAAGTAAGTGATGGCTGAAATTAATGCTACATGTTTGCAGTCTAAATTATACCGTACCAGTGCTGTACCAAGCACGGATGTTGTCGAGTCTATCACAAGTCCTCCAGTCCCAATTCAACTCACAAGCTATTCAAATGAGTTTGACAAAGGCATTCCTTTGTTATTGTTCATCAAATGTTTCTTGTGAGTGGACTTGTGATTTACTTGTGACTGGACTTGTGGTGGTTTTGTGATGGACTCGACTACATCGCTGCTACCAAGTAAGCTATCTAGCTCTGCGTTAGTGAGTTCTTAATTTGACAGTTGTATGTTTTATTTCATTAATTATTTACTCTATGAGCAACGTTCAAGACCTCCAAAATCATCATAAGTCGTCCAGCTTGAGGTCAGGAGACAGGCTACTTTAATGAGCTGCGATAAAGGCATTCCTACGTTCACTCTCCACTACGTATGGCCTTACTTCTGAGTTGACTTGTGCATATCTTGGATATTTCAGGATTAGGATAGTTCATTTGAATTGGTCAGATGTTTCTCACCGTGGAATTTGTAGAGTCCTCCCAAGTGGTCAAGGAGAACCTCCAAGGATTTGGAGGCAGGAGGCAGCTCAAGGAAACGATGGATGAGGATGTCAAACACCTAGAGAGGATGCACATAAATGAAGATGGTTCCAAAATGCTTCGTACCTGTATGATTCATATTTCTGAAGCACACTTTTGGCAAAATCACAAGAAACTGGAGACAACTGGACTAAACTGGTTCTTACCGGTATGAAGCGGAGGCACACATTGCTGAAGTATACTGGCAGATTCTGGCATGGTGTGCTCATGGTTGCTCCTGTGAGTTCCAGCATGCCTTCGTAGTAATACATCTCTGGGTATTTCTATCGATCAAAATTAAAACAGCTGGATGCTATATGATTGTGAATACCGATAACTGAAATGCTTGCAACAAAAGAAACTGGCAACTTCCATCTGTGGGGTAAAAGTTGCAGTATGGTCTATGTGTTCACTTATCTGATTCTGACAAAGCCGCTGAAATAGTGTCAACGCACAGTGTGATGGACAGACAGACCAACAAACAGAACCCACCCTGTGGTAACTCATATGCTTGGTGTGCCAGTCCGACTGCAGCCAGTGCTCGGGGGAGTTTTCCTTGACGAAGTCGTTGACTCGGTTCCGGAACTCGACGGGTTTGAGGAGAAGTAGCTGTATGATAAAGAAACAGACCTGTGCCTCGCTACCCTCGTGGTTTCGAAGCGCCTGGCAAAGAGGAAAGATAGAGATACTTGCATTATCTTGTTTTTTTCAAGAACAAATTCCAGATTGATTGGTCTGAATGCAGGTAAAGCTATGTGGACAACATATGAGAACCTGTGAAGGCCGCGTGTGACGTGTGTGTGCATTACTTCAGGCACAAGCATGGCTGGGAAGTACGTACGTACGACCAATTTTCGACGGACTGTGCACAAACTTGTATCATGTCTGGGTGACATGAATGCACATGGGTGTGGGTTTTCAGCCTCTTAAGTGTACTACTACTGCTAAAATGACAGTAGGATTTAGAGTGGGAAAGTAGCGTATCTTACCAAATTAAGTATGAGTCTATCCAGGCTGACGATGTTGAGTTTCCACACCATGTCGTTGAGAGTCTCGACACACTGCAAACCAATCATAAAGTCAACTGAGTCATATCAACATGTCAACCAAGTACATCTCGCACCATACCTCTATCTCAGCATGCCGCTAAATGATTATCAACAAGTATGGGATTGCTCAACTAATGTTGCAAATCACCCTCTCCAAAGTTTGACATTTAGCAAGTCGGCTAAGTACGACTTACAGCTTACCTGTCAGTGTCTCAGCATGTTGCTCAACAATTATCAACAAGTCAGCGATGCATATCAACAAGTATGGGGTTGGTCAAACTAATGTTACATAATCATCCACTCAACAAATTCAAGTCAACAAATTATCCACCGCATGTTTTAGACTATCTAAGCTGATGAGTAACTCTCAGCATCCACCCAGTCGGCGAGTTGCTTTCATCAACTGATCAAATGTGTGGATAAAACTTTATTACTCCACAGAAAGTGAACAGAGATCTTTTGTTATTTTTAAGGAAAGGAGGAACCTTATTTTCTTTGCTGACCTTGTTGACGTGTTGACCACCGGCCGAGGTCGAGAACTCAAAGACCAGGAAATCAGCGAAGGTTCTGATGTGACTGGACAGCGCCCTCGGGCCGATGCGCTCAATGACCTTGACGGCCACTGGATTGATGTGGTTGGGCTCGTTCTCAAGAAGCATCTTCCATATCAGGCTGATGAAACGGGGACAAGTCAGAGAAATCCAAAATGAGCACATCCCTAATTCATTTCTACAATGACACAATCAGCACGTGGCTGGGGAGTCAGTGTGGCTCAGTTGTTCTTTCCACACCTTCCACTTCCATGGCCCGGGTTCGATTTCCCTCCTAGTCCACATGTGGAATGGGTTTTCAGTCCCTACCTGATTCCGTGGGTTTCCCCAGAGTATTGTTTCAGAGTTTTCCTCCCACCTCCCAGAGCTTTTATGGCAGTATTCAGACTAATCTTAGACAATCTAAGCTTAACTTTTAAGTTTTAAAACTGATAACATTTTGAGTTTTCCGTCTTACCACAGAAACAGATGCTGGTTGCCCTGGCTAGCCCCTCTAGCCGGCCCGCCAGGCTGCGTCCCCTGGACAGCAAAGCGATTCAAGATCTCCGCTTCGTTGGTCATGGCTAAAGAAAAAAACACCACAAAAGGAAAGGAATACAAACAGTCAGTTACAAAACAACTCTGAGTTGTGTTTTAGCAGATACACGGAAACCAGATACTTAAAAAGGCCTTTTCGACTCTCAGAAGTTGAAAACTTGTTTCTCTGAGGCAAAAGTTTCATCAGAAGGAAATGTCAGTTGCTCAATTTAGACTTGTGAAGATCACCTTTCCATTTGCGATGCTCGTCCTCCACCGTCTTCTTGAGCAGGGATCGGTCCTCCTGAGGGGCTGGGTGGGCCTCAAAGAACTCCTGCAAGGCGGTGGGGAAACACTTGAGGGTGTGGGAGGCCCAGTTGTGAGGCGTGTTGGTAAACAGGGTGGTGAGGATGTCCTTACACCAGGAACCGGACAAAGTCTCAGAACCTTCAGGTAGAAAAAAATAACATGGACAAACGATTAAGCAAAAGGGACGACACGGTCAGATTTCTTGCCGATATGGCTTCTACTTTCTACAGGAGATTCTCAACACACAGTGAAGCAGTCTTACAAGGAACAAGAGTGAAGCTTACAGATACATGGATTTAATTTATCTTCAAGTTTCTTTGCTCCTGCCAAGATCTTGCATCCCCCATCTTATAATTTATCAAAGTTCAAGTGAAACATCAACAGATTCCTTTCTGTCTTTAACTTGCTTCTTTAGTTCTTGTCTGTGGTCACTACCTTGACTGGCCATTAGCCATGTAATTAGCGATGCCCTTGAAAAACTAGATATGAAGCCAATCCGCAAAGAATCCATCTTTCGTCCATTTACTGATTCCCTTCTACAGTTTTAAGCATTCTCCCGTTGACTGTTAGAGCAAACTAGGCGAAATGTCAAGATGAATCTCTGGTTCTTTATACTCTCCACGATGCAATACCTGAAACTACATTTCGTCTCGCGCTTACCGGTAACGTGCATGGCTCTGGCCAACGTCAGCACCAGGGCTCGATTTAGTTCCTCCGAGTCGGCAGACAAGAGATTGTTGGGCTCGGTCAGGAAGCGGGAGAGTTGAGGCTGGACGTCGGCGCTGCCTAGACCGGTGATGATTCGCAGAGCTGTGCTCTCGATACTACAAGGAGAAGAGGTCATCAAACAGTACGAACTCCAAAATTTGTGACATCTCCTTACTTGGGACAAAATGTCTGAAACTTAGCCTGTGCAAGCAAACTGACTTTGACTTTTGGCCCTTTACATTTTGTAACTGATTTCTGATTGGTCAAGGAGATCTTGATGATTGACCTTTGACCCTTACCATTGATACAGCTGATTCTGATTGGCCAGCGGGATCTTGCTGAGCGAGTGCAGGTTGCACAGCAGCTGCACGATGTACTGCGGCTGAATGTGCTGCAGTCTGAAGCTGAACAACTCCAGCAGCGTGTGTAGCATCCCCCAGGCACTGGCCTCGCACACCGTTGGCAAAACCTTGGCTGATTTTTTAGATAAAAGTTTCAAGAAATAAGTTTTCAATGACAGATATTTACTGGCTGACATGTTTACATGTATGGAAACTATGTGGTGTGCATTAGAAGATGAAATAGGTCCAATAAACTAAGGCTCGAAAATTAAGCGAGTTGGAGGGTGCATCAGCTGGTAGTGAACTCATTTGCTTATCTCAAGATTGCAGTCGTTATCATGTCACGTGTTAGAGTTTATCAGCCAACCCTTAGAAGACTGTAGCAGATATTGGCGGTTTACACATGAGGTACCTGCAAACCTGTGGATAAGTTTTTGGACATGTGGATCGTCCACTGGTAACTTATCCCATTTGATATTCAATCAACTCTGCAACATGACTCAGAAGCTCGTCTTTGCCACGTTGATATTTTGGACGTTTTATTTTCATAAAGGATGATGAGTAGGCCTTTAAACCTTGCTTGAGATGGTTTGCAGATTTTTCTGATGGTACTCTTAGAACAGCATCAATCTTGGGAGACACGACAGACTTAGCAGAAAGGTGCTGAGGTATGGGTTTAAAGAGAACCGTGGCTTACTGATAAATCCTTTGATTCCGAGCGACTCGATCTCCATGTAGACCAGCAGTCGACTGTAGGTCTCCACCAGGGCTGGAGATAAGGCCATGGAGGACTGCTTGTGGTGGATGGCCGGGATGATGTTCTTGCCAACTATGTGGTGTATTAAACTGTGGACGAAAACGAGATGTGTTCAGATTTACAAGGAAAGTAAATGTAACTGTCAAACCGTAAAAAACTGGACAGTCAGATTTGGCGTCTAAACAACTGTGTATAACTAGGCCTTAGTGGTACAATTGTAAATCAAATCTTTAAAGATGCATTTCGCTCATGCACTACTGCTATTCGGATCGTAAGTTCAACGTCATTTCAGCTTAAACCACGCCAACTGCACACGGAGTAGCACTGGAACCATTCAAACCGGTTCCAAAGTTGCGTGTTTAGCCAATGGGTGCTAGCGATCAGTGGTGTGTGCGGGTGTATGACGCCGTCGCATACGAACTGGATTAGTTTATGCACCTTTATGTGAAAAATTATTGCTGTACTCTATGCCCATGTCCACATACAAAATGCCAACACAAAATATATCCTTCACTGATTTTGTGAGTCCTCTATACTGTGCCATCTACACATCAAACTCTGAATGAAGACTGTCACCCTACCTCATCTTAGCGTGCACAGTGAGAGAATCCAGCAGACTCATGGAGAGTGGGGCCGTGGGACCAGACGCCACACACATACTGGGGCCAGGCATGGGGACGGAGGTCTGACCCGAGCTGTAGATGCTGTCCACCAGGACACCCATGGGCCACGAGAACATGTCCGTACTTGTGCTGTCTGTGAACGTAAAACAGGAAGACATTGTTTCACAGCAGCTCCTAATGCAAGATGTATGGACTCTGTGTATGAACAATACATTGTGACCTCACTACCACAAGTGAGAGCTCTATGGGCTCCGTGCGCCAACTAGAGAGGGCGCTTTTTAGCACTTTCGAGAGCATGTCAACAACACACTGTGTGCGCGTAATGGTTTGTGCGTGTATAACGTGAAGTATGCACGACTAATATTATTCCAAAATGTGCACAAAGCCATAGCATCTTTGCGTGAACATCAGGCATTGTCGTCAATGAGTTCAAATGTCTCTTCCAGTGGTCTCCTCCAACTCTCCTTTTCTTACCGTTGAGGGGGTACTTGTAAACGGAGCCAATAGGGGGACACACTGCATGCACTGGTTCGGGCATGTATGGAACGAAGTATGCCAGTCCAATTTTATTTTGAATGTGCACAAATCCGTGTCGCCTTTGCATGAGCATCAGGCATACAGCAGGAATGCATTGAAGCGTCGCCTTTGCATGAGCATCACGCATACAGCAGGAATGCATTGAAGCGTTGCCTTTGCATGAGCATCAGGCATACAGCAGGAATGCATTGAAGCGTCGCCTTTGCATGAGCATCAGGCATACAGCAGGAATGCATTGAAGCGTTGCCTTTGCATGAGCATCAGGCATACAGCAGGAATGCATTGAAGCGTCGCCTTTGCATGAGCATCAGGCATACAGCAGGAATGCATTGAAGCGTCCCTCCAAACTCTCTCTTTGTCGCCGTTGAGGGGGTAATTGTGTAGGAGTCCATACCAGGGGTGTGAAATCTCAGCTTTAAAGCCGATTTCAGCTTTTTTTGTTTTGGATTTCAGCTTTTTCCCTCACTTACTGTGTACAAAAGTATAGGAGATTTCCAAAGTTCAGCTTTTTTACACCTTTTTCAGCTATTTTTATCAGTGGTCACTCACACCCCTGCCATACGATGAAGCTCTGTCACATTTTTCTCAAGAACCTGATCATGAGAAGAAGTGGGTTTGTGTTACTTACAAGCATTGCACAGCATGGCTATCCTGTAGTCCGTCAGCGGAAGATTTGAACAGTTGTAGCTCTGCTGAAGAAACCTAGAAAATACACAGAACATTAGAGGTATGATAAAAGGATGACACCAGAGCTAAATTTGTAATGGTCAGGACGTGTGCACTAGCAAGCCGAATGTCTAGGGTTCCGATCCAACCCATAATGCCAGTACTTACTCCAGGTGAAGCTTGAGTGAGGGCGGGGCCGGTCTCTGTAATGACACTTTGTCGCTCTGTGCTTTACGGCTGAGATGGATCCAGATACATGCCATTGCAAGGCGGTGGGTGCACTGGGGATGGCTGACGTCCGGTACGGGAAGCGGCTGCAGGGAGGAGACGAAAAGAAATTTAGACCATGTGACATTTTAATGTGGGCTGATTAACATGCAAACGATGCTTAAATGTTTGGGTTGCCCTGCGATTGCCTGTCGGCACGACGTCACAGGGCAAGTGGTCCATAAAGCCACTTGCCTGATCGTGCAGGACACAAGAGTCTCAGAGGCAGGGATTCTGTCAATCTAATATTGACAATCCCAACCCCTAGGGTAAGGTAGCCCGGGGAAGAGAGTGGGATTGGAACCACCAGGTGCATATTTACGTCAGGTGTATTTGAAAGGTGCATGTCACAAAATTTAGGTTAACAGAACTCTGTACCTCTTTTTCAGGGAAGAAGATGTCAAACAGCTTCAGGATTGGGAAGAAGTCACTGAGCGGGTTCTTCTTGATGCTGCCAGAGATGTACTGCAGCAACACCCAGCTCAGATGGTCACGGCCCTTGGTCAGGCTGCGATTACTCAGCTGGAAAACAAGGAAATGTGAAAGGATATTTAAGGAAATACTGTAATATCGAATATCCTACCAGATGGGATACTAATACAATAGCAATTTGGAGGATTATCAACAAATACTCTGAAGTTTTCCAACCTCTCAAATGATGCCTCTGAGCAAATGTTTTCACCTTTTTGTTGAGGGACATGACCATATGCGGGAAGCTGGCAAAGTTGAAGAGGACAAAGAAGATGAGTTGGCTGGACAGGTGTTGCCAGAGGGCGTCGGTGGGGCTACCAAGCTCAAACGTCCCATCAGTCTGCTCCGTCCTCTCCATGGCAACCACGACAAGGTCCACAAGCATCTCCTCCAAGACTAAACATCGCTGCTTATGCTGTCATAAAAAAAAGAAAACTTTCACAATGAGTGAGCTTTACTCCGTGACGGAAGAGAGGATAACGTTTGTGGAACAGCTCACAAGTGATACATATTCAGTACCAATGTGTGCGCGTACTGTTGATAATATTTATAATAATAATAATAATTAGGGGGCTAATCATCCTTACTCGCAGCTGAGAAGCTGAATTGCGAAGGACGCGGCTACAACACAGTTGAGCAAAAGGTATGTAAAGGCAACATTGGGCTGCCACCATATGACCCATCTGTGACCACGGAGCACAGCCAGAGATTGAAAAGTGTTTGATTTTTGCGGAGGGAGGAAAACCGGAGAGCCCGGAGAAAAACCCTCGTGGCACAGGAGAGAACCAACGCACAACTCTACTCACATATGGTCTGAGCCGGGAATCGAACCCCGGGCCACAGTAGTGAGAGGCAAGAGCTTTACAAGTCAGGAGTACACACGACTTATTTTATTTTGATTGTTCACAAGCCCTCAGCGTCTTCCTGCTTCCTGCAAAAACCGTACCTGAATGTTGAGTCCCAGTATGGTCCGCACCATGTCCCGCGAGTAGGGCTGCTCTAGGACATATCGTAGCAAGTTGGTCTGGCGTTGCGTCTGCTCCTGTGTAAAGAGAAAAAACAAAGATCATTGGATTAAACAGTTTATGGATTGACCTTGAGTCCCGTTACATAAATTATAACATCACAGATTTTATATGACATTTCACTATAGTCTGGTACCTTGTCATAGGGTAGAAGTCCCTTCAAAGGAAATGTGAGGGAGACAGGGTCCAGTTTCCAGGAGTTGTGGGTTGCGTTGAAGTGACCTACGACGGGAAGCAGGCTTGGTCGCCCCGTGATGGATACCATGCGAGCTGTGGGCCGGAATGTGTCGATGAAGTTGGTCACCAGCTGTCCCACCGCCTGATCAAATAGAAAACAGAAAAGGAAACTGACTGAAGCTCGTCTTGACAGATAGAACGTTCTGAAAGCCAAGTCTGAGAAGTTGGAATGCTCAGAAATTGACACTGGATATTCCACCTGTTCCATGTAGAAATGCAGGCTGTTCTATAGGCTGGCTGGAAACAACAGGTGTTTTCACATGGGGTCATTTGCATAATTGATTGTGTAACTAACTCTGGGCCATTACTTGTTCCCACCGAGAATGTGTTGTGTTCCCAATGAAGTAATCATGGCGGAACAAGATTGCTTCCAGATTTCAGATCTTCTTTAACCCTAACCCTGCCAGACGCAAAACAGTGCATCAGGTGGAAAAGTCTGGTGCACTTTGATGCGTTCAGCTGCCAACACCAGTGCATAAACGGCCGCTTCTGAAACAATGAGAGCTAATTCCATTGAACAATGCCTCAGTTGTATCCTGCTGCATTCGGTGACCACAGACTCTGAGGCAGTTTGGCCTTGAGACTTTTGACCTGATGGAGCTTGCTACAATGGGCAGGCTTGTCATTTAGACAAGTGTTGCATGTTGCTACAGTTGGCAGGGTTTCTTGACAAAATACCCTGGAGGGGTTGGGTAAAAAAGGCCACACAGCACCTTCGAACCTGAACATCAAGGTTTAATGGCTGGTGATCATAAGTAACAGCAGCAGTTCTTCAACTAATCGATGCCCAAAAAGAGTTCTAGGGTGCAATTTACCCAGTGAGTGTTTGGCTTGTCGTCAGGAAACAGCTTCTTGAGCTCGTTGACAGCGAAGTAGCTGGGCAAGAGGCAGGCATTTCTGTCCAGGATCTTGGCGAGGACCTTGACTGCCACATCCAGCTGCTTGCTGGCCGAGACGTTGACGGAGATCGGGATGAGCTCAATCTTCTCCAGGATGACCTTGAGAAGGTCCCGACATCCCTGTAAATAATCCCAAGAAAAAGTTGTTGACCTATTAGTACCTGCAATACATTGTATTACACTGTATTCATTCCATGATGAACCCACACAGACCATTCAGTGCTGGGAAGGGTGGGGCAGTGCAAGGAGTAACCGGCAGGGGGTTTGCGGCAGAACAGGGACTAACAGGTTTAAACAGAAAATCTCCAATGAAGCAATGAGACAACTTAAGTTCAAGCAGATTGTTGAATACTCCTCGATTTTCAAATATTGCTTGTGGCACTGTAGCACACAATCTTAAAGATCAATTTTATGGTTAACAAAAAAACATCATATTCATATTCTACGGAACCCACTCAATTAATTCAAACCTGAGTGGCCCAGAATTTGAACCAGGCATTGAACAAGTGAAAGATGAGGGAAGTACCACTCCACCATTTGGAAAAATCAAGCAGTTTTGTTCATTCAAGTTGAAAACTGCATCACACCTTGTAGTCAACACTGACGATGATCCTGTCCACCATCTGAAACGTCTTACACCAGAGCTCGGAGGATTTGTAATCCAGACTTGGGGAGGATAGGAGAGCCTCACAGAGAGATCTGAGGAGATGACGACAAGAGCGAGGTTATCAAAACAAAAAATGTGTGAGGTTTAGTCTCGAAATGTGAGGTTGATAAGGCACTCGAATCAGGTTGAGGTACTCAATATGTGATGCGGCTGCTTGAGGCATGAGGTTATCGAAACAAAAAATGTGCGAGGTTTAGTCTTGAAATGTGAGGTTAAGAAGGCATTAGAGCAGGTTGAGGTACTGTGGTGTGAGGTTTGAGCTAAATGAGTGAGGTTTTGTACATCCTCAGACTCTCTATCATTCAATCCGCAACAGTCCTGGGGGAAGGGGTTGTGACATTGTAGGGTGAGGTTCCCAAACATCACCAGAGACTCCCTTAACCAATCGACAGGCAGATTTTTGGTGAGGTATGACGGTAAAGTGTGAGGTGGAGGTGTGAGGTTTTCTAAGCTTACCTAGCTGGGATGCTAGCCTTCTCTGCAGCCGTCAGCAACATGTCACACAGGAGTTTAATCCTCGGGTGCGACTTTTGACGGTGGAAGTAGGCAACGTAGGACTCCAAGACTAGGTCATGGGACTCCTGCAAGTAGTTTACAAAAATATGATTCTGCATTCAGCATCCACATCAATGAGGCTCTGTGGTTACCTCAAGGTGAAATCGAGGTACTCAATCATGATGAGGTTTCTTAGTGTACTGATTAATTATATGCAGCGTACCCTCATTTGGTAGGGAACCATAGAGTGCTGTGAGATTTGGGAACGTATAAGCAGGAATCAATAGGTTAACACTGAAATGTAGCTTCTGCTAAACGTTTTGGAATTTCAGAGAAGGAATAAGCACAGCCTAATTTCAATCTTACCGGAGACAGAGACTTCCAGAAGCGATTGAAGGAATCGATGCAGCAAAACACCTTATTTCTGTCATCCTCTGGAGAGTGTAGGATGTAGCTTCAAGACAAATATAGAAATTAATAACAACATGTAATGTAATAATAACATTAAATAAATAGTAATGCCCAAGGTTTCATGTATGGTAGTCAATCTATTGTCTTCTTTCAGAGGAAATTAGACAAATATCTTGTTTTTTATCAAACAATTTTTGAATCACATTATAAGTGCAATTTGGTAAAAGAAAACATAAAAAAATTATCTTACCCACAGAAAGCTTCTTCAATTGATGTGGTTCTCTGCCAAAAAGAAAGAAGAATCTTGAGACGTAAGATCTACAACATTTATAAGGTATGTATACTCCTACTGTTGTTCATTAATCCAAATTGTGTATGTCAAACTTGACAAATGTACGTTTGCATGACCAATCTGTATTTTATTTATACAATAAATTAATGTTATAGTTTCTTAACAATAAAAATTGAAAGCATTCGGATAAACTGTTGCTGAGATCATCACTCGGCAACCAATGTTACTGACTTAAGTTGTCTCTGTCTGAGACATTCTTACCAAAGCATCATTGAGAATTTCCTGCAGTTGGCTGTCGAGTGTTGAGGCCGACATTATCACAGATTACGATGACTTGAGATCTGGCTTTAAATCACACATCAGAGTCACAGCGGCACAGTCAGCTTGCTTTTGTACATTCTTATTGTGCCTAGAAAAAATATTAATGCAAAGGCGACAACATGGAAGTTGATCTTGATCAGTTGATTAAAAACAAAATCAAACAAATTTTCTTCAAATTAATCATGCAGGAAGTGAATATTATTTTAGCACTTCTATTTTTATTCTAATCTATATTTTGGAAAGCCCTAACCTGCTTACTGCTTGTGCTAACTAGCACTATAGCACTAGCAGTAAGCAGGTTAGGGCTTTTTGGCCACAATCACAAGTGCTGAAGAAATCATGCACATACATGACATAAGGCACCTCCTAGTGCTAGGCCTACATTATTTTACATGAAAAACGCGTTGTAAACAATCAACCGACAAGTCTGAACTGAAGTCAATGTCAGACATGATCGTTGAATGTCGAAAAGTCTGATGAGATAAGAAAGATCGAAGGCCGTGGCCAGTGCCTACAGTTTCCTTTATATACTAAAACTTTACCTAAAACTCTCCATTTTTTGTTAAAGAGTAATTTCTCGAGAATTTCGTTAGGCCCTACTGCACCAACTCACCTCGATCGCGCCTCTTGCACGCCGCATTATATTGTTTATCAGCCCGTGGAGAGCGCCCTCCTTCGACAACCTCGGGATTTTTTTCGGGACGCGCTTACAGGAGGCGTGGTCTATCATTTTGGTGGGGAGTTATACGGAACTGAAACATCATTTCCTTTAAAAAATAATACTCTTGATTCAAGATCACAATACTTCACGTCACTTTTAGCTTTTGGGTAAGCAGCATCGTGTCAGGTATAGGGCGGGGCTTGGCCGGAGGGGGAGGGGGTGGGGTAAATACAGTGGAATCTCGGAAAATTGGCTCAAATTTTGAGTTAAGCAGAGTTTTGAGTTATCCAATGGATTTTCTATTCAACAACAATTGACGGGAATAAGTTTTTACTTTGAATTAGAAGGGTTTTTGAGTTAACAGGTTTTGGCTTATCGAGATGTCACTGTAGATCACAAATTTGGAGTGGCCTCCGCAAAAACTATTAATTTTGACCAGTGACTTCATCACGTGATACCTATTGTCCACTTTATTTCTTCATTCCATCAATTTATTTCACATGAGTCAACTTGTCATTCAGTATGAAATGAAAAAAAATGACAGATCCTTGTAAAATATTGCTGGTACTGCCGGGCTTAAGCGGCTGGCGTTCACCGTCATGGTTGGACGATGAGTGCTGTCAGATAGAGAGGTCGCGTGTTTGCACGTAGTGTCATCATTGGTAATGATCGATCGTTTAACAGACCAACGATTTCCTACTTTATTAGACTTTCTGAACTGAAGACTAACTAAAAATAAAAAGCCTGGTGATGATGGTGTACGGATCTGTACGGCTCAGTAGCCGTCTTGTGCGCTTCGTTCCATTTCCTTACGTACATTTCATTAAATTTACACTGATTCTAAGAACGCATGTAGTATGATCGGAGCATCTCTTGTATTGTTACACTGAAATAAATGGAAATGAAAAATATGATGGGAGCCTAAATGAAAATGACCAAAGAGATAGGAAAATTGAACAAGATATAAAATTCAGAAATTACTAAAAGTCAATATAGACCAGTGCTAGTCAAAATTATTATGATGGCGTGAAGTCGACAGAATAAAAGATGTATTGGAACAAAAGAGAGACGAAGTAATAAAAGAATCAATAAATCAATACACATCTTTCATTTTACAACATACAAAAATACGAATAGTATTATCTAATACATTTAGAATTGTGTATGGATGGAGGTCTCCAAAAATCAAAAAGACTAAAAGTGAGACGAAGAATAAAAGATGTGTTGCGACGAGACGAGAAAAGACGATATCATTCAAATAAAAATGACGATGTATGACGAGAACTGTAATGCAACTTAACAGTCGAGACCAAGCGAGAACTGTTGAGACAAGATATAAAATACGCTAAACTAGTTTAGACGGAATGGGGTTATAAGACGAGATGAGACAAGACGAGATTAAACGATAATTGACGAGATGAAACAGGAGAAAAAGAAGTCGTGACAAGAGAGAAGATGAAATGCACGGGACGACTTATGACGAGATATGATGAGACAAGAAGATTAGACGAGATTAGACGAGAATAGACGTGTCTCGGATGAGGATTACATTAGAAAGCACGAGGAAAGACGACACGAGAAAGATCTGTCTGACACACAAAGCGAACGACCCGAGACGAGACAACTAGTATAGTGAAACGCTGAAATGAGATCGAAAATGCGATGAAATACGAGACGAGATTTTACGATAGAACGTAAACGAGATGAGATTTGAATAAACGGTCTTGGAACCCTGCGGCTAAATAAACAGAAACATATAGTACTGTTTCGTATTATCCAATTCGGATCCATTAAAAAAAGAAAATGCTAACGTGAACAACAAAGAGCGTTTTCCTTTCCAATTTGGAAGGGAATTTCCTGGCAGTAAATCCGCGTAATGACCACAGTTTTGAAAACATAATGGTCCACCAAACTTTCTCATCGAAAATAAAAGTCTAAGACTGATATTTTCCCTCCCTTCAGAGGCCAAGACATAATGAAACATCACGGAAACATTACATCTTGTTCTCAAAATTTGATACCAAATCGTTTGTTAAAATTTGTGTAGATGCACGGTAGCACATGCATGCCCCGCTCTTCCTTGATCGATTGTCTACAGCTGGATTATAAATGAGGGGGGAATGACACAATACTCTTTACAATAAAATAGGCCTACAATTTTGTCGTGGCAAATTTTGTTAAAAAACAGGCGAGAGAGTGCATGTAATCCTTGCACTGCCTTCACCAATTCCCAAGGCTCTTTCGATGGCCTAACGAACTTTGCATCTGCGTGCGCTAATTCCTCAAATATTGCACTGTGCGTTTATAGGATTATTCGCTGATACTCCGGTCGGTTCGCCAGTATTTAAGCTGACATGATTTATTTCAGTTCCCATTTGTCCTGAGGTGATCTTGTATAGACAGGTTTTAAAGATTTACATTTCTCATTCTCAGTGTCTGGCAGTTACTGAAACTGCCGCATTTTGATAGAGATGTGCCATTTTCTCAATTGTGTATAGCTTACTTAAAAGTAATTGCTAAATATATATTCAACGTGTTCTTCAAATTTCAACCTTCGGTCTTGTGTTACCTCTTATATTCAAGCTTATTTCTTAAGCCATACGCATAAATAAAAGTCCAATACGTCAAAACAGTATTTGACTTTATTATATGAGGTTTGGCGTAAAAAACTCTCTAAAATAAAGTTGATTTCTTAAGAGTTAGATCATGAAAAGGATTAATACCAAAATAAGGGAGTCGTTCAAATTATCGTCTTATATTCATCATCATCATCAGGCTGTGGTCATCCATTGTTGGATGAAGCCCTCCTCAACTCAAGCAGTTTCCATTCTCTTTTGTTTGTCATTCTACTCCATGTTGCCGTGTTCATATATGTGGTGATTTCATCTCTCCGTCTCCTTTGTCTACCTCTTCTTCTTCTGCCCGTCCTTGGTTGCCATTCTGTGAGTCTCTTGGTCCATCTGTTGTCTTGTCTTCTTGCTAAGTGCCCTGCCCATCTCCATTTCATTTCCTTGATTGTCTCTATGATATCTTTGACCTTTGTTTTTTTTTTGTCTTATGAAGGTATGTCTGATTTTGTCCCGTAATGATAGATTGAGCATTCTCCCTTCCATGGCTCTCTGTGTTGTTGTCATTTTTTGTTCCATCTCTTTGGTTGTTGCCCATGCCTCTGCCCCATAAATCGTTGTCTTTATATTAAGTTATAGAAAATTAAACCATGATGACTCAGACTAACTAAACAGTTTTTAAGCCTATGATTGGCTGTCACCCTAACTTCAAGAGAATTCATGGAGGAACAATGAATCTTGTTAATAAAACATGAGTTGTTTATCTTACGCTTGGCCGTCATCTTCTTTGTGAATCCGACTGACCGGTAATATAAATCTTACCACGGGTGGCTGGCAGTGCGACGGGCTTGGTCTATCGACCAAAACCGCCTTCGTATTTCATATTTGTTCAGAGAGATGAAGCCAAAAACATATGCCAAACACGTCACTCAATGACAGTTTATTGCTTCGTTTTCTTTTTTTTATATATTTATTTACGGTTCAGACTGTTATTCCAATTTAGACAATTAAGTTCGGATATCTCGAACGAGACGTGAAGACATCCAAATGATTTTGCAGACCCGTAGATACCTTTGTAAAACATACAATGTCCAAATAATCTTGTCAAGGATACCATATGGTCGACGACAATGAGTAATTTCAATAGAATTCTGTTTTCAAACCCAAACAAATTTGAGTTAACTATATAAGGCTCGATAACATTTACAATAGTACTGTTTGGTGATGTTTATGTATAACCAAACATTATTAAAGTACTGTCGTGGATATTAATTTTTGCTACAATACAATAATTGACCCAAACAATGTTTAATTTTGCTAAAACTTAAAACAAATCCTCCTCCAAATTTCCTTTAATCAAAATAAATCCGAAAAAAAAAATTAAGTTCTTAAAATATTAATTTTCCTAAGCTGTCACAGGTGTAAAACGCACCTGCGATGGCCCTTTATAGCTTCGTTATAAGTTGACCAGAAAAGTAAAACATCGTCGGAAACTGAAATAACAAAGAAACAAATCAAAAGATGCTATAAAACATCATATCCCGTAAAACTGGCATTAAGCGAAGAATTTGAACTTTAAAATTTAGACAACACGGGTAAATATTATTCCTTTGGAGTATATACACATAAGGCGCCGACAGTTATTATTTTATTGGCCGGAAGAGTGGCTTGAAATTTATACCAAACACAGCGCTGGTCCTTTGAAAAACAATGATGGTCAGCTAAATCATCTTATCTGACATCAAGTGACCTCTCTCCGGACAATCCGGACGCATCTTTGACATTCCTCCATCTCCCAATTCTCCCTGGAGTTTTTGTCTCATCTGCTGCCGATCGGCGGTGAAGTCACACGGGGCCGATTCACACGCTCAGCTGTCAGTACGCGGGCCGCTTGTGCAGTCAGAATCATTGTCACATGTCGTTAAATTGATTTTGTTTAGGATTTCAAAAGTTGATTTGGGTTAAGGTTTAGTTTTATGATGTATCATTATTGTTTCATTTTATATCATTTTATCTCACTTTCTCCGAAAAATTGTAGGTTGTTGATTGGTTTACAATGATAACCCCAATACGCGGTATTGCTTTTTCATATATTCATGTGTTTTTATGTCTGTTTTGGCGTTATATTTTAATAATCTTCAACACCTATACTGGATATCAATGCTCCGTAAGGATTGTCTTACATTTTAATAGATATAGTGACTGTGTCTTCACTTTCCATTATAAGTTTACATGAATTAGAAATTTGTCTCAACAAACTCCTATTGCCCAAAACTTGGGTACAACATTTCGTAGAGCCTTATATGGGCAATCTGTCTTTCTATGCCTGTATTTTATTCCCATGATATTATTTTGCAAGAAATTACAAGAAACTGAATGGTCCTATTCGACAAACTTGTTTCCCCAAAGCTGCCACGCGTGG